GTTAGAAGCCGCTACTCCACGGCCATCTCTGCCTTCCATATCCCTGCCGACGGTGCTCTCTTGGGGCAGCACCCTCTAGTACAGCGCTTTTTAGCAGGCGTGGACAGAATCCGTCCGACTGTCCGGCGGATTAGTCCCCCGTGGGACTTGTCAATCGTTCTTGATTGGATGTCCGGTCCTCTCTTTCACGATCTGTCGTCTCTTTCACTCCAGCTGTTAAGTTGGAAGGCTGCCTTTCTTGTGGCGGTAGCGTCTGGCAGGCGGTAGGTGATATCCGATATCCATGCGATGTCAGCAGATCCTGCTCTGACTGTCTTTCACAAAGACAGAGTCAGCATTCGGTTGCCAGACTCCTACCGTCCTAAGATTAGCGAAGCCTTTCATATACTTGGCCTATCGAACTGCCAGCTTTCACTCAGCCTCCATCGTCCGGTACCTCTCTTGGCGTGCTCCGTCTTAGATGTCCGTAAGACTCTCAAGGCTTATATCAAGCGAGCGGCTGCTATCAGGAAAGATAAGCAGCTGTTCTGTTGTTATGGCGGTGGCAAGGCTGGTCTTCAGTGAACAAGCAGACCATATCTAGGTGGCTTGTCTCTGCCATTTGTTCGAGTTACTCTTACAAAGGATTAACCATCCCTCAGGGTTTAAAGGCTCATTCGATTAGGGCAGTGGCGACATCAAAAGCATACGCCGCGGCACTGCCCATTGAGGAGATCTGCTCAGCGGCTATCTGGAGCCGACCCGAAGTACGTTCATCCGCCACTATCAGCTGGACAAACACTCACGGGAGCGTGCTCGGTTTGGCCAGACAGTTCTCACCAGTGGACAGTGTCGTGATTCTCTAGCCGAATGAGCCTTAGAAATCACGTTTGCTTTTCTCATGGTGTAGGTGTTAATAAATTCCTCAACTTTATCGGTGGTGGTATCACTTTGGTGGTGGTTTTTACCGTATGTAGCGATTATCACTCGCTACAGTCACTGTGTTCATCCCTGCACCACGCTTAGCTGGTTTGGGTTGCTGAGGGATATATATTGGACTCGCCCATACTTTCCCTCCCATTTTGATGGTTGGGGGGTGGGACTTGCGTCAGTCTTTATAAATTCCACCAATAGCCTATCGGCTAGGCTCCTTTTCCCCCGCCTTGCCACGCCCCCGCCTGATTGACATCAGCGGTCAGGTGACTAGGTGAGTGTACTTTCTCTCTCTGTCGCGGCTCCGGCTGTGCCTTCGACTGAACTTGGGGGTATGTTAGGCAGACAGAATACCGCTCCCGACTCAACATCGTTGGGAGTCTGTCTTATGCTTATATGTACCCCAAGGAGGACTTCTTCTGAAAAAGAATTTTACAAACCTGGAGAGGTTATGAATTCTTTGAAGAAAAGTCCTCCTTGGGGTACCGCCGCCCACCTCCCCTCATTCTGTCTGACACGTTCAGCATGAAAAGTGAGGTACGAGGTACACAGCCAGAGTTACCTGCTCTTGGCTGTAGGGGGCCCTCTACGGGGCCCTGTAGGGGTGATCTCACCACACATAACGAGTTTTTTGTTTGGTAAAATATTTTATTGAAATATAGTTACAACTGTCCTTGGCTTTTAAAATGGACATTTTAATGCTTATATGTACCCCAAGGAGGACTTTTCTTCAAAGAATTCATAACCTCTCCAGGTTTGTAAAAGTTTTCTCGAAGCATACGGAAATTACCGAGGCCTTGCGAATGGTCACTTTTGAAACAACGTCGCTGATTGCACAACTAAATCTGATTGCCTCCAATCACGAGTCTTGAACGCTCACACCATGAAAGGGCCGTATTAGAACAGAGGTTATGTAGGAAGATATGACAGGAGTAACCTCTGTGGGAAGAGAATGGGTTAGACCCAGATATGAGTTTTATTTTTTGCTGTTTCCATGAATACATGACTTAGGCCGTGGCTATGAGGATGTCATCTTGTCCGGAGCAGATCTCCCAAACTATACATGCCAGCTTCATCAAACTTGGTACATATGTCAAGCATGATCCCTAGATGTGTCTTTTGGGCTTTAGAGCCAGATATAAATGTTATTTTTTTTGCTGTTTCCATGGAAACGTGACTTAGGCTATGGCTATGAGGATGTCATCTTGTCCGGAGCAGATCTTCTAAACTATATGTGCTAGCTTCATCAAACTTGGTACACATATCAAGCATGATCCCTAGATGTGCCTTTTGGGGTTGACACCCAGATATGAATTTTATTTTTTGCTGTTTCCATGGAAACATGACTTAGGCTGTGGCTATGAGGATGTCATCTTGTTGCATTTCCATGGCAACAAGCCAGGCTTCAACTGAATTTGGTGGTAGTGCTCCTTTCTGGAGCATATCTTAAAAACCTTTCAATACTCTCCTTCCACTTTGCTGTTTACACTCCAAAACGTTTGACATAATCATAACTAGTAGACATATTCATAAAGAGTATTTTGCCGTTGCAGGGGATATTGATGACTTTGTCATCTTGTTATTAGTTAACTCATGTGTACTGAAGGTAATGGAATATTATTCCGAGCATGACACATTTTCCTGTATTTTACGTGGTGTTGTGACATTACTGTCAATGTAGGTATCAAATTATGGTAAATTGTAAAGGTATGGTTCTGGACATGTGTCATGGAAACATAACAGGTGTTTAGTGAGGTCACAGTGCCCAAGGGACCAAATTCTTTGATGTGAGTCTATGATTTCTCAAAACATTGTCTCGTGTCTATTTAACATCCAAATATTTTGTTGGTAGCCTAGTGGTTAAAGCATTTGCTCATCAAACCAAAAGTCCAGGTTCAATTCCCACATGGATACAGTTTGTCATTTCAAGCCTATTTCTGTCTTATCTACAGTAATATTAATTGAACATTACTGACCGTGCAATGCAAACTAACTCACTCACTCACTAAAGCACTAAGTGATAACAATGATTCAAATAGTCCCAGGTTCATGCTATTGTCGGGATTATTGTCAGCAAGACAAGTGTGACCAAACTGGTCAATTGTCTGATTCTTAAGTCTTAAGTTGCATCACTTCGGTCTTTCCTCCAACATCAAATTCTATATATACTGCACCTGACATGTATTCACAAAGTGCTCCTACATAACTATATTTTCATTAATAATCATGTGAAATTTCTGTTTATATAAGTTTTCTGTATTTTCAATAATTTTTCTCAAACACTGCCAATGGGTTTTGGCACAGACTGGAAGAGCAACCTAGGTTTAATAGTATCTTTGATCATGATCTTTTGTGTGATTTGAAAGGCAGCATCATTCTGTCTCTTCTTGGGTATATTAGTCGTTAAAGTGTTTTCTCATCATGTCGAAGACCCGGGTTTGATTCCCCACATGTGTACAATGTGTGAAGCCCATTTCTGGTGTCCCCCACCATGATGTTGCTGGAATATTGCTAAAAGCGGCACAGATCTATACTGACCACTCACTCACTCTTCTGTGTGTGTCATGTGACATACAAACATCACATGCTCCGACCCTTGTACTGCTGTCATGTGACATACAAACATCACATGCTCCGACCCTTGTACTGCTGTCATGTGACATACAAACATCACATGCTCCGACCCTTGTACTGCTGTCATGTGACATACAAACATCACATGCTCCGACCCTTGTACTGCTGTCATGTGACATACAAACATCACATGCTCCGACCCTTGTACTGCTGTCATGTGACATACAAACATCACATGCTCCGACCCTTGTACTGCTGTCATGTGACATGCTACTTGTACTGCTGTCAATACAAACATCACATGCTCCGACCCTTGTACTGCTGTCATGTGACATACAAACATCACATGCTCCGACCCTTGTACTGCTGTCATGTGACATACAAACATCACATGCTCCGACCCTTGTACTGCTGTCATGTGACATACAAACATCACATGCTCCGACCCTTGTACTGCTGTCATGTGACATACAAACATCACATGCTCCGACCCTTGTACTGCTGTCATGTGACATACAAACATCACATGCTCCGACCCTTGTACTGCTGTCATGTGACATACAAACATCACATGCTCCGACCCTTGTACTGCTGTCATGTGACATACAAACATCACATGCTCCGACCCTTGTACTGCTGTCATGTGACATACAAACATCACATGCTCCGACCCTTGTACTGCTGTCATGTAACTGTTGACTTGCTTTGTTTTGTTGTGTTTGTATGTTCGCCGCCTCCGTGGTGTAGTAGTGTGAGCGTCCTCCTGGACAGCAGAAGGTTGCAGGTTCGATCCCCGGCCGTGTCATACCAAAAGACGTTAAAATATTGTACTTGTTGGTCCCTGCCTAGCGCTCGGAATTAATGGGTAGAAAAAGGACTGGTCGGCTCGGAGTCAGTATTATGTGTCTGAGTGGGGTATTCATGCTTGACTGCGGCATGGTATCTCAGTGAGCTAGCAGTATAAAGCCAGCTTCAGTCTGGGCTAGTACAAGCAGCCACACATACACACGCATGCATGTCGTCATGTGAGCGAAATGTTCTTAAGCACGACGTTAATCCCCATTTCACCACACCTTGTTTGTTTGTTGTTTAATGATGCACACAGCAGTATTCCAACTATGTGACAGCAGTCTGTAAATAATCAAGCCTGGAAAAGACAATCCAGTTATCAAGATTATAAATGAGTGAGTATAGTATTACGCCGATTTTAGCAATATTCCAGCAATGATCAACATTACGAGCATTAATCAATTGGGATACAATGACATGTGTCAATGATATCAGCGAGCCTGACCACCAAATCCCATTAGCCTCCTCTTATGTCAGTCATGGGTTGCTGAAGTCCAATTCGAACCCAGATGTTCACGTGTTGACAACCAGGAAGTCAACTTGGGAATTAGGTTGACCCTTATGAAGAATTCAAATTTTGAGACCGGACTTTATCCTAAAATAATTATTGAATAAATTTGCCTCCACTAGTTTCTAACGTGTCAAGTATTTTGTGTCTGTTTCAGTTCTATGAGCACTGTGTCGTTCCTGGACGAGCCAGGTCATGATGAGACGTATCGCGTCCCAGCGAGGTTTGAGAATACATACCAACTTTCCCCAAACAAACGCTTCCCTTACACCAAGGTCCAGAACATTATAAAGGACGTTCTGCAGGCGTACTTAGCAGAGGAGAGATACGAACCAGAGCTCTGCAGACAGATGTCCAAAACTCTCTCCGAGGTAAGCAGGCAGCAGACGGCATTGGTTTTGTTCTCTGGAAACATTTCTTTAATTGCTATGGGGTTGAATAAAGCGGAACATTACCAGGTCCATTTTCAAGGTTCGCTTTGAAATGTGACATTTATTATCTTATATCCTTTGTAGGAGAACAGTACATAGTTACCCCATTTGTCTAAGATGTTGAAATTCACATGCTGAGTTGCTTCCCTTAGACATGCCAGAAAAGTTGGCTCTCAGGTTTGAAACCCAGATTCCCCACTTTAGTTTTCCAGCCACATAACCATGCTCATGTGGTTCTTTTAACAACTGCATTGCTTCAAAATATATAACTGACACATCCTGATACAACTGCTGTAGAGTTCAAAGCAGTGTTTAGTCCAGTTCACTCTTTGAAGGTGCTGGGTGTTGAAGAAAGGAAAGATCTGACAAAGATGTTAGCTGAAAATAGTTTCTCCATAGTCTTGTATGTTTAAACCCGACTTTCTGGATAGCTTTGAAGATGTCTTGCATGTTATTGATTTAATGTTTGCTAACAAATAATCAGGAGCTACTATCTGTAATATTACAGACTGTGGTGATAATAAACTCTCACTCACATGCTCAGTGAAGAAGGAATGGAATTAATTTAGTTCTTCAGTCTGATATTGATTCAGTTTTGAAGGAATGAGATGTCCCTCTTAGATGACATCCCCGGCATAACTGTGTCTGTTTGAAAGTTAGTAGATTTGTGGAGTACGCTCAGAGACTTGCTTCATTGCTTGTCTTTGTACTAGAGCAGTGTGGATAGTATCACTCAATAAAATGTCTGTTCCAGAGTCAGTTATTTACAGGACATTGTCATATAGTTAGACTGTTGCTATGTGAGGTCTTAAACTATAAACAAGAAAATTTCCAATATGTTGTACAATATTTGTCCATAATGTGTGTGTGTACTAGTGTGCATGTGTGTGTAATGTAATGTAATGAACAAACGAAGATGTGTATGTTTGGGGAATTTAATATTTTTTTATATTCCCGTTCTCTCCTTTTAGAAACTGAACTGAAATTTAGTTATGTCCAGCAAATTTTCTCAGTTTCTGTGAATAAAGCCTTTGAAAAGTTTAAAACGTGATAATCACTTTGTACAGTTAGCATCTAATCTGTTGGCTATACATGTCTCATCAGTCAGTATTGATGCCTCCATCCAGGTGATAAAGGCAAGAGTCAAAGAGTTGATGATCCCTCGCTACAAGATCATCTGCCTCGTCCACATTGGTCAGCTTGGTGGTCAAGACATGCGGGTCAGCAGTCGGTGCTTGTGGGATGCCGGTAGCGACACTTTCTCCACGTCAGAATTCCGAAATCAACATTTATATGCGATCGGCTCTGTGTATGGCGTGTACTATGAATGAGATAACTGACATGTATTACTGCTATGAACACTTGTTGATAAGCAATAGGGGGTTGTAAATTTCATGTTGTAAATTGAGCGTTGACCACTCAGGTATACATGAGTTATGAACCCCCATACCATTCCTCACTGTGATAGACCAGTATTGTTTGTTCATTGGCTGCTGGCCATAGTTATTGTTTAATTGTTTTACCTGTGTGAAGGTAAGGCAGGATCGGATTTCATTCAACAGCTGTTAAGTATAAGATTTTGTTATTATGAATTTATTGATTGAATTGAACTAAAGCGATAGAAAAGATTTATGCATTTTTCATATCAAACTTAGTAAAAATGTCATTATCTTAAATAATGTTATCTTTTTTACTGATCCATTATTGACCCAAGTTGAATGGTTTTATCAAAATACTTTATGACTGTTTTGACCTAATTGCTTGGCAATTTTCTCTAATTTAGATAAAGTTTGATGTAGAGAATCCTATGAAAGAATGTTTGCCATCTGGAGTTTTGGAGCTTTAGTACTAATGATATATTTAGGTGTGGTACAGGTAACTGATCTGCCATGTGTTGGATACAAACAGCTGTTGCATTGTCTTTTACATACAACATGTGGTGTCTTCCATGTAGGATGGAATGATATATTACCATGGCGATCATGAATATAGATGCTAAATTAATTCACCTGATTCACTGACTGAGCTACATGATCAACTTACCAGGTAAACTATACAGAATATTTAAACATCCAGAGGTTTGGCTACAAATGCATTTTAAATGTAAAATCTGATACATTGTACCAGTTTAATGATAGGTGTACAATATACATTGCAAGATTTCTTATACCATTGCTTTTGCCTGAATTGATGAAATCTTATCTTAAAATAATTTGTCTAAAATTCACTGGGTAATAAATAAGGCAATGTATTTGTTGAGGAAGAACTTCACATATTAAATTATAATGGAACTCATTTCCAACTGAGGTAGAAATTGATAAACAAAGGAAACACCATTTTCAAATTTGCTGCAGACTGTATATATACATACCTTCTGCCCTCTCCCCTGCTTTGGCTCTCAATGTGACTGACTGAGTTTAGTTTTACGCCGCTTTTAGCAATATTCCAGCAATATCACGGCAGGGGGACACCAGAAATGGGCTTAACACATTGTGCCCATGTGGGGAATCGAACCCGGGTCTTCGGCGTGACGAGCGGACGCTTTAACCACTAGGCTACCCCACCGCACCCTCTCAATGTGAGTCAACTGTATGTCTTATGTCAAGGAACAGATGGTGTAACTGAGTTGTTTCTCTTAGCCCTACCAGGATCTGCTAGTCATGGGTTTGAATCTCAGATTCACTTAGATAATGATCCTTGGTCCATCGACACCACATTTCTATCATTTATTTCACAAGGGAGGTGGTTGGGGGCTTAAGAAATGAAAAACTGAAGGAATCTGTTTCTATCCTGCACTGAATGTTTGGACATTTCCCTAAACTAACTCAAGCTTCTTATTTCTTGATGTTGAAATGAAATCTAAACATGTAGATTGACTTGTGAAATCTGACACTGTCTGTCACACAGAGAATCATGGTAATCTCATAACCAGGTGTTATCTACATTGAGCGTACAAGGATAATTTTCAATCATGTACATATCATTGTCTGCTGCCTCTGTAGCCATGATGGTCATGTGATCAGCAAAAACTGACATGTTTTGTGTGGAGTTGTGGTTCAGATAGTTTACAGTTTTCAGGGAAGGAGTGAGTGAGTTACAAAATATTGTCACATCGGCAATATTTCAGCCATATCGTGACGAGAACAATTAATTGTTATACATAGTAATTAATGGTAAATTATAAAAAACTGTCAACGGACAGTAAAATAACCAGATTATCACAGATATGAATTTAAAACTAGTAATTAAATCTAAAACAGTTTAACTATAGATGACAATACAATATGAAAACAGGCTATAGATTGCCAACAGCTAAAGGTAGATCACCATACTAGGGACCATGGGGACTTGCAGTACATTTGCTTCCTGCATGGGCCCTAGCTGGATTTACATCATTCCTTTAGCCGTTAGCAATTGAGACAAATCTAGCCATATATTAAAATAACACATATTCTACGATTTCAGGGAAGGAGGTCGTATTGTGATGACTTCATATGTGAGATGAATGAAATGAGATAGTATCTACTTACATTGTTGACAACTTCATTCATTTTCTCGATAATTAATATGAAAGTTAATACTTAGAAAGGACATTTTCAAATTGTAATGTGTTTCCTAGGCAAATAGAAGTTACATGTACAAAGATAAAGTTTGAAGCTTCCTAATACAGTAGTGTATCACTTCAGTGAATACTTTGAATGTATCACCTCTAGGAAGGAAATAGTCAATACTTTCATAACCTGTCCTGTACCACCCTATTTAGGAAGTGGATTTTTTTATAGCTATTGTAGAAGCTATGTTAACGTTTCCCTCACATTTATAAAAGTATTTCTCATTTGTTTGTTGTCTTGCCTTGGTATGAAGTTTTAAAAGTTGTGTTGAGCTAAAATCAAATACCTCAATAGCTCTGTCATGTACTGTCTACCTAGCAGATGATAACTTTTATAGTGCACTTTTTCAAGATTTTAATGGAGACACAATCAAACAGACACTCTATTCAGTGTTCACTATTGTTATATCTCTATTTTATGATGATAAATACCCTTGATGTATCCTTCACTATAGCTTTCAGTCTAGTTCATATTGATATTGATTTTATTGTGTCCAGACAGTTTAAACTGTTCTTTCAAGACTGAAACATGTGCTCAACTGTGACATATGACCAGAGTTGTTGTAGCATGAGACCTACTACCCCAGCTATGATACTCTGAGAACCTCGTCCCTGGCCTAGTGGATATAGCATCTGTCCATGGATCACAAGGTCGATATTATGATCCCTGGTCAAGACATATCAAAATGTGTTAAAAGATGCTGGTTGTTGTTGTTACCTTTCTTGGTGCTTGCCATTAAATGGGATGTACCCGTGAAGGTCAGGGTTAGAATATTGATCTTCAGTAACCCATGCTTGTCGTAAGAGGTGACAAATGGGATCGGGTGGTCAGGCTCGCTCACTTGGTTGGCACATGTCATCGGCTCCCAATTGGGATCATGCTGTTGATTAATGGATGCTCATGCTGTTGATCACTGGATTGTCTGGTCCAGACTCGATTATTTACAGACCGCCGCCAAATAGCTGGAATATTGCTGAGTGCGGCGTAAAACTAAACTCACTCACTCACTCATTAAAAGGGATGAAACAAGTGGTGAGTTCCAAGTCAGTGTACTCAGTCTGAGTGAGTTGGTTGACACATGTCATCGTATCTCACTTGCGTAGATTGATGCTCATGCTGTTGATCACTGTATTGTCTGGTCAAGACTCGATTATTTACAGATCACCGGCATATAGCTGGAATATTGCTGAGTGTGGCGTTAAACAACGACCCAACCAACCAATTGAGGTGAAACTGTGTAATATGGAATTAGTCAGGACTAGTACAAGCACACATGAACTCACATGATGAACATCATGTCACCTCACCACATAATAACAGTTAATTATTAACAGGAATAAAATTGAATATTTTAATGCTTGTTTGAATGATGCTAATAATGACGTCACATGTTCAGAAGAAGCATGAGGAATGTTTGTTAATGTTAAGACCATGAGCACAACTTCTGTTTGTGACAAGATATGTGATGACTGCTAAACTGAAGGTACAGTGGTGAATGGGCCCAGGGTTTGTATCAGGGTTGAACTGAGATACAATACACTGGACAAACAAGAATGGTTGCTCCACTCAGATAGTCTTTGTTAGAGTCAAACTTAGTCCAATTTCAGTTTGACAGCCTCTGAAGAGAAACACTATTTGCAGTTACCATCATGATGCTTCCTTACCAGAGAGTTCATTTCAGATATGTCGTAAGTAATACATCATCTTCATTGAAATATACAAGTCATTTATGTACATACATTTCACATGTTGATACCCGTAATGTTACACATGCTGATGTATATATGGTAGCCTTCCATCGACTGTGACCCCCCTCCACAGACTGACCTTGGTGTGTGACATGCCAGCATGGCAGTGTACAAGGTGGCTCCAGGGAGATAGCCCTGTGAAGGGCGGCCATGGTTGTGATTCCTCTGCTGACAGTAATGCCTTATGTGTGGTATACCTGGGAAATTGTTTTATAATGGCCGTGTGTTATATGCCTGTGTTGTGTAGCATGATGGGATTTTTCTTGTGTTCATGTTCCGGTTCAGTTTTAAATGCGTGGCTGTAGAAGATTTCATCTAAGACCTAGAAATATTTTTCCATGTTTGTTAAGATAATTGTTGCTTGGCTTTTCATGGTGATAAGTAACCTGCTGGTTGCCCATTTTGAAGGGGCACTTTTCACTAAGTGTCTTTTAGCAACTCCAGGATATCCTCGCAAGTGTTCAGATACCATACTTGCTCTGATTATGAAACTTGGGTACTTAGGGTTAATATAACCACACAAAAAATTAACTGAACTGCTGATAGGCCCAGTATTACTGAGGGCAGTCCAAAGTCCAACGAATAATGTGCTAGCAGCGAGTTCGCTATTCGTTGGCACATTATTCGTTATACAAATAACGAACCCGCTGCTAACTTGAGACAGCTACTACTGAGGAGAAGGATGTTATTGACATCACCACTGTAAAGTGATTAAACGTAAATGGAATAAATATGCAGTTGTTTCTATGGATGAGGCCAGGTAACAGAAACTACATTTAGAAAGCTCCACGCATCAATGAAATACCAACCTGCTTGATATGTTTGTGTGTTCCCTCAGTGAACAAAAGGTTTTCCCGGTGTGTAAGTGCTTCTGTAAACAAACGTGGGGACAAAATATTTGGCACTATTTTACAAATGAGACTTTTTACTCAGGCATTGTATTCTTGTGCCTAATGTTACTTAATAGTCTGAATGAAACTACCTCTTAACCTTCAATGGTTTAAGAATAACATTACTGCTATATGAAACATCACAACAGTTGTGTGACACAACCAGTATTAATGTCTGCAACATTTCCATACAGAAACTTGTTTATAATTTCCTCATCTATTGGTTTAAAGTAGTTATTTTCAGATAATGTATGGCTGTATTTACACATTACAAAATCTTATCAAGTTAATCAGACATAGCTGACCCTGTGACATAACGTAATGCATAATAATAAATAATTGTCTGTTTGTATGGTGCATATATCCATGCATAGCGCATGCATACGATGTAGTTTAGCCCCAAATCAGTGTAAATATCCAGAATATAACCAAATAATTAATTACCGTTACCCCATGTCCATGTTCACTGTACTCCTTGTGAAGGAGAAAGCATTAGTGACAAGATCACATGCTCAGAAGAGAATGTCTATGATATGAATGGGATTTTGTTTACCTTTTACATAAATCACCATTTCAGCAATGAGAACCATACCTGTATTATCTTGTGTTTTCCATATGAAACAGTGGGACATACAAAACATCAAGCATCAATTTCTGATTTCAGGAATTTTGTTTGTGATATTCATAATACACTATTAAAAAGTACAAGGCTTTGAGTAACTATCAGTATTGGTTTGACAAAGTACCATTATTGTGGACATCAGTTTTCTGAGCATATTTACTTGATAAAAGAAAAGTAGATATGTTTTGATTTAAAGTAGGTGTGTTTGGAATATTAGTAAGAGAGACATTCCAGACAGTTTATTTCCATTGAAACCAGTTCTATTTATGCAGTCAAGGGTTCACTTTTATGAACTTTTTTTGTGTGTGTAAACAGGTACTGATAAAGTTACAATGTTCATGATATTCTATGAGTGTTTGCAATAAAATGTCACATGGATATTTATAATTATGGGAAACATTTCAAAATTGAATAGACTTTGAGCGTTTGCAATATGAAAGGATGTCATTTACCCTGTTTATCGTTGTTTTCTGGGTTAACAATCATCTCATGGTAAAGTTTTTGTGTTGCACGTGAAATGCTGTTCTTGTTTCAGCACCAGTCATTTTGTGTTGCACATATGTATAGCATGGGAGTCGTCCATGTGTAATGTACTGTGTCAAGTTGAATTTGTTATTGATGTTTTAGATTAGGTGTGCTTTAATCAGAGTAAAATATTTTTGAAAGTCATTTTCAAATATATCTGGCAAAGTACCATCTTTGATGATCCAGAGTATTATTGTATGCTGATGGATCTGGACCCATTGGACCCATAGCTTTATCGCCAGCCTGATTCATATGGCATGGCACTAAAAATAGCCATCCAATCAAATTACATTCCTGAGAAATTCCAAGAAAGGTGTGATAGTGACATCACCAAAAAGAATTCTGTCATGGTAGAATGGATATATAGTAATACTACTATTAATAGCATATTTCTACTGCCTGTGAGGCATTAGAAGGTTAATAGTCACATGACTTATCCCACTGGGTACCCATTTTCTGCTACACTTGATTATCAAGGATGGAAGTATCAATGGACAATCAGGTTTGAAATATTTTGTTTACATATTTTAGTGTTTTAATTTTGATACATTTGTATCCAGATGGGGTAAAGCCTCTCATTTCTCCTGTCTCAGAAGTTGGTTGTATTCCCCCACACAAACAGCTGGCACTTTGTATAAGGGTAAATTGTAAACTGTGATGTGTCAGAAAATACACAGGGTTTAAAACTGACCTCTTTATTAGATCCTGGTAAAAGTTCAATATTAACATGATCAAGATCATGCTTTTTATGACGTATCAATTTTTTACTTATTGTACAATTTTTAGTCTCAAGTGCATATTTTTTATATAAAATCATGATTTATTGGGTTTCCTAAATGTACTCCTTTAATAAATTATCAGTGACATACAAACATTAAGATGCTGAGTGAAAGTAATATTCAATACGAAAGCGTTTTCACTCTCTTGACTTGTGCACAAACGAGAAATGGGTGTGGTCTTATATTGTGATTTCAGTTGTAAAATTAGTTTATATTCAGTGTTTTTTTATTATTTTAATAGCTTGTGCTTCATGAACTCTGAGTGAACAAATGTATCTGTTCTTTCTGTGTACATATTTTTAGTCAAGGCGGTCGGAAACATCAGTTCACTGAACTGGAACTGTTTTATGACTTCTCATCTTCAAATATCTCTGACACTGAGAACCCACCCTCTTCAACCTACATTCACCCTGTGGAGTGCACAGATTCTTATCACAGTAACTGGGTTTTTGTCTAGCTCATACACTGACAATAACTCTCGCCCTCACAGAAGCAGCCGACTGGAACTACACTCCACCCTCTATAGTCCACTGTACATGAAGCCTTGGTGTTCTGGGATACCTCCGTCAACGCCCATGCAGTGAATGATGTGCATGTTGCCCATTTTCTAACATGTATATTGAATGTTATTGATGTGACCATAGAATTATGGCCTTGCTTCCTGTTTAAGCCTCTGTTCATGTGGTGTGATTTGTGTATATTTTCTGTCCATAGTTACCTTCCTTTGTAGTTCCAGGATGCGCTGATCATGTTTTTTAATTGGCCCGAATTGTAGTCACAGATCTGTCAACATCTGTTCTGCTTGTAGGTTTTATCTAAGTGATGAAGGTCTTTTATCCTGCTTCTCTATAATTCAGCTGATGTGATACAGTGGCTGGAAACCAAACAATGTTTAAAGAATTGGGTTCCCGCAGCAGCCATAGTTTGTGGTACGAGGCCACGAAGTGAAGCAGGTAGTTAGGCTTGGTGTCTTGAAGTACCCCAACTGCATGGAATGTAGCTGCCTAGGAGGTAACTCATAAATCACTGGTTTACCTGTTGACTTCATTATTTACAGGCTGTGCTGTGTTAAACACAAACACTGGTAAATGTGTAATCTGAAATCAACCAGAGCGACAATATATGATGATCATTATGAAATTACCTATTACAGTATTTGACCCATCTGGGCACCGCGGAAACATGTTTGAATTGGAACACATGTATATTAGAGGTGGAACTTTTGTCAAGCCTTTCATTGTGCAACATGTTCATGTGTGTTCTTATATTTTTTACTACACCTGCACACTTGAGAAAGAATTATGCCTCTATTAAGCAATACATAAAATGTACAGTACCTCAGGCTGATGCTAGTCAAGTACTCAAGAAAACAACAGATTTGAATCTTTTGTGATAGTTTCATAGTTACCTTGGATACTAAAGTTTTTGTTTCTTTGAGAACAAGTGTGAATATATTATAGTCCATTAGCAGGAAAACCTTTTTTGCAAGCTTGAAATTATTATTATTTTGACATCTAATAATCTTATTAATAGATAAAATCTATTTATTATTTCAGTTGATCTATAAGTTCAATGCTAAGATAACAGGAAATCTGTTCTCAGAATATGATTACAAGCCAGTGTTGGCTTCATAGTTTGTGTTATTGGTAGTGAGGCTTTTTAAATGGTGACTTGCAAAATATTGTCACCAACAAAAGGAACAATTATTTTACTAGCTTGTCTACAATCATTTTGAGGAAGATGGTTCCTCTGGGTTTGTTGTCTGTTTGCCGTTAATGTGATCAATGATGTACAGACTGAATGTATATTGTCACTGCCTGTGTTGGACTTACTCAGTAATGTCATATGTATATATGGTTTTCTGTTTCTTTTGGACACTTTTTATAGCAATATTTATCATGATACATGCACTTTAAACTTTATCTCAATGTGACCCCATCACGGGTCTTCATGTACAGACAGTATAAGATCATTTTCTGTTTTGTTTTTAATTAACTAATTAAGTTTATCATCATAAATATATAAAGCTATTGATTGCAAACATCACAGTTCCTGCCCTATGTGACCTGAGATTAGAGTCACTAGGATACTCCAAACAAGGCCCCTTTTCACAAAGCAACTTTAGTCAGACACAGAATAATGCACCCTATGGAATTTATATTCTTTGAGTAGAAATATATTTTTTTAACGTATTGACAAGATAAACTGCTGATTTGTGTTTACAGACAATCTTGATGTTTCCATCCACACTGTTGTACAGTCGATAACCTTTTCATGAACTGTACATGTGAGGTAACTAGACATATGGTCGTCAGTTTGTGATTGGAGACAAAAAGTATCTCCCGTGTTTGCCTTGTGAATTAACACCATTGACCATACAGTATCTTTTTTCATAGATATAAATATTTTTTACACTAACGGATTATACTTTATACTTGTTTTAAAAACTATATTATAATAAACTGTGGGAATAAATCAGAAGTACATGTACATTGTTTCTGAGTTTTTCTTGTCTTGTGGATTCTGTGGCGGAGAAGGTGTGCAGTATTTGTGCATGCTGTAGATTGAGATGTTGCACTGTGTCGTCTGGCTGACGTTGTACTTGCACAGATCCTACCTCATGCTAGCAGGGTAGCCTAGTGGTTAAAGCATTCACTTGTCACACCGAAGACCTGGGTTCGATTTACCACATGGGTACAATGTGTGAAGCCCATTTAAGGTGTCCTCTGCTGGAATATTGCTAAAAAGGGTGTTAAACGAAACTCACTCACTACTCATGTTAGCATATGTTTACACCACTAAGGTGAGAACTCTATGTCCATTGTTCCAACAATGTTTCTTTGGACTTGCCCAAAGGGACGATTAGACCACATGGCTGTCAGAATCATTACTGAGCAATATTAGGGCAGTGTCATTGTGGTTGGGTGCAGTGCAATACATGTGTATTCAGTATGGGTTCTTTTTCTTCTGATTCTTTGAATAGTGTATTTAGTTCATTGTTTCCTAACAATGAGATTTTAATCTTGTTGAGTGAAAATACCGGTGTGAAAAATATCCTTTTCCATTGGCCATACCCACCAGGTGGGACTGGACAGGTATTCCTTGTTACCTCCCTTTAATAATGAATTCAATTCACCACAACCAAGTAACAGTAAGAGGCTGGGAGAGCTCTGGTGGTCATGGAAACAGACTGGGTGATTCTCTACAGAGGTACAACTGTGGTCCTCCTTTCTAGCTCCCATTCAGAGATTATAAAGAAATATATTTCAGCTGCGGTCGGGGTATATTAAACTCATCTTTCAAATCTGCAGCATTCAGCATAAATTGTCACCCCAAATCCAGGCTGTTAGTCCTCTCAGTAATAAAAACAACACAAGGCAAGGAATTCACCTTTGATTTCCTTCACATCGGATGATCAATCTGCATTTATATAACACTGATCAGGCATGTCTACACACAACACAACAGGATGTAAACATAGAAATGTGTAGGAAAAATGTGGCCCTGTAGAAATCTACACCCACTGCCATATAAAACCATTTCCTTTCTTCCATATTCCTCCAATGGTGATCACTCTTAAAAAGAGATTTCAGATAAATTATGAACTCAGTAATTGGTCAGAAGATTGTGTTCTTCAAAGTTTCACCCTAAATGCTAAATGTTTTCCCTCTCTGTTGTAACACTGAAGTCTCAATCTTTACTGAGCCAGTCTCCAGCTCTTTAATGGCCGCCCATGATAAAAATAGCAGACGTCAGAATTTCAAAGGGAGACAACTCTCAATGATTCTTCTTTTTCATAACTGACCAGTTTTTCATTTTGTGAAACAAAAATAGGAAACATTACCAAAAACATTTCAAGGCATTATTGGCTTGACTGAGTCGATATCATTAAATATCATGAATACAATCACCAGTCAGATTTACTGTTAAAACATTATACATCTTACAATGAAAGTCAGTGATACAGACTTCAGCAGTCAAACAGCATGGACTTAACCAGCTCCCAAATCATTGTGGAGTAAGACAGAGAGGAGAAGTACTTGTTACTCTGCATCAGCAAATTCTGAAACTTTAAGGTGAATATAAACAATCAATCTGATGACTCTATTCCATAAGTATGGAAATACAATGTCTCAGTTGGGAATGACAATAATCGTTGATTTGTTCTATTCTAAACATAACCAACACATCTATCTGATATCATTCACAATTTTCATAGAACACATATGACCATGGGGCCAACCTCTTAAAGAGTTTCATATTCTGTTGTAGAGTAGTTACTTTAAGACATTTCTTTTCCAGAAAGAAACTGAATAAGTTCGTTTCAAGACATCCTGCATACCCAAAACCTTTTTCTTTTCTTTTTTTCCATCAAACCTGAGGTTCAAATGATTTATTCAGCTTATACCAGAACAAATAAAACCTAGGCAATCCATCCCAGAGAATACTGGTTTCCCTGTATCAAGAGGATGACTATCATCGCATGTGTGTCTACCATTCTGTTGACTGTGTCAGCTATTCCTGACAAAACAGTATTCCTTGGAAACCTGGCACCTATTCCTGTACATGTATGGATCATGCAATATGATGATCATCAATAGTAGGAAGTTGAGTAAAGCATGTATAAATGTAACCGATGATGTTACAATTAGGTGATAATATACTGAGAGAAACAAATAGAGGAACACATGAAAATTCAAGTGATCCTTTAATATTTTCCAGTTTTCATCACCAGCTTTGAATAGCATTGTGAGAGGAAATCTGAGAATAAATAAAGGAATACTGCCATAAAGTGGTGTTCCCTTAATTGTTTCCTTCAGTATATATGCAGTAATAAACATATCAGTCAAATTACATAAACATTTCAACAGGTTTTCTTCACGAAGGTGAAACATGGTGAAATCAAATCAAGGTGATTTTCAACATAACACACATTTCCACATATCAGAAGCCATTTAGGGGTCATCAAACATACAATCAAATAAATCATTTCATAGTAACAAACATGAATAAATGTATATGTATTTCTTTACACTGATGGACATTAAGGAGTTCATATAAAAAAGTTACTAGAATTGTTTGCAGGTGTTTTCATACAAGAAACTAGTATTAGTGAACAGGTCATGGAAAATAATATACTAAACTAAACAAAGCAACATATTCAGAAATAAACAACATTCATGCTTCAAATTTGTAATCAACTCTCAATATCTAATCATGAAAATGATAATAACTCATGATATATTAATATTAACATACATATTCCCATCAACATGTGTCTGATTGGTCCCTTGTCAATCTGAAAAATTACACTTAATGTATATTTCAGTTTAGAATCTAACCATCTATGATCTACAGCCTTCAACAAACATTCCTTCATCCAACTTAATTTAAGTAACTTTTATCATCAATCCAATAACATTCTGTTCTCAAGTATACACAACATAGGACCAAAGATGTTTATCAGTCAAAGGTAATCAATACAATGTACCTACATATACATATACCAAAATGCTACAGATATCAAATGCACCAAGTCTTATATTGCACATGTTTGTTAAGTAATGTGCATGATCAAGACAATAATTGTACACATCAATCCTAATGCTATTTCCGATGATTGACAATAGTGTGTCATGGTATAGGTGGTAATAGTAGGCAACAGTAGACATGACTGTGTCATAGACAGATAATGACACCTCACAGGTAAGAGTAGACATGTGCCTTCCATTACTCAGATAATGACACCTCGCAGGTAAGAGTAGACATGTGCCTTCCATTACTCAGATAATGACACCTCGCAGGTAAGAGTAGACATGTGCCTTCCATTACTCAGATAATGACACCTCACAGGTAAGAGTAGACATGTGCCTTCCATTACTCAGATAATGACACCTCGCAGGTAAGAGTAGACATGTGCCTTCCATTACTCAGATAATGACACCTCACAGGTAAGAGTAGACATGTGCCTTCCATTACTCAGATAATGACACCTCACAGGTAAGAGTAGACATGTGCCTTCCATTACTCAGATAATGACACCTCGCAGGTAAGAGTAGACATGTGCCTTCCATTACTCAGATAATGACACCTACTCAGATAATGGTAAGAGTAGACATGTGCCTTCCATTACTCAGATAATGACACCTCACAGGTAAGAGTAGACATGTGCCTTCCATTACTCAGATAATGACACCTCGCAGGTAAGAGTAGACATGTGCCTTCCATTACTCAGATAATGACACCTCACAGGTAAGAGTAGACATGTGCCTTCCATTACTCAGATAATGACACCTCGCAGGTAAGAGTAGACATGTGCCTTCCATTACTCAGATAATGACACCTCGCAGGTAAGAGTAGACATGTGCCTTCCATTACTCAGATAATGACACCTCGCAGGTAAGGGTACATATATATGTCTTGTGTCGTACTCAGATAATGACACATTGCAGGAAAGATTAGACATGTGTCTTGCATTATACTCAAGAGAATGACAAAACAATAGACATATGCATCATTTTGTTCTGCTACCTCAGGTACTGCTGGAAATAACCATATCAATTAGGAGATAGGCCCATCCTCAACCACTGGACTACAGGCATGGGTGTTCATTTAAAAACAAAACATTAAATACAATGACATTTCTCTATTTTGTTAATACTACAAAATTAATTAAACTTGTATGACAGTAATTCCGAAGTTCCTGGTAGGTCTTACAGACCATCTGAACCAAACATATACCCTTTGATTTTAACACACATGGTTCTTCCTTTCCAGCTGGTTTCCACAGAAGTATGCATCTATCATCTTAAACCTTCTCCCAGCCATTATGTTGATATCTACTTCAGCAGAAAACAGTCAACAGGTTAAAGAATGGGGATAAATCTGTAACAAATTCTGGCTGCAGAATCCCGAAGTACCCTGGTTACCAAAAAAGTTAACACTATGATATTCTTATTTCATTATATCCAAATATTCTCTTACATTATTCTATCCTTATACATAGTGTCCAAGTTACTTGACACAATATTGTTTCACAAGAGTAGTCTGAACATATGAAAATAAAACTGCACTCAAATAAAAATGCACAAGCAAATAAAATAAAATTCAAACTTCGTCAATTTTGTCCAATGACGGATGGTTTTGCTGCCAACATTCCACAACATGAGTGATACAGAATGTCAGTCATTATGAGTCTACATGTAAGTTGTATACACAGTCTCACAGATATTTACAACTGTAACGTCAGCGACTGATGGAAACATGACAGCAAATATACACATCGAAAAAAACTTAAGCACCACTCACAATACATTTCCACTAATAAAACTCATTTTTTAATCATTCTCTTTATTAATTTTATAACGAAACATACTTAGTTTTGTTTGCAATGTGACAATTCACTGAAATACAGAAACAGAAAACAATTATCTTTTATGTTTTACCCGTGAAGGTCCGGGTTAGAATATTGATCTTCAGTAACCCATGCTTGTCGTAAGAAGCGACTAACGGGATCAGGTGGTCAGGCTCACTGACTTGGTTGACACATGTCATCGGTTCCCCATTGCACAGATTGATGCTCATGCTGTTGATCACTGGATTGTCTGGTCCAGACTCGATTATTTACAGACCGCCGCCATATAGCTGGAATATTGCTGAGTGCGGTGTAAAACTAAACTCACTCACTCACTCACTTTTATGTTTTATAACTACTACTATAGTCCGTTTGGCTCAAAAGCAGACCGATGAATTGCAATCTAACTCGAAAACTAATAAACATAAAATACTCAATGAAACGCTGATCATAATCAAAACATCATACCCAGTGTGTCAGGTTTTTGCAGAATTTTTATCCTAAAAATAAAAAAGTTGTTTAACATACTATCATTAAAATATTGACACAGTTCACTATTTGTTACGAGGGAGGAGTGCAGAGAAAGGGACAGCCAGGTGTTCGAGAAGCACGTTCACAGACAAAGTTATTTATTCATTAACCTGTGCTGTGCCGTCTCCATCCGTTCTCGAACACCTGGCTGTCCCTTTCTCTGCACTCCTCCCTCGTAACAAATAGTGAACTGTGTCAATATTTTAATGATAGTATGTTAAACAACTTTTTTATTTTTAGGATAAAAATTCTGCAAAAAACCTGACACACTGGGTATGATGTTTTGATTATGATCAGCGTTTCATTGAGTATTTTATGTTTATTAGTTTTCGAGTTAGATTGCAATTCATCAGTCCGATTTGGAGCCAAATGGACTATAATATATTTCACTACCTTTAGTATTCCATCCTATTTGTTTAGCCTCATATGACATGACCCAGTGCTTGGTATCAACTGAAGGAACAGTCTTCCAGACCACCAGCCAGGGGATACCAGTGTCATCTGAGGCCTTTCATATAATGACTTCTCAGTCATGTACAAATTTGCCAAAGATACACTGAAGTTTAGGATGTATGAAAATAACTGAACGGTGCTTAACTGTTTTCCAGGTGTATACTGACCTATAAAACACTGAGTCTTTAGCTGACAGTAAACTACAAATCATTGACTGATGCTTGAGAAGCAGTATTTCCAAGTGAATGATGAGAATGACTGTATTATATACATTTTCACAACACCAATCGGTGGACAAACTGGTCAGGATGTGTTGATGTCAGAGCATGTAAACCACAACCTTCATAGCTAGTGATGTTATAACAGGGCTGTTCACATTCAGAGAGACCAAGAAAATTTGGATTTTGTTATGAAAAATCAAAACAAAATTGACATCATAAACATGTTACCTAGAAAAAAACTGTTGTGATTTGAAACTAGCTTTAAGAAATAATAAAAAATGACAACCAACTAATTAGAGCTTGTCTAATTGAAAATGTAAAGATAACTGTAAGGAAATGGGTTTATTTACCATAAGCATCTGTTAGAACCTGAAGAAAAAATATATACAGAAAGATCCTGTTAGTATGGCAACCTTGCAGACATCCAGTTTCTATAACAAGACATCTTGAAATGGGACCCCAAAACAAGGAATATACTTCACAATAACGATGGCCATCACCTGCCTCAAACCAAACAGGCATCATGCCACCATATCTGAATATCAGTAAGTTTGATAGGTCACTGAAGATCAACAATTCCATGGTCAGGACATTGTTAGGAAGGTGTACAGATTAAGGAGGTTTCACTGTGTTAGGAGTCCACGAATGAATGATCTCCAAACGATTGCACCCAGATGCTTGTGCCACTGTTAGATCAACTCCAGTGAGGTGCACTGGAGTCAGCTGAAGCAGCCGGTCTAGGCAGCTGGTTCACACAGCCAATTACTTAGTCAGTAAATGTTACGAACGTTATCAACCAACCCAAGTGTTATTGCAGTCTAATCTAGATATCATGACAACCTTGAAGACTACGGTGGCTAAACATATCTCTCCATATATATGTGTATAGAAATAGACAACACTTCAGGTAAACCCACACTTTAAACTAACAAATCCTAGGTGGACTGGTATATTAAATGTATTCTTCAGAGCAAATACAAGATTTTGAAACATAAATAAAGCACTGCTCCACAAATTAACATGTTCGAACTGTAATCATTTTTTTGTATTCTTACAAAACCTAGATAATTGTGAAATTAGATCAAGATATTCTTTGGAAGTGTTTTCAGTATTGCACATATGACCCTTTAAAACATTACCCAACTGCAATTCTCACCATACCTGCAGACCTTTATTAGTTGTGACTATTTCAGTTATTTCATGTCACTGTTTAAGTTATTTTCTTACAAACTAACTTCATCTTGAAACCAAACAGCTACTTCACAAGGCTTCATCAAGTCACAAACACACCTGATATGATTATTTGATTCCAACAATTATCACAATACAATCATCAACAACAAAGAGTCATCTAGAAACAACAAAGACAGGCAATGTAGGCCTGAGATCAAATCAGTTCACATGACCTTAATAAATAAATTGTTTGTACAGGATACAGTATGTACAGTTAGACATCAACAAATCATCCGCTGGACAACTCAAGCATGATATGAACACAGGACTTGGTACCAATCTAAAATCAAATTGTATTGCATCCTTACATGTGAATTAAAGACACAGGCATGCTGCCAGAAAACCAATCCAATGGTAAACATCCTCAGTGATCCAATGCTTTAAATTTCCATTCTGTCAGGATAAATTCTCTGAACACATTTGAATCCCTACCCATGCTTGAGTTCAGTTTCAATGACACAATGATAAAAGCAACATCCAATCAAATTTCCCTTTTTCCATAATTAAAACAAGTGGCGACATCATCAGTATTCTTTTTTTATGTATTGTCACAATCCAACAGGAATGTTTTGTATCATAAGGAGTTTCCTCCCCTGCCTTTGTATCAGAAAAACATCTTTTCTCCCTAATAGTTGTACAACATGTTTTAATTCCATTACATATACTGAGGACACACTTGTACAAGGCGTCAATTCTAAGTGAGATATATGCCAAACTCACATTCAGCAGAAGCATTCTGATTGGTTGTTGACTTCAAGATCATGATCACGAGAATCTCTGCTATAATGTAAAAGATACAGAACTGGTGGTATCACTTCTGAAATATAGCCAGTATAGTAGAACATGGGTGCAGTATATTTATCATAGTAGAATGGAGAATACTGCTTTGGATTACCGAGGATGGTGGCAGTCATAAATATGAAACATTAACTTATATTCAGTATAAAAATGGTAAGATGGTTGCAGCTAAGATGGCTGCTGCTGTCTCCAAGTGCCACAGCTGAACAACACAGTGAGTTGAGGTTTCAGCTGATGGCTGACAGTAGAAAACAAGTGATAAAGTACCATTCATATATCTCAAATAAACAATTCACATAAACATATGATGGTAAAAGGCCAAGAGATAAATAACAATATCCTTAAATTTCAAGTTTTCATCAGACAAAAAACAGTCCAACAAACACAGAAGGAGAGTATTAACAGTAATAACTATTATGATGATTACTATTGATGAGTACGAATGCAGGTAAAGAACAAATTTTGTGTAACAAATCAACATAGATCTGGTATATGGCAAATTGATTTTATATCTTCTGGAGATAATTTGACCAACTAGCAAAAGTCATTTTGTCACTATTTTTTCACACACAACTGAACACAATCAATGTAAATCACAAGCAGTGAAGCTACCCTGTTTTCACACTACTTTCACACTAAAGTGTTCTGAAGTTGAAATTACAAGATTACGTCTGAAAGTTCACTTATTTGAACATTTCCAAAATGCTGACTCCAACTTTGGTATTGCTTATATCAAACTTGCTAGCATTGCCTATTTGCCCAAGTCTGGTCCCATTACAAAAAGTCAAGATGTCAATCACTGTTCCATGGCTGAAAGGTAGTCCATTAATTTCATCATCTACACTATGACCTATCGATGAGTTTGGATGATTTAATATACATTATGATCCAACACACAAGGGTCTACAGTTTCTAGCAAGGCTGACATCATCGTGGAGCTGGTGCTGGTACCCCTGAATTAAGTCACCTGTAGCCAAAACTTTGCAGAAAGGAGCCTGAAATATGAATATCTATATTCCACTGCACATTGTCAGTATCACCTTATCAAATCATATTTTTGATCTCATAGCCTTGAGAATGAATGACAGAATAACTAGAGACATTCTCAGAGTATTGGACTGTTTCAAGACATTATATGAAGAAATGAACCTAGCCTTCAGTGCGTGGACAGATGAGATCACTGGCTATAGCTAACACAACACATGTCACAACCAGGGTATCGTGCAGTGAGGCCACAACAGTGTATGTACACACAACCTGGGGCAGACAACTCTACACAAAACATTTCTTGCTGCACACTAAAACGTTTGCTAATTGCTGTAGTTTTTGATAAATACTTAATCCAAAAACAGTTAGGTTGAGGGAAGAACACTTACACAAGATGCTGCTGAGAGTGGATTACTCTAGTCAGAGTCTTATCTGTGTAGGCCACAGAAAGCAAGGTAGAAGATATTTTTCTGGATATAGTGATTTGGAAACTGGCAACCCAGGATACATTTGTTCCATCAGCATCAACACACCTTCAGCATTACTTGGTAGCAGAACACCATTATGATTATAATACATGAACAGAAAAATCAAGACTGACAAATGGTCAACATTCATTTTCATACAAAACCTTTAGGGCTGCTATTATAAGACTTGACACCTCATCTATAAATATGCATAATTGTCTTTCAAAATTTACCTGTCATACTTCACTACTAGTCCAGCAAGAAATACATTGGTACCTTCAAAGTCCTTCAAATCAAGATTACACCAAGTTGACCATAATATGTGAACTTTTAAGATGACATCTAAAGCATGCAGCTGTATAATAATATCTCTAGTGCTTGATATAGTATAAATACTTTAAAGCAGTACCCGCTCATCTAAGTGACTGTGTCTCTATGTTGTTTCTGCACACACATTGTCTGTGTCATCGGGTTTCTGTATGTTGTCATCTGGTATTGTGATGGTTTCTCGCGGTGTCTGGATTGCCCGGATAGAGTCCTCCCATGCTGCAAGGCACTGCAACCACACACATGGCTGTCAGTGATACGACCACACACATGGCTGTCAGTGATACGACCACACACATGGCTGTCAGTGATACGACCACACACATAGCTGTCAGTGACACAACCACACATACAGATGTCAGTGACACAATCACACACAGTGACACAACCACACACAGCCATCAGTGACATAAACACACACAGAGCCATCAGTGACACAATCACACACATAGAAGTGTCAGTGACACAATCACACACACAGCTGTACAGTGATTACACAATCACACATACAGCTGTCAGTGACACAACCACACACATAGCTGTCAGTGACACAACCACACACATGGCTGTCAGTGACACAACAACATACAGCTGTCAGTGATACGACCACACACATGGCTGTCAGTGACACAATAAACACAGAGCCATCAGTGACAGTCACACAATTACACACATAGCTGTCTGTGACACAATCAAACACAGAACTGTCAGTGACACAACCACACACATACAGCAGTCAGTGACACAACCACACATACAGCTGTCAGTGACACAACCACACAGATAGCTGTCAGTGACACAACCACACATACAGCAGTCAGTGACATAACCACACATACAGCTGTCAGTGACACAACCACACAGATAGCTGTCAGTGAAACAACCACACATACAGCTGTCAGTGACACAACCACACAGATAGCTGTCAGTGACACAGCCACACACATAGCTGTCAGTGACACAACCACACATACAGCTGTCAGTGACACAACCACATCTACAGCTGTCAGTGACACAACCACACACATAGCTGTCAGTGACACAACCACACACATAGCTGTCAGTGACACAACCACACATACAGCTGTCAGTGACACAACCACATCTACAGCTGTCAGTGACACAACCACATATAGAGCTGTCAGTGACAACCACAAACATAGCTGTCAGTGACACATCCACAGATACAGCTGTCAGTGACACAACCAAACACATAGCTGTCAGTGACACAACCACACACATAGCCGTCAGTGACACAATCACACAGATAGCCATCAGTGACACAACCACACAGATAGCTGTCAGTGACACAACCACACACATAGCTGTCAGTGACACAACCACACATACAGCTGTCAGTGACACAACCACACATACAGCTGTCAGTGACACAACCACACATACAGCTGTCAGTGAAACAACCACACATACAGCTGTCAGTGACACAACCACACACATAGCTGTCAGTGACACAACCACACATACAGCTGTCAGTGACACAACCACATCTACAGCTGTCAGTGACACAACCACACACATAGCTGTCAGTGACACAACCACACATACAGCTGTCAGTGACACAACCACACATACAGCTGTCAGTGACACAACCACACATACAGCTGTCAGTGACACAACCACACATACAGCTGTCAGTGACAACCACACATACAGCTGTCAGTGACACAATTTCATAGAAAGTACACATCAGTGATAGTTATACAGAATCACACACAAAGTGTCTGTCACACAAAGCTGAGAGGTTTGTATTTAATGAGTGCTTGAGTATGGTTTATCTCCGCGTTTAGCAATATTCCAGCAATATCATGGCCGGGGACACAAAAAAGGGGGTTTCACACATTGTACCCATGTGGGGAATTAAACCCGGGTCTTCAGCATGATGAGTGAACGCTTTACCACTAGGCTACCCAACCACCCTTGACTAGAATGAACATCCCAAGGATCACAACTGATTTAACTAATATGGAAGCTACCTGGTTCCTGGTCAGCTTCTGTAACCAAAATAACAAAACCATAGTGATGACCATGCGCAGTCTCCCCACATTCTTACATGAGATCATTCTCTTCCCACAGAGGTTACTCCTGTCATATCTTCCTACGTAACCTCTGTTCTAATACGGCCATATTTCCCGGTTCTCGTAAAATCCCCTAGCGGCAAAAGATCGCAACACGAATTATCTCCCTTCTTTCTATCCAATCAGAACACGTGTTACATCGACTTAGATTCAACTTGACTAACACAAGCAAATGTGAGGCCACAAATATCCCCCATCTGCCGGGGACTTGTGTTGATGTTACATACAAGACGTTTAATGGCTAGCTTGTCCGTTGTCAACGAGGGCGATGGAGACGCCACTGATCCGCCATAACATGACTGAGTTCTGTCTAGAAGAAACGTTTGCGCATCGCGCAGGGGAAGAGGTTTAGTTTTCTCGAAGTATACGGAAATTACCGAGGCCTTGCGAATGATCACTTTTGAAACAACGTTGCTGATTGCACAACTAAATCTGATTACCTCCAATCACGAGTCTTGAACGCTCACACCATGAAAGGGCCGTATTAGAACAGAGGTTACGTAGGAAGATATGATAGGAGTAACCTCTGTGGGAAGAGAATGACATGAGATACACATGGTCAGAATTCCACACATGATGACCAACCTTTGCGTAATACTGTATCTGTCTGTCGGCCATGTTCACCAAGATGTCCTTCATGTCCCTCTGTTTAGTCTTGTGCCAGCGCTCCATGTCTGCCTTCAAGTCCGCATTTGCCACCACTGTCCGGTCATTTAGCATCTCCATCTGACGTTGCAGCTGTAGTCATAACATAAGAGGTGAGTGATACTCAGAGCAGAGTACAATACATTCAGTTGTTCCTCTGGCTGGTATTGGCATTTTCTGACAAATTATAATATGTCAGTTTATACAAACCTGTAGAGGTTATGAATTCTTTGAAGAAAGTCCTTCTTGGGGTACATATAAGCATAAAAATGTCCATTTTAAATCCTACGACAGTTGTAACTATATTTTTCAATATTTTACAGCCAAGTGCAGGTAACTCTCGCTGTCTACCTCATACCTCACTTTTCATGCTGAACGTATCAGACAGAATGAGGGGAGGCGGGTACCCCAAGGAGGACTTTCTTCAAAGAATTCATAACCTCTACAGGTTTGTATAATTCTTTTTCAGAAGAAGTCCTCTTGGGGTACATATAAGCATAAGACAGACTCCCAAAGATAATTGAGACGGGAGCGGCATTCTGTCTGGCAGCAACTAAACCCGTGGTGGAGTGAAATCTACAACCGATGCAGAAATAGAAAAAACACACTTACCGAGCCACCTCAATCAGGCGGGGGCGTAGCTAGGGCGGGAAATAGAGAGCCCAAGCTAAAACGTCAATTGGCTCAAATCAATTATGACATAAAACCCCAGCCCCAACCATTACAATGGAAAGGAATGTATGGGGACATGCCGAAACAACTCCCAACCTTAATAGCCAGAACCAGAGAAGCGTGGCGAGAGGTATAAGGGAAGGGAAAGCATAAAAAACTCTTAAAAGCAAATAACCCAAGAGTCAAGCTAATAAGTACTGCAAACTAATGCTCAAATGCACCCCTCCTGTTTGGAAGAGGGCTTGCCGGGACCTCGATAAAACCCAGAGAAATTATTAGCCTCGCTAAAAACTTACTGAGGAAATCGAATGAGTACAAACACCATGCATTGTACGAGTGAAAAGCAGGATAAAACACCCCCACCAAACGCTCTCAACGTGAGGAGGGTAAGTGTAAACCACCATCACCCAAAGTGCTGATTAACACAGACTCCCAAATACCGAAGTCTCGGAAAGAGGGAAAAACTGTTAGCGTACAAAAATCCCCTGAATACCGAAAAGCGTAGCCTTACATGTGTTGGCTCACTATTACACTAACCTGGTCACATGACATGCGGCTCGAAGAGAGGCATACCAAACAGTGACCCGTTGGGGGTTCGTACCCAATTCTGTCGCAAGACGGGTTAATAGCTTATGACTGTTTATAGCGTTCAAAACCGGCCCCGCCCTCTCTTGCCTTTAAGTGAAGAGGAGGTAAGGGACATATGTACACCCAAACCCGACCCAACCCGAAAGGGTGGTAAGGCTTATACGATGTAGTGATATGAACCATATCGACATTGAACACAGAACCGATACCAATGACCAGTTACTAACTTGGTCAGGGTGGCAGGGCACTCTCCACTGGAGAAAACCGAAAGACCAAACCGTGCACGATCCTTAGAATGCGTGTCAAGTCCGTAATGGCGAATGAAGGCGTTCTGCCGGCTCCAAAGAGCGACAGAACCGATCTCTTCATTGAGCAGTGCCACTGTGTATTGTCAACAAAGCGGCATCTGCCCTACCCAGCCTGCCTTCAACCCCTTGGGGGAAGGTAAATCTTAGCATTGTAACCGAACAATTACGGAAATAAGCAAACGAGATAAAGTCCGCTTGCTAGCAGACTCCCCAGTCATCTGCCACCAAACAGAACACATGGGTACCCGTACGGATCCCTTTTGTTGGTTTGTTATAGTCACTCCAACGGGTGAGCAATCGAAAGATCGGCCCAAGGTGTGGAAGGCTGGGTAAGGGGTGGAAGTTCGATATGAGCAGTCACGTGGAAAGTAATATCGAACTGAGAGTGGTAGGTATCCGGGAGGCGAATACGGACATGATCAGTATAAAATACTGTCAGTGTCGGGTCAGTGGGTATCGCATGGATGTACCCGACCCTTCTACCAGAGCTCACCACCACAAGTAAAGCCGTCTTCCACGTCAACAAGTGAAGTGAGAGAGACGATATACTTGAAAAGTCAATTGAGAATAATTGCGCTGTACGAGAGGGTGCTGCCCAGGCAGAGCACCATCGAACGATGTGTGAAAGGTGGAAATAGCCATGGAGTACCCGGGAATGGTGGAGGTCATAAGGCTCTCAACCAAAACGAGGTTATAGTAACTCCAATATCCGAACTAAATCTGCACACCAGCGCGTCCCACCGATCAACACACTGAACGGATGTCGAATCCCGCCTCGAAGCCAGAATTGTGTCTGCAACGGCTGCCGGAATTCCGTGTGTCTGGGGGTTAGACCCGACAGAGGCCAAGCCACCCAGAGAATCCGAGGATTCAGGTGTGGCGCCCCATTCAGAGTGAGAATGTCTGGCCAAAACATTTAAATCCCGGCGAGCGGGGGCGAACACCAACCTGACTGCTGTCAATTCCAGCACATTGATGTGCAGGTTGTGACTTCGTTGTCAAGAGACTGCAGGTCGCCCAGAACATCGCCCCAGCCCGGCAGGGATGTATCTGGCTGGACTGAGAGCGACGGTGTCTCCAGGGGGAGTCCCTCGGAGGGACGCCTGACGTCTGTCCATCTGACTGTGTGAGGTTGACAATTCGGCACAGTTTCGTAAGTGACCAACACTGATCGTGAGGTTCCCAGACTCAACTGTTATTCTAAAACCCCGATGAGCCAGTCGCCTAGGTACGGGTGACAACACCAGCACTAGCTGCGATCTGGCTATCTGGGCTGTAATAAACCTCAATTTGGTGAACACCCTTGGGGCCGTAATGTAGCCTAAGGGGAGCACACGAAACTCGTAGCACGTCCCGTCGAAGAAGAACCGAAGGTAAATCTTGAAATCAGGGTGCAATAGACAAGGAGGTACTCGACCTTGAGGTCGATTGACATGCACCAATCCCCTGTCTCGACAGATGAGATCACCGAGTGCGGTGTCTCCTTCTGGAAGGACAGTAGCTCTATTAACTTGTTCAGCTCTAAGATAAGAATGGGTCTGAACATTCCGTTCTTAATGGCAACAAGGAAATATATGGAGTCAAACCCCACATTTTCCTGACCATTGGAAACCACCTCGATGGTTGCCTTGCCTTGTCTCCCGGGACAAACCTACTCAGTGTTAAGTTCAAAGTAGAGAAAAGAGCCGAAGCTCAAATAGACTTGTCCACTGTACAAGCCTGAACCCCGGTTCCGAGGCACATGGCAGTAGCCTGATAAATCAGTGTATCCCAAGCACTCAGACACACCTCGGAGCATTGAGGTGACCGACACACCCGGCACACTCAATAAATTCTTGCTCAAGGCGTCGATAGACATCAGGCCGAGACCTGAACTACTGGCGCCAGGAAACTGTGCCCTACCAGTGCCGAAGCCTGGGTCGGTGCTACTCACGGGGTTCAGAGCATCCGCGGAGCCAGAGCTCGGCGGTTCTAGACTGATCTAGACCGATCCCGAAACACCTGGGAGTAGCCTGACAATGCAGGGTTCCCCGGTGTACACGGGTAGACCTCGGTACGTCGGGGTGATCGGTAGCTCCATCACACTAAACAGCCTCTTGACCACGATCACGCAGTCCGCCATTTTGCCTGCCACAAGGCTGGAAAAAAGAGAACCCGGCAAAGTTACAACAAAAGATGAATAAGAATGAAAATATAGTGACAACTGTCGTAGGATTTAAAATGGACATTTTATGCTTATATGTACCCCAAGGTGGACTTCTTCTGGAAAAGAATTAACAAAACAGGTAATATTTTGTTATTTACTGACAAGAGTTGATACAGAAATGAAAAACTTTGACAAGCAACACTGTTTAAAAGGAGTATATGTTTGCTTCTTTGTGTAACAATCCAATCAGCAATATTCCACCTATATGATGCTGGGCAGCAAATGACTGACATTGCCCAGAAGATCCAATAACTGATATCATGAGCAAGAACCCACACCATCAGGATACAATTACACCAAGTCAACCATTCTTGTAAATTAAAATTTAGACAGACAGCCCCCTCCTGCCCATCCCCATGGGGACTGTGCCAGACAAACCTACATCAGCTATCTGTTGCTCCAGCTTGTCCTGCTTCTGCTGTTTCACGTCCTCCGGGTCCTTCCCCAGGAAGGCACCAATGGAATATGTCTGGTCTGATATTTTCACCTGGAAGCCAAGAGGGAATTTATCACTTCAACAATGTTAAGTAGCCTTCACAGAGATAACAGGTGCTGTTTTCTGTTGTTGAATGATGCATATTGTGTACGTGCTGTCTATTGGTGATTGGGGTACAATGTAACATTGAGCTGACTACCCTGACACCGGAGTTGTTTGCCTGGTTGTGACTCTGTCGCCATTTCACAAAGTGATCATAGATCATGTTTTAGTATAGGAGTTACAATAGTCATAGCACTACAATCACTTTATGAAAACTGCCCTTGATTGTTTGAATGTTGGTGTGATATAGCCAGAATATTGCTGACTGAGGTATAAGGCAACACTTACCGGGTAATGTGTTTCACTGATACTTGAACCATTCAAAGTCTTACCTTTACATGTTCTCATCTTAATCATCTTTCTTGTTATTGTTGAGTTCCTCAACCATCATGTCATACTCCATTTGCATAGCATCACGGCGGCGCAGCACAGCCTGGAAAACAAACATCGAAGTGTCATGTAATACAATCAACCATCATGTTCCTCATGTGTGACTGCTGTGGGTGTCTGTGTGTGTGAATACATCCTTATCTAAATCATTGTGGATAAACGTGTGAAGTGTAATGTAATACAATCAACCATCATGTTCCTCGTGTGTGACTGCTGTGGGTGTCTGTGTGTGTCAGTACATCCTTATCTAAACCATTGTGGATAAACGTGTGAAGTGTCATGTAATACAATCAACCATCATGTTCCTCGTGTGTGACTGCTGTGAGTGTCTGTGTGTGTTAGTACATCCTTATCTAAACCATTGTGGATAAACGTGTGAAGTGTCATGTAATACAATCAACCATCATGTTCCTCGTGTGTGACTGCTGTGGGTGTCTGTGTGTGTAGTACATCCTTATCTAAACCATTGTGGATAAACGTGTGAAGTGTCATGTAATACAATCAACCATCATGTTCCTTGTGTGTGACTGCTGTGGGTGTCTGTGTGTGTGAGTACATCCTTATCTAAACCATTGTGGATAAACGTGTGAAGTGTCATGTAATACAATCAACCATCATGTTCCTTGTGTGTGACTGCTGTGGGTGTCTGTGTGTGTGAGTACATCCTTATCTAAACCATTGTGGATAAACGTGTGAAGTGTCATGTAATACAATCAACCATCATGTTCCTCGTGTGTGACTGCTGTGGGTGTCTGTGTGTGTGAGTACATCCTTATCTAAACCATTGTGGATAAACGTGTGAAGTGTCATGTAATACAATCAACCATCATGTTCCTTGTGTGTGACTGCTGTGGGTGTCTGTGTGTGTGAGTACATCCTTATCTAAACCATTGTGGATAAACGTGTGAAGTGTCATGTAATACAATCAACCATCATGTTCCTCATCGTGTGTGACTGCTGTGGGTGTCTGTATCTGTGTGTGTGAGTACATCCTTATCTAAACCATTGTGGATAAGCGTGTGAAGTGTCATGTAATACAATCAACCATCATGTTCAACCATCATGTGTGACTGCTGTGGGTGTCTGTGTGTGTGTGTGAGTACATCCTTATCTAAACCATTGTGGATAAACGTGTGAAGTGTCATGTAATACAATCAACCATCATGTTCCTCGTGTGTGACTGCTGTGGGTGTCTGTGTGTGTGAGTACATCCTTATCTAAACCATTGTGGATAAACGTGTGAAGTGTCATGTAATACAATCAACCATCATGTTCCTCGTGTGTGACTGCTGTGGGTGTCTGTGTGTGTGTGAGTACATCCTTATCTAAACCATTGTGGATAAACGTGTGAAGTGTCATGTAATACAATCAACCATCATGTTCCTCGTGTGTGACTGCTGTGGGTGTGTGTGTCTGTGTGTACATCCTTATCTAAACCATTGTGGATAAACGTGTGTTTGCAGGTATGTCAGTGTTCAGCTGCTTGTGGCAGGACTGACCTTGATACACTCTGTGTACAGGATGTACTCCTTGACGGGCTGCAGCAGCTGGTCATCCGTGGAGTCAATCTGGAACAGTCAACTCTCAGTACGTCCACTACATTCACAATACTCAACTAACAAAAAAGTGGGGTCATCAAACAATTTTCTTCCAAACAATAACATGACTGGTTAAAGCGTATGTTTTTATATTCCTTTACTGAAAGATACCTTCAACATATAATAAATAATAAAATAACACAGCTAGTCTTGGTGCCAAACAAGATCCAAATTGCCCTGTGACCAGTTCCTTAATCCTAATATTTAGTACTGGAATTATCTTATGCGAAATGTAAGACAATAACTCTTCAGTTCAGACACACACAAAATTACATTGTCTAAGTGTAAGCATCAGTTTATTTTATCATGGCATCCATTAGTCAGTTATAATGACCATCACAAGACAAGGGAAGCTATGGTGATGGGTACAAAACTGGGCCCTGTGTTACAAAGTGGATCCATGGGTCCCAGGTGTTGTAGAATGTAGGCACTTACAATGTCCTTGAGGATCTGGCAGGTAGATTCTATCGTCTTGGACATCTGCACAAGTGTGTCGCTGAGCTGTTCCTCTGAATTAGACCACAGGGTGTACACAGGTGCCCACTCATTAAGCTCACCCAGCAGCTCTGAACAGATGAAGAAGATAGAAAGGTTAAAAAACTTCTAACGTACAATGATTTAAACAATTTCTATTTACAACATTTTGTATCTGCACATCAGACATTCTTACAGAAATGGTGCATATCAACATTCTAGCTCAATCTATGGAATCCAGAATTTGATTCATTTCAGTATATTGGCCCTGCCTTTAAGACTATGCACATATTAGATCCAAATATGACGTAAAAAATCCACAGTATGAAAAGTTGTCCAAACTTTCCATGATAGTCAGAGCTGCAAACCTGCTAAATTACAGTTAGTCTTTCTTCATGATATCTTCGGTAAGTAGGAAAATCTAGCAATTTTGAATCATCTCCAGTACAATACAGTCATGTGATTCCAAAAGGCATTTAACGTGGAGTGTATCGATGCAACACATTAACTGACTTCATACCATACGACGCACATGTGATTGCTGTAGATGGTGCAAGGCTAAATAGTGATCCTCCATTTACCAATATCTATGAAAATTTAGTCCCTGGTCTTTCCCATCAACAGGAATATTATTTGTATGAATTGAGGAAGAAATCATATATATTGTACTTTAGTTGAAACATCAGGACAGATGACATCTATGAAAAGTGCATCCTAACATGTATATAAAGAAAAAGGAATACCACTACATATTGTATCAGGACACTGGTGTATAGCTTCAGCTCTTGTACTTTCAAGGAGACATGATGAGGCCCTCAAGCCTCCCAGACACAGAAATAAGGCAGCATCTGTATCGCAGCCAACTACCTGTTTGTTCCTTGACGATCCTGCTGGCAATGCGGTCCATGACGCAGACTTTATCCCCAAAGGTGTGAATATACTCATGCATCACCATAAACTCCGGGGGCCTGTTCTTCATCATGTAGGACGCCCCCATGTTGTGGAGGGAGTCCGTCACACGGCTGATAAATCCTGACCCCTGTTTCTTATGGGCTTGGAACTCCTGCAGTGATAACAGTCACGGACATTTTAACACAGATCTAGTGGTACGTGAAAGAGTTCACTTGTCCTTGGGGACTGGAATAACAAAGTTTCAACGTCTGTAGCTATGGCAATGTTTACAAGTAAATGTGAATGTGACAGATACTTCAGAGATTTGTGATCTAATTCACTGTTAGTCATAATTAAAATGTTTCACTTTTCCCTTATGATTGATCATAAATCAATAACATTTTGTTGCTTTTCAAATCAATTGTCAGTTTCATTTTTCCCTCCCATTCCCACCAATAATTTAAGTGTAATAACCTAATTCAACATTACATGAGTTCTGTAGTAAGTTGATGAAATCATCCTCCTTTATATAAGTTAGTTTACCATTTACCCCTTTCTAAGACAAGATTATTTAACAATAACCATCTCCAACAGTTTTGCAGGACAGTATTAACTCATCTTTACAAGCAAATATGATTCACATTGAAAGGATGATTATATGTAATAATTATTGTCATGTGATGAAACGCAGAAAGAATTAGGCAGGATATAGAGAATACTACACAAGGTCTCATTACATACAAATTATACGAAACCATAGGAAGGTCATGAGTTTCGTATAATTCGTATGTAATGAGACCGAGTGTGGTATTTTATTTATTACCCACGTCTTACATGCATTGAATTGACAAAATAGCGTATTTTTGTTATGGTTATGGTTTCAAACCGAAACCGGTTTCATAAAGAGGTTGCGGAAGAATTTTGTTCTGTGGTACACTTTTGCATGACGTCACACTGTATTGACGTCATTACGCCATTCTCGTCTGTCCCCTTGGTAACCGACGTCACAATGCATGTCAGTTGTCATCGCCTCTCGTACAGCCTCCTACAGTAAACTACTCCGTAGCACCCCATTTCTTGGTTTGCAACTGCTTCACTCGGCTAATATCACTGGTGGAAACATTGTGTTTATGTTTATCGACGGATATAATGTCTCAGTTCGACTCACAATTAAACAGCTACACGGTAACGTTCGCAATGTTTACATTCCCCCAATGCATCTAAGTTATAGAATGAATGAATTCACGTGTTTGTTTTGAATGAACAAGTAGTTCCGTCACAACGTGACCTAACTGAAAGGTCATCAGTTATCCAATCAAATCTTTAAAATCTCAGGTCAAGCTGTTACGACACAGGTCAACGCAATACGGCACTCGTGTGACGTACACCAGACACCACTCTACAACTTTTGGTAACAACAAGGGCATAAATGTGTAAAGTCAGGTTTCAAAAGCTCTAATTGAATTCAACAATGAGTTTTGGAAATTTGGAAAAACCGCATTCTACAGTATCCCTGACTGACCACCTACCCAAGCTTTAGCGGTGAGGAACACATGGAAACTCTTGTCAAAGGAGAGGACTGGGTGGTCTGCCAGTCTGGTCAGGAACTTCTGTAAGGCTGCTTGTCGGACTCGCAGAAACTCAGGGCTGAACCTGTCCATTCTCTTCAAGGTATGCTTCTCTGGCAAGGGCTGACATAAAACCATGTATAGGCAAAGGTAAGTTGAGTAATTTGAACAATTCAAGAAACATATTGAACCTAATGTCCCTTAATTTAGCAATCTGCAGTCATGACATTACCACCCTTGAAGCAACTACAACTGCAATGATACAGTATCGTTTGGATACAACATGATACATATCACTGTATAGACCTCTTGGTACCATATATTTTGATTCAATACATTAAGAGCATACAAAGCAAAAGAAACACAATATGTTGGCTGTCAGATATTTATATTTCAAAACAAAAATAGGCAAATGATAAACAGACTATCCCTGACTATAAATAACATTAACAAAATGAAATTACCAATGGCTAAATGTATTAACATGATTAAAAGGCAAATCATAATACATATACTAATATGCTAATACTGGACAGGACTGAAAAAAGCAACAACTGAATTAACAAGAGTCATCATGGTCTTCAGAAGATGACAAATCCCCATGGCCCCCACATATTTGAAAGAAAATATCATCTGACAGTTACAATTTGATTTTTTTAGACTAAGTCCAAATCGTTTCCATGGAAACAAAGAAAAAGATAAATGCCAAAAATCAGCAAATAGCAAAAGGCACTACTTTGGGATCTACCTCATACATCTACTAAGTTTTGCTGAAAGATATTGAATGGTTTTCAAGTTGTGCTCCGGAAACAAACTCCACCCCTCCTTTTTGAGACTAAGTCTGAATAGTTTCATTGGAACCCGGGAAAAATAACATGCCAAAAATCTGCAAATAGCAAAAGGTTGTGTTTGATATATTTACCAATTTATGTTGGAAAAAAGTGAACTGTTTTTTAGTTACGCTCCGGAAACAAAATGATTACAGACGGACAGACGGACGAGGCGTTGACTACTGGTATATCCCCCGCATTACATGCCAAGGGGATAAAAAGTGAACTAATGGTAAATATCGTGGTACACTGAGGACAGCAGTATACCATTGCAGGTCCAGCCTGGCGCTACATGACCTTTATGATTCTGTCACAAATAGAGCTAAGCTGTGTTACCAGCAGACTGAAATGTTTTTCACACAATTCCTTTATCAATATTTATTCTTTATTCCTGCATATTGGGTAAAAAGTACATAGGTTTTGTTGTTATTTGTATTGTTTAATCGAAAACAGACCATGACTCACAAGTTTTTCTCTTTGAAATTGCCTGTCAACACGATGGAAACATTTTCACTAATCTCTCCTGTATCCCTGACAACAAATCAGAGCCACCAGATAATGCTGACTTTGACATTGTATTACTTACTTCAACATGCTTACCATGTACAAAATATAATCTGCATGTACAATCAATGTTGATAGCTGTCATATACTTTAGCTCCGAATATATCACAATACATATTGCACTGCAGATACCTGTGTTTGAATAGCAATATTCCAGCTATATGGCGGCGATCTGTAAATAATCGAGTCTGGACCCACAATCCAGTGATCAACAGCATGAGCATCAATCTACACAATTGGGATATGATGACATGTGTCATCCAAGTCAGCGAGCCTGAACACCCGATCCCGCTAGTCGCCTTTTACCACATTCATGGGTTGCTGAAGACCAATTCTAACCTGGATCTTCATGGGTTATATAATGCAATAGTGAGTGAGTAAGTATGGTTTCATGCCGCTTTTAGCAATAATCCACCAGACACCAGAAATGGGCTTCACATATTGTACCCATGTAGGGAATCAAACCCGGGTTTTCAGCGTGACTAACGAACAGTTTAACCACTAGGCTACCCCACTGCCCCAATGTTAGCCAATACTACTGAAATACACAGCCCAGTTCACAAACACTCTTTTATACATGTATTAGAACTAAAAACATGTAATTGAAACATATACATATATAGCCACCAGTCAAAAGCAAGTGAAATATGTCTAGCAAGCCCAACTAATACATGTAGTCCATATATCTGATAAATTGAAACAAGAGTCAAATAAAATGAAGACAACAGACAATTTCAAATTCTGATTCAACAGACATTAGCACATAGTAATATATAGAGTTCAACATGTATTCATGAAAGTCACATTATCATCTATGTGGAATACTTGTAGTCATGGTGATCATGGTAATTCTGCAGATGACTTATACACCACTGACTGATTTGACTTTCCAAATATCATCCAGTATTCAGCAGAGTTACCATGGTTACACAGTGACGCTAACCCTAATTGAAGCATGGATGTAATTAGTAGGCTAAATTACCTGTCAACAAAATGACTTGAGAGTGTTTTTACATCACAACCAATCAGAGAGACCTTGTATCACAGAAAATGGATGCATGGCTCTCATTAGACAAGATAGTCTCACTGTTGAATACCAGAGCATTAGCAATTTGCTCTAAATGATATTCAACACATGTTAATAATTTGGTACAAAAATGAAATGATAATGTGATATGGGGGAGGAAAATGTAAAAAATATATCACAGCAAAATCATAATAGTTGGCATGTCTAGTTTCAGTTTGCTTACCGGCACAAGATGGGTCTGATAGTTTTCCTCAAGTCTTTGCCGTAGCCACAGGAAGTCATTGTAGCGCCTCCTCACTGCATACTCAGATGTATCAAACTGACTTCTAGTTGTCTGCAGATTAAACATATGAATGGTTAGTCATTGCTTACATTTTTATGATAGAGTGTGAAAAACACTATCATTTAAGTGAAATTACCAAGCCAAAAGATATTCATACAACATGTACTTGATATATGTAACAGTGGTACTCATGTCCTCTCAAGAAACAAGGGAGTACTTGTAGTGATTCGAGGGATTTATTAAAAAATGGAGTTCTAAAAGGATGTCCAGATCTGCCCTCGTCTCAGGGACGCAGGCTGTAATAATAATAATAATAATAATAATAATGCACTTGTATAGCACCTAATTTCCAACCGGTGGCTGCTCAGTGGTGCTTCACAAAGTTAAAATTAAAATAAAATAAACAGAGTTATTGGTTGAAGAGATAGGTTTTCAAGTCACAGCAGGAATGACTGGAGAGAGTCCGTAGATTTGAGAGATGTTGGGAGGCTGTTCCAAATGTAGAGTGATATAAGCCCCTATGTGTACTTGTGCAAAGAAAGTGCTCACAGCAGAAAGAAATATACTGACTCATCAGCAAACGTTTGAATCAGTGATTCCACATGACTGAAACAATCATGTGAACCCAGAGAACAATAAGACTAATCACAGGCCAAGCCTGTGACTGACCAAGTGACAATACCCATGAACCTATGTACAATGAAAAGGCTGAACTATCCAAGCTTACCTTTGAGTTAGTAGATTTGTGCAAGTGCTGAAGTAAACACAAGTATTTAAGGAAAATAAATGTTAAATATATAGGTTTAGGTTATTCAATATACTTCATATAAGTTTACTATAATGATGCATGAAAATTTACCAATATACTATTTACAAACATACTGCTACATATATGATCATCTAAATTTCTGTATAAGACAATACCCCTGAAAAAATCAAAGTAAGAAAATCCCACTTTCGAACCAAATTACATTTTACCCCAATGATTTTTGCCAAGAGCATTTTATTTTGAATCCTAGACAATCACTGTACAGTGAGTGAGTGAACATTGCTTATACAACAATCAGCACTGTTCCAGTTATATCAAAGCAGCCATGAAGCAATGGATACTGGGCCTTACAAACATCTGATTTTCTGGGGACTTCCTCTGCCACCAAGTCCCAACACAGTCAGATGAACATGTTATATAATATTTGGGACTCACTCAGCCACCACGGCTTCGGACAACTGGCAGTCCAGATTACAAACTTTGTGTAACCCTCTGACAAGTGTAAATTAGCATGGCTCCTATGGCCAATAGCTATGAATACACATTGCCATTTAGAAAGTGGTTAAATCAATGTAACATATACTACACTATTTAAAAACCTTGAAACTTCCTGAATATCTTGTCTCATATTGGAAAATAGAGTGACTAGAATAGAGTTTAATCTTAAAACTATTGTAGTGACTGTGTGAGTTTAGTTTTACGCCGCACACAGCAATATTCCAGCTATATGGTGGCGGTCTGTAAATAATCGAGTCTGGACCAGACAATCCAGTGATCAACAGCATGAGCATCGATCTGCGCAATTGGGAACCGATAACATGTGTCAACCAAGTCAGCGAGCCTGACCACCCGATCCCGTTAGTTGCCTCTTACGATAAGCATGGGTTACTGAAGATCAATATTCTAACCCAGACCTTCACAGGTATTTCTATTAAACTATTGTACAATTTCAATACAGCATAAACTAATAAGATAAAAAAATATCATAAAATATATGTACATGATGTAGTTCCCATTTTATCAGCAAAGTCAATCAATGGCTGCTTAATAAGGTCCATGAGTGAAATGATACATTATCCAAATATGAGTCCACATAGCTATGTATCTATCACATATTATCATCTGAGAATATTATCACTGCAGTGACATATTGGTGAATAGTGTCATCCCTAACATTAAACAGTAAGCATGGAAAGTACATGTACTGTACACACTATGTGCAAACTCTTAAGGGGGCACTGTACACTTTCAAAGTTTTGCTGAGAATTTCTTCAGCTACCTGTTGTATGATATGGAAAGATATAACAATGTTTCAGTAAACCATATTTTTCTATTTGTATAGTAAAGTTAGACTTATCTGAATACAAACAATGCACATTTTTACCTGGTTACTTAACATTGATGTCACATAGTATTAATTATTGTACATCCTGAATCTGAATAGAATCTGTTAGAAAATGATGAAATGTTATTTTGAAAGTGGTCAAAATGGAACGTATGTTATATTTAGGATTACACTTCCTCAATTACCGGTAAGTACAGATTCTAATACTTTCTTGTGTTGAGTCACATCTGGGATTCAACCCCACACTCTCAGAGACACCTAAACACCAGCACACAAAGTTAGCGATCTAACCCATTCAGGCATTGCAGCAAACCTGTCAACTCTCACATTTTGTCATGAGTCTCATGTTCATTTAATGAAAATCATGTTCTCACAGCCAGTATCCTAAATCTCACATTTTTTGCGTGAAAATGCTTTCTAAATATCACTATATGATGCTTTCAACCTCGAATAATGACCACAAGCTTCCAAAATACAGTAAAAAATCAAATAATAAAAAATTCGACAGGGGAGCTTTAGCATGTTTAGTGGTGGTCCGATTAATTGAAATAATCACGCAGTGACTAAACGACCAATCAATCGATCATGTTTTCTCATAATCGAACACACACAATTCTGGAACACTTTTTGCATTAACAATATTTTTCACAAGGTTGGTTTTGTCTATTACAAGTCATGATATTTTTTTTTAAAGACCACAAGAATTTTTAGGTTCCTAACATTCCAGTTCTCCTTTAAAGATGTGCAATTTGCGCACACACACAAAAAAGAACTACATGGTTTTTTCTTTATGTTTTTGTGCAAACAAAAATAACCAGGAAAATTTCATAAATGATGCTAACCAATTATTTTCGATGATTGATCGGTTGTAATGAATCAATCATCAATTATGAGATTTTAACCAATTCCCAACACTAGGGAGCTTGGCCCTGGACCCAAACAGGATCTGCAGCCAATGGCCCCCCGCTTTAGTTTTAATGGTTCTCACTTCTTGGATACATTTTGGGTTAACAGCTATGCTGCAGCCCTTTTATGGAAACATATCATATGTTGCAGGGTAATTTGGCTCACCTTTGTGGACACCCTGAATGTGATATATGACTCAATTGTTCCTGTGTGCTTCTCTGGATTGTCCACAATAACAAAGAGGTCTTTCGTCTCCCCATCGAAGTCATCATCCAACGGAAATTGGCGATCAGACTGGAACTTCTTGACACTGTGATGTCAGACCTTGCTGAGGCATCCAGGTCAAGACTCTCCATCTGTCACAAAAACAAACAATTTTTTTATTATGTTTAGGTTATACATTTCAAAACAATTGGTTTACTGATAACAGGGATTTATCTAGACCTGCTCTGACATTCAGCCCAAAGGCTTCACTGACTGACTGAGTTTGGTTTTACGCCGCTTTTAGCAATATTCCAGCAACATCACGGCGGGGGACACCAGAAATGGGCTTCAACACATGTCAGTAAACATTCCCCAAAGTGAAACAAAACATTCATGTTTTAATCTTAGTCCTAATGCAGAGGTGACTCGTATTTCACTGACAGAAGGATCAATATAAAAATCAAGGCTTTAATGTTTACCGTTACATTTTAGCACTGAGTTGAATATCAAAATACCAATGAATATACAAAAACAGGAAGTTTAAGAAAATCTCAATTTTCAACAAGTCACATGCACAAGACTCCCATCCTTGATTTAGATTAGATGGTAAAAGTTCGCTTGGGGGTTCACTTCATGTGACCTATTTTGGTGTCTTCAGATCTTCACACAGAGACATCATATTGTACAAAAAGATCTCATGATAATGAGATTGAGATATACGTTTGACAATAGGTTTTAACTATTTCAGACAACATACATTTTGGGACTGAAGTGCTTACTCAGGCTAAAACAGTATTGCATCATCAGTCACTGTAAATTCTTGAAGGACCGGTTGAATTTATGACAAGTTATCTTGTATTAGTTAGTATTACAATTGTTCATGCAATAATCGAGGCAACAATGAACATTCTTAAGTTTCTGAAAACAGATAAAACGAGGATATATACATTGCCATGATATAATAATGGCACTGCCTTATTTTATTAGATTTGGAAATGAGATTTTATTTGTGTTCAAGGAGGTGGTTTGAATGCTTCAAAAGGGTGTTGTTTAATGCTTACAGCACATGATAATTGCTTCAATCTCATTTATGACCATATTTATAGTCCTTGTATGTATAATTTCTTACATCAACCCCATGGATAATTTCTTACATCAACCACCTGCCCAGTGCTAGTCAAAAGTACACCTTACAATATTCAGTAGAGTACATACACATTATAGTTGCATGGCTGCAAGTGTCTAATGTACATGGTGGTTTTTGTTTGGAAAATGATTGCTCGTACTTGTAGACTTATAACCAGACTGGGGCCCTGGTGTCATTAGCTTAAAAAATTATCCTTCATCGTAATACGATTATTTGGATAAGTCTTTAAAATCACTACAGCATTTGGACATGCGTAGATATGTGCAAATAACTGCTAATAGGGAAAAGAAACTATGTGCATTAATCCGCGAAATATCCATAATTAGACTAATTAATATTGAATAAACAAACACACAGGGGGTGGATCTCTCCCATGTTTACAAACGACATCAAAGTACATCGTAGATAGGATAGTTATGATTTCCTTACCCCATCATCGTCACTATCCTTTTCAAGACCAGTTAGTAACGGATCTCTAAATTTGACATTGTCCTCCGACTGAGTGGAGGAATTGTTTTCCTCTTCTTTCAAGTCGATGCTACCTCCTGAATCAGCCATGTTTTGTCAATTTTGTCCCTCCGATCATTCACAAATAAAGATATGTTACAATATTTGTGATTGGTCAGAAATAGTAAATATTGAATAAGAACAGCCAATCAAAAAACAGTTATTAAACCTTTATCGTTTACTATTGATCTAAGCGGCGTAAAGTGAACAGGCACTTGTCACTGTTATAAGAGATTAAATCTTCGAATAAGTTACAATTTCAATGGCCTTCCAAGCTCCACATACCGGTCAAGGTCTGTGAATTAGAATCTAATTATTTCGTTGATTTTAATCAGTTGTAATAGAGCTAGGAAATAGTATACTGTGATTTCACTTTGAAGTGACACAGTTTTCGTTCACAACACGTATGACGATTCACGAGTCTCCAGTTTTATAAACTGACATGCAGAATGATGTCACAACTTCGTTGTCTCGTAAGAAACATACGGCACTTTGTAGGATTTGCAAAATACCTGTACATCTCCGATTGCGTATAAATAGAAAGAAATGTCATAACATAGCAACTTACCGACTGCAGGTTTTGCACTATGGTTCGGCTGTAGGTGAATTCGTAGACGTGGAAATCCGGTGGATTCGTAGGCGGATTGAGCGGTGGATTCGTAGACGTTAGTAAAATGGGGAAAGTTCAACATCAATGATGATGAAAATCGATATTATGACTTGAATGTAACCGAAAAGTGTTTGCATTTTGTGAAATAAATAAAATATATTAGGTAAGTATTATTCAATTATTAATACACGTCTACGAAATCACCATCAACGAACCAGTCTGGGCTACGAATCCACCGCGTCTACGAGCTGGTTCAGCCTACGAAATCACCGTCTCCCTATGGTTCAGGCTGTGCCTGGTGGATTTTGCTTCACAAATCTTGCATGCCCTTCAATACTTAGTGTCAGTTTTGTTAGGGTAGGTTAACACCAACTCTACAGTGTCGGCCATGTGATCCCCTTTCCATTCAAATACCTTTTCACGATATTTGGGTCGGCCACCACTTCAGTATCAAACATCCCTCTAAGATTCTTAGTCAGAGTTACACCATGGGTTATCTGTCTCCTTTATGTAATTACCCCAATGTATGGCTGCTGCCCAAAACGAAACAATTGTGTGTTGTTCACTTGATAAGTGAGCGCTGAGTATTTGTTAAGGCACTTGTGGTATTGTTGTCAAGTGTTTGCTCTTTGAATAACTCATAAGCCTATCTTAGCTTGAAGCTATCAGCATCATTTGAATCATCCAATATTTACAAAATAACTTATTCCAATTTTTCTTTTCAATTTGGTATCAAAGTTATGGTTATTAAAATTACATATTTTTTAAGTAAGATCTAAGAAACTGGCTTTAAATCATAAACTATTTTGTTAGTATATCAGCTGACCTAAAAAAATATCAGAGATGTAAAATTCACAGTAAATTTTACAGCGCAAACAACTGACTATTTTCAAGAGTCAATGTGTAACCCCTTGTAGTGACAAAGTGATAGTAAAACAATGAACATATGAGGGAATGCTGTAACCACAAAGTGATTTTAGCTGGCACACTTTATATTAAGAGAGGTTAGATACAGTCATAGTACATATAGTTTGTTTGCAGTGAAAACGTACCGATGAATTTCACTTTAAACAAAAACGTAAATCAAGTAAAGTGAATTGAAGATTGAATCCTCATAACTTTACCTTGCCAAATGAACATTAAAATCTCAGAAGTTTATTCAACTTAGGATAAAAGTTGTTTGCAATCTTAATTTCACTTTATTTGATTTACTTTTTTGTTTAAAGTGAAATTTGTCGGTACGTTTGCACTGCAAACAGACTATTAGTGTTTATCAGTTCCAGTATGGTGGCAGTTTATTTACATTTGTTGCGTTTCATGTGAAGGGCAATTTCTCATTAAACAGTTTATGGCATACCTTAATATTTGGTGTGATGACCTTTAATTTGAATCATCTCCTATATCCTGGCTGGTTTTGTGTCATACCAGTGTGTGTCAGTGTTTTTCCCTAGATGTTGGATGGGGACACGATTATCTCATTGAAGATCTCTCTTAGTCCAAAGCCAAATATTATCAATATTATTTAGATCTTGTGATTTTGCTGGCCATTCTGTGTCAACAACTTTGTTTTCCATCTTGTAATTATTGGCAGTGCAGGCTCTGTGTACAAGAGCATGATTATCTTGGAATATCTAATCTCCAGTTTTAAATGCCTAGCTTCAATGGGCTGCAAATTCACATTATCTATATCAGTGTATTTTGGGGCATTTATGTTAACTTCGACAGAGACCAAAGTACTTTTTCCATAAAAAAAAAGCATTCCTATATCATCAAAGTGACTGCAAAATTGTCCGACTCTTAGACAATGTTAGAACTGGAAAGGGGTGTTTGGCCAACAAGTGGTGCCAAACCCACAGGATTTTGAAGAGGTGTTTGATCGGTACAGATACCTTGCCCTAATAAGGGATAATAATGGAGGCTAAGAAAATAGTTTGGGATTTAGGAGTTATGCAGGATCGGTGAAGTAAGATCCACAGTTAGTGCTCTATGGTTTGGCCTGATAAACTGCAGTTTTACCTTAACTTTTACTTACATTCCTACATTTATTTATGCCGACAGTGATTCAGACATTGCAAGGTCAGCAATGTAATTTGGGTTACAACGCATTTTTAGGCCATCCTCATGTGGATAATCTTTTATATTATGCAACCAGAATGCACAAGATTTTTTTTTTCAATTTTTCCTGATGTCATACTGGAACAATTTATTGGAAACACAATCCTAGACAACAAAATAAATACTCTTTATATCAATGTTATTTTATCCTAACATTAACATTACCTATCAAACCTATCAAACACATTATGTTGCATGTGTATTAACCTTATAACCAGTAGCATGTGATCATGAAAACAGGATCATGATAATAATATCTTCTTTTTCTTCAGAACTTGCTTCACGTGAGATGTTTAATGTTTATATGCTTGTGTGGAATTTGTTTACCATATTTCATCTCATAGTAAATGGACATTGATGAGTTTGTCTATCAGTCAGTTGTTAATCAAGAAGTTATAGTTTCCTGCAAGGTTGATAGAAATAACTGTATAACATATAGACACGGATGGATACAAGGCCTGTTTGTTTCAAGTTGAAGCAGTGTGTCATTCAAAGCTGTGTAGATGTATAAAATGTATATGTGAAGAGTTGCATCACACAGCTATACTAGGATCCACTGGCTGTGAGTTCAAATCCCAAATTTGCTCCAGTTATGATCCTTAGAATTCTCAGCACTATTCTGATGCATCTGGGCTGTATCCATGTTTTGATGAAATCATGGTAATAGAAAACCTGTTCAAGGTAGTCCTGGTAGTGTTATGTACAGCTTGGTTATTTGATTGTTGAAGAGCGTTTTACTTGTGTGCAAGTCTAGAGGGCCAGAAAACCAAGTGTTTCATTAGCCTAACATTCAGAGGAGATAGTGATACAGAGATGTTTCATCATGAAGCTGTTTCATTAGGATCATGTGTATCACGCTTTTATATATGATAATCAATTTTCACTTTGGTGCATGGGTTGGGAAAAGTTCAGGGCAAGACATACTTCTAGTGTCATTCATGCAAGCATTGTAAAGTGATTCAGAAAAAACAATCTATTTGGAACAAATATTGTTGGTTTGGAATTTCTTATATTTTGTCTGTTCAATTCTTTTGTACATTCACATATAATGGTAAAAAAATTTCATGTCTGCAATTGAATAAAGAATTACCACCTCAAAGCTAAAGTTAATTTACATATTCCTTACCTTGCATATGATACAACCGCTACGTCTTGTCTACATCCTCACTTGTCTCAGGATATTGTTCAGTTCCTATTGCCAGGGATACTCACTATCCAGCTGATATAACTGGTGGTAGATATCTATCTGTGTTCAAGGCCCAAAGTATTCTCTATAAAAAAATGTGGTTTTGGTAATAAGAATTTTCTGAGCATGTCTGTAGCTGGTTTCTTTTGATTTCTGATTATCTTCTAAGCATCCACTCGTGAAGATCTGGGTTAGAATTGATCTTCAGTAACCCATGCTTGTCGTACAAGGCAACTAATGGGATCAGGATCAGGTGGTCAGGCTCGCTAACTTGGTTGACACACATGTCATCAGTTCCCAATTGCATAGATTGATGCTCATGCTGTTAATCACTGGTTTGCCTGGTCCAGACTTGATTATTTACAGACCGCCGCCATATAGCTGGAATATTGCTGAGTGCGGCATAAAACTAAACTCACTCACTCACTCTGACCATCCTGTCACAATATACCTGGTGTGGTGTACTTTTGTTTGGGTTTTGAGTCTATAGCTATGCACACATACTGCACAGAGGAGAACAAATGTGACAAAGGAATTTCACTTTTCACTTGATCGTGTAAATTAATACATGCATATGGTGGTGCACACAGTGCTCTTTCACAGTGTAAAGGCATTGATTATCTCCCTTGTTGTATTATACATGAACATGAAGAAGGCAACAAGACAAAAAGTAATCAAGGGAAACTCAAACTATTGATGTCTGATTAGCAGAAAAGGTTTAAAATTGGCAGGGTTTCACAGAGTATCAATGTACCACAGTTTGACAGAGAAGTGGTACTGTTACTGATTGTTAGCATGATTCACATCAGGACATTCTTTGTGTGAATATTTGTGTAAAAAAATAATTAAATTCTGTATCTGTAAGAGTTACGAAATTATTGAACCTTGAAATTGTCACATTTTTTCTGCTCATTCCTACATGTACCATGTATCTGTACATCTTTACCTGTTCACATGGCCATTTCCAGATTATTTACTAAATCTCTTCATAATGTTATTGCCAAGACAAGATGTCATTAGACATAGTAACTTCAAATATTCTTGAAAGACCTCTTTGTACTTTGTTTACTCAATGGTTGTGTTCCTATGATATGCAGGCAAAAGTGGACATGACATACAAGGATCATGAAACAGCTGATATTTTCTATTGATTGAAACTGTCATGTTAAAGTGATTAGTTACTGTAGCTGGAAGAAGACATTGTACTGATTTTTGTACTTTGTTCATTGTAATTTATGTCATCAGTTTATGGTGCATACATTCCATGTGGCAATCTTATTTATTAAAGCGTATAGAAAATAGATTTCCAAATTGTATACAGTACCATAACATTTATCTTTGTATGTATGTTCTCTAATATCATGATAATGTCATATGTTTGAGCACGTTTTGGGATTTGTATGGATCTCCAAAACTGAAAAAGGAAACCAATGTCTTTTTAGACTTGGAACAGTACCATACAAAGGAGCTAAATACAAAATACATGTGAATAAAACATTCAATAATAGAATGGAACCAGAAATATTTCTGAAACGTTTTTAATGGTGAAAATGTGGAAGCATTTTAATATAATTTTAATTGCCTGTTACCATGGTTACAGTTGAATGAACAGTGGGTATTGGTTGACCATTGATCTGGCATTACTGATTTGCACAATCTTTGTTCTTGGAATTGATATATTAATATAATTTTCATTAACATCCATATTACAATGTGTTATCTCCTCAACTAATGCTTCCCTAATCCCAATGTGATGAGATTGATGATTTTGTTAACCTGAAAACAAATCTATCTCTGGAATCTATGTCCATTTGTCTTCTGGATCACGACAATATTGCTGCCTGTCATGGTACCTTTCGCCTGATGACCACAAGATCAGTTCGTCAGTCCAACTTGGATTCCTGCCCAGATCATCAAACTCCCACCTCCATACTGATCATGTTCAGCAATCGTACAGTTGGTATCGTTCGCTATACGGTTTCTCCACACACTCCAGCCCTACCATCATTGAAGTCCAGACAGAATCTTGACTCATCTGTGAAGAGAACATTACGCCAGCCGCATTGACTCTCCAGTTACGCCGTTGGTTAGCCCAAATTCAGTCTCTGTTGACGATGGTGTGCAGGCAGTGGGATACGCTTGCACTGGTCTTCGGGACCTGAGACCTTCAGCATGGAGTCTGTTCCTCACTGTCTGTGTGGAGATTCTGTTCCCAGCAACTCTCTGGAGGTCATTCTGGAGAGATCTGGCTGTGGTGAACCTGTTCCGCCGGGCTAGGTGGCCAAGTATCGGTCCTATAGCTGGAATATTGCTGAGTCGCTTGCATAAAACTAAACTCACTCACTCACTCTGACCATCCTGTCACAATATACCTGGTGTGGTGTACTTTTGTTTGGGTTTTGAGTCTATAGCTATGCACACATACTGCACAGAGGAGAACAAATGTGACAAAGGAATTTCACTTTTCACTTGATCGTGTAAATTAATACATGCATATGGTGGTGCACACAGTGCTCTTTCACAGTGTAAAGGCATTGATTATCTCCCTTGTTGTATTATACATGAACATGAACATGAACATGATGAAGGCAACAAGACAAAAAGTAATCAAGGGAAACTCAAACTATTGATGTCTGATTAGCAGAAAAGGTTTAAAATTGGCAGGGTTTCACAGAGTATCAATGTACCACAGTTTGTGGTACTGTTACTGATTGTTAACATGATTCACATCAGGACATTCTTTGTGTGAATATTTGTGTAAAAAAATAATTAAATTCTGTATCTGTAAGAGTTACGAAATTATTGAACCTTGAAATTGTCACATTTTTCTGCTCATTCCTACATGTACCATGTATCTGTACATCTTTACCTGTTCACATGGCCATTTCCAGATTATTTACTAAATCTCTTCATAATGTTATTGCCAAGACAAGATGTCATTAGACATAGTAACTTCAAATATTCTTGAAAGACCTCTTTGTACTTTGTTTACTCAATGGTTGTGTTCCTATGATATGCAGGCAAAAGTGGACATGACATACAAGGATCATGAAACAGCTGATATTTTCTATTGATTGAAACTGTCATGTTAAAGTGATTAGTTACTGTAGCTGGAAGAAGACATTGTACTGATTTTTGTACTTTGTTCATTGTAATTTATGTCATCAGTTTATGGTGCATACATTCCATGTGGCAATCTTATTTATTAAAGCGTATAGAAATATATAGATTTCCCCAAATTGTATACAGTACCATAACATTTATCTTTGTATGTATGTTCTCTAATATCATGATAATGTCATATGTTTGAGCACGTTTTGGGATTTGTATGGATCTCCAAAACTGAAAAGGAAACAAATGTCTTTTTAGACTTGGAACAGTACCATACAAAGGAGCTAAATACAAAATACATGTGAATAAAACATTCAATAATAGAATGGAACCAGAAATATTTCTGAAACGTTTTTAATGTTGAAAATGTGGAAGCATTTTAATATAATTTTTAATTGCCTGTTACCATGGTTACAGTTGAATGAACAGTGGGTATTGGTTGACCATTGATCTGGCATTACTGATTTGCACAATCTTTGTTCTTGGAATTGATATATTAATATAATTTTTCATTAACATGTGTATATTACAATGTGTTATCTCCTCAACTAATACTTCCCTAATCCCAATGTGATGAGATTGATGATTTTGTTAACCTGAAAACAAATCTATCTCTGGAATCTATGTCCATTTGTCTTCTGGATACGACAATATTGCTGCCTTCTGATACCTTTGTATGCACCAGACTGTGTATATGTATTACTGTATCTTTGTTATATGTCAGGGCCTGTGGCCTACATATATACACCATAAAACACTTTAGTGATGTTGAATTGTTGACAAGTGTCCTGCTTACACCAAAGTGAAGGCTACTGTGCCTTGCCTTCAACTGTTAAATCATCAGATGAGGAGGAGGCTTTACATCCTGTTGTGCCATTTTCAGAAAAGCAGAACCGTAAGATTCTGGAGCAGCTTGAGGAGCAGAAGAAGAGGCTGAGGATGGCAGCTCAGGGAGGGGGCGTGGCCGGAGCTGCTGGGGCAGTCATTGGAAACTCTGCCAATCTCAACCCAGCCCCTGCCCCTCCTGTCATAGCAGGGGTAGTCCCAGGGTAAGCCATTCTGTGGTTAATGCAAAGAGGAGTTAGGGTGCATATCTCACGTTTTGTCTAACACCTTACTTGTCAGATTATCATGTGACTTGGATTTACTTTGCACCACCATTTTCAGGATTCTGAATATGTGTTTCTTTAAGTTGGATTGGTGTATGGGTTATAATTGGTTTCAGAGATAGATGGAGTAGTTTGAATCCAGATTGTCTTAAATGACCCAGTGAGACGCTACAAGATGCCAGGACCCTCTTGATTCCCCTTGATTATGATCTGTGGTTTCTCTAATATTGTAACCATGGGAACCTGTGAGAATTATTGGGAAGAATTGGCCCCCCAAAAGCACAGTTTTAAAGACCAACCAATCTTGGTGGTTCCTAAATTGTGTTATGAATCATTAGTTTGTCTGGAAATATATTGATTAGTTACAATCTGCTGTGGATATATTTTTTTGCAAAATGGTAAGCATGGTAACTATCTACAACCATACTACGTGAGTCATTCCATGCTAACACTGCAGTACTATTCAAGAGATGTGTAATTCCATGTGACCACTGACTGTTTCAGAGGACCAACAGTTCAACAACCACAACTGACCAACTTACATGTAAGTTCACACTACTACATATCAGTTTGAAGCTTATCCTTATTGATATTCTACCAGTATGAGTGAGTGAGTGAGTTAGTTTAGGTTTACGCCACTTTTAGCAATATTCAATCAATATCATGGCAGGGAAGACCAGAAATGGGCTTCTCACATTGTGCTGACCGGGCCTTCAGCTTTAGCTGTTAGGCTGCTCCACTGCCCAATGTATCAGTATGACGCTTACCCTTACTGACATTTACCCAAGGCACCATTAGCTATGTAGAGGTGTATCCTGTGGGGTGGCAGAATGTTATAAGGAGGGGTTTTCACCCCAGATTCAAAGTGATTGGTTTGTCAGTGTCATACTTGTAGGTTCAACAAAGTAATAAATGTCCTGTGCTACTTTGGGCTTTCCTCCAACCACAAATGTACATGCCACAATATTGCTTGGAAAGGTTTCAGATGATCTGAGTGAGACGTGTGAGATCTTTCAGATAATCTGTGCGAGACGTGTGAGATCTTTCAGATGATCTGTGCGAGACGTGTGAGATCTTTCAGATAATCTGTGTGAGACATGTGAGATGTTTCAGATGATCTGAGTGAGATGTTTCAGATGATCTGAGTGAGACGTGTGTGATGTTTCAGATGATCTGAGTGAGATGTGTGTGATGTTTCAGATGATCTGAGTGAGATGTGTGTGATGTTTCAGATGATCTGAGTGAGATGTGTGTGATGTTTCAGGTGATCTGAGTGAGATGTGTGTGATGTTTCAGGTGATCTGAGTGAGATGTGTGTGATGTTTCAGACGATCTGAGTGAGATGTGTGTGTGATGTTTCAGATGATCTGAGTGAGTGAATGTGTGTGATGACCTGAGAGATGTGTGATGTTTCAGGTGATCTGAGTGAGATATGTGTGATGTTTCAGATGATCTGAGTGAGATGTGTGTGATGTTTCAGGTGATCTGAGTGAGATGTGTGTGATGTTTCAGGTGATCTGAGTGAGATGTGTGTGATGACCTGAGTGAGATGTGTGTGATGTTTCAGGTGATCTGAGTGAGATGTGTGTGATGACCTGAGTGAGATGTGTGTGATGTTTCAGGTGATCTGAGTGAGATATGTGTGATGTTTCAGACGATCTGAGTGAGATGTGTGTGATGTTTCAGACGATCTGAGTGAGATGTGTGTGATGTTTCAGGTGATCTGAGTGAGATGTGCGTGATCTTTCAGGTGATCTGAGTGAGATGTGTGTGATGTTTCAGGTGATCTGAGTGAGATGTGTGTGATGTTTCAGATCATCTGAGTGAGATGTGTGTGATGTTTCAGATGATCTGAGTGAGATGTGTGTGATGTTTCAGGTGATCTGAGTGAGATATGTGTGATGTTTCAGATGATCTGAGTGAGATGTGTGTGATGTTTCAGACGATCTGAGTGAGATGTGTGTGATGTTTCAGGTAATCTGAGTGAGATGTGTGTGATCTTTCAGGTGATCTGAGTGAGATGTGTGTGATGTTTCAGGTGATCTGAGTGAGATGTGTGTGATGTTTCAGATGATCTGAGTGAGATGTGTGTGATGTTTCAGATCAACTGAATGAGATGTGTGCTATGTTTCAGGTGATCTGAGTGAGATGTGTGTGATGTTTCAGGTGATCTGAGTGAGATGTGTGTGATGTTTCAGACGATCTGAGTGAGATGTGTGTGATGTTTCAGATGATCTGAGTGAAATGTGTGTGATGACCTGAGTGAGATGTGTGTGATGTTTCAGGTGATCTGAGTGAGATGTGTGTGATGTTTCAGACGATCTGAGTGAGATGTGTGTGATGTTTCAGATGATCTGAGTGAGATGTGTGTGATATTTCAGATGGGGGTAGACCAGCAGCACATGACACCACAACAGAGGGCAGCCTTACAGGTGAGATCAGCTCCATGGATGTGATCATAATTTAACTGACACATACAGACTCTCCTTTCCTTTGGCTTCTTTCACTTACAATGTTTCTTCCTATTAAACCTTGCTGTTCCTAATCAAAAGAATAATGAGAGCTATAATTTGAAAACAAAGTTTTAACTCGTCCCCAGACAGCTGTCAAAGGGCCACACAGGGAGCGAGAACATTGTTTACCCAACTTGAATGTGTCATCTTCCATTGGATTGGAACTCTGAACAAGAGGCTCTCTTTGACTGACAAAATCACATGCTCTCTCTTTTGTTATGTTATTCACTTATTAAAGCAAACGTGAAAAATATCAACTTAGATTCTTAGATTTTTTAGTTGGTTGCAAGACGTAAACAAACAGTTGGGTTCTGTGATTTTTAACATTATACTACCATTACTGGTTAATAACTGAATATAACTTGATCAAGATCAGAAAACATTAACACTGAAATCTATGATTGATTGGTTTCCTGATCTTGTAATCTTCCAATTCCATTACAAATATTTTACCATGTGTATGTCATGTATATATGATTACTGTCAACTGTAAAGTAACAGACATAGCAATAATGTCATCAATATCTGATTTGATTTTTTCAGCACGCTCATGCCAACTCAGTGGGATATTTCATCACTCAGGACTCCTCGTTTGGAAATCTCATACTGCCAGTGTTACCAAGATTTGAAACCAAATCTTGACAGGGGGATAACTCTAAGGCTATATGTGCTGTAAATGTATGTCTGCTGGGCCCACGTGCATCGCGAGCAACCCTAGTCTTACACACTTACACTCGACTTTACAATCACAGTGTCAAAGTATTATTCCAAATAGTCTTGTATGGTGTGATTGTAAGACTGCATGGATTTTAGATATTAATCTTATCTAATGAGACGTGGACACCCACAGTGAAACTGGTTACAAAATACGAGATCACACTGTTCAGTCTTCAAATAGGTCCCATTTTATTCGAGGAAATGACTCAGACTTTCGTCTCTGATACTCTCAGAATTTAAGCCTATTCAGTTTGATATGGACAAGAGAAATAACCTACCCATGTTTTATGAAAGTGTTGAAATACAAATGGAGTACATTATTAATTGGAAACAAAAACATCAGGAGGGCAGACCTCAGCAATTATGATATTTCAATGTACATTGATCAAGGCCCCCCAAACAGTGTTTGATATAATAGATATACACATGCTACCAACAGGACCCGCAGATTTTAGAAGATGCACATCCTGACTAATCTCTTCAGTCCCTCATTTAAGAAACTGTTCTGACAAATATACCAGAACGTAACTTTATCACAGGCCATAAGGACTCACACAACTTCCAGACTACATTCCTACCATGAGATCTACCTGCCTCGGACCTGTGGGCAAGCAGTTAATTTGAACACTGTTTACCTGGCCTTGACATGTATACAAAGGGAAACCACTCCAATCTGGAGTATCAACTAATGATTACCTGCCCTTGAGTTGTTCAAAAGGTCACAGCCATTACAAACACCTGCAGACATGTTATATTTTTATCCTTCCTTGGATAATTCAATATGGAGTTGGAATGGTATTTTTAACTATCCACTTGATAGTTTTGTGGCTTACAATCTCAAATTAGGATATATCTGACATGAAATTTGTGATGTGGTCTTTGAGTTGATTTGAATCATAAAGTTTTTAACAAAATGGATTTGAAGTACCTTAGCGTAAAATTTCTTTGTTTAAATGGATGATGATTGCAGGCAAAGATGGATAATAATTTTAGTGCTAAGGTTGTTTTAGGCAGGTGGGCCCTGGTGATGTGAAACTGTCTCAATGATTTTGACGCTGGCAGTCAAGTGACGACATGGCAGTCATGTGATGACATTGCGGGTGCTTTATCTTCAGTGAGAATAAACAGTGAAATCAGTGCTGGATGCACCGGGAACTATGACTGTTGGACAATTTAAGCAATGCAGCCATGTTGGAATGGCAGTTGAAATGATTTCGATTTCTGATGATATCTGGGAAGATTATTTTTGGCACAAATGTGTTTTTGAAATGATCTTTTTGTATCAAATATAAGACTGGAATATTTTAATATTCCAACTTGTACAAATCTTGAGATTATTGAGAGATGATTTTGTAATAAAATATGAATGAACAACTTGTGTTTTGTGCTGAATGGTTCGGTGTATAATGAAGTACACCAGTGTCTACACCCAAGTCTTCCTGGACCTGGTATACAACAGATGCAGCTGTAACACTGATGCAGACATTCACTCACTGAAACTGAATTCCAGGAGGAATGATTGACTTATGTCTTCACCATAGAATTTAAAGGAGAACAAAACTAAACTCACTCATCATAGAATTTCCATTGCAAAACATCACAGAATCCAACTCATGTAAAAAAATATTACAGCAAGTTTATTAACAAAATGTAAACATTTAAAATAATACAATAAATATGGGAACAAACAAAATTAGGATTACAGTTATTTCACATATCATTTCCAGATTGTCACCATAAATTCAGTGCCTGATATCTTTATCTTGTCTGCATGTGCCCCATACAACAGTTGGTGTTTCCTTACCAGAATAACAGGTCACCAACAAGAAACCTTGCAGTAATACAGACTGGCTCAGAGGCAGATAACAGGTCACCAACAAGAAACCTTGCAGTAATACAGACTGGCTCAGAGGCAGATAACAGGTCACCAACAAGAAACCTTGCAGTAATACAGACTGGCTCAGAGGCAGATAACAGGTCACCAACAAGAAACCTTGCAGTAATACAGACTGGCTCAGAGGCAGATAACAGATTGGGTCACCAACAAGAAACCTTGCAGTAATACAGACTGGTCACCAACAAGAAACCTTGCAGTAATACAGCTGGCTCATTGGCAGATATGCTGGGTCACCAACAAGAAACCTTGCAGTAATACAGACTGGCTCATTGGCAGATAACAGGTCACCAACAAGAAACCTTGCAGTAAGACAGACTGGCTCAGAGGCAGCAGAAACGGGTCACCAACAAGAAACTTGCAGTAATACAGACTGGCTCAGAGGCAGATAACAGGTCACCAACAAGAAACCTTGCAGTAATACAGACTGGCTCAGAGGCAGATAACAGGTCACCAACAAGAAACCTTGCAGTAATACAGACTGGCTCAGAGGCAGATAACGGGTCACCAAAAAGAAACCTTGCAGTAATACAGACTGGCTCATTGGCAGATAACGGGTCACCAAAAAGAAACCTTGCAGTAATACAGACTGGCTCAGAGGCAGATAACAGGTCACCAACAAGAAACCTTGCAGTAATACAGACTGGCTCAGAGGCAGATAACAGGTCCAATGTCTCTAACAATTGTCAGTACAAATTTGAAATTGAAGTTTGTATTTCATGTAACCATAGTGATGCTCGGTTGAGGTGTCTTGTATTCAAGGAATACAATTCAAAATACTAATGCATAAAGGAAGGACAAAGATGTTTATTTAAACAAAGTTGGAACAATAAGAGTTCATGGCTCAGAGACTACATTTGGTAACTTTTGGACAATATTTTCACAGTTTAAAATCCTGCTTCCTAACCACATTTTTCTTAATTTCAATCTATTTAAACAGGTAAAAACAGCACTTGTGACTTAGTGTGATCTACGAACTGAGTAACTCCCTAGGTAAATACAGTGCAGACTGCTAGTCAGTCAGATCTAGTAGATTGGTGTTCAGATTAACTGTCACTCTCTTCCTGAGTTGGCTTAAAGTGCCTGTTCGTGTCCGCCCACGTACTGACCCTCTGTCCTGAAAGAAAGGCTCCTCCTCTACCTCCTGGCTCAGTATACCAATAGACTTGTGGTTTCTTTTCTTCTTCTTCTTCTTTTTCTTGCTTGAAGAGTTTGATTCATCACTGAAAATACACATATTTACAAAAATGTTATTATATTGTTTTTCTTTGCTATAGGAAGTTTGTTTTAGCTTCATAAGGGCATTTATTCATGACTTTTTCAGTCGGGGAATAGAGGAAATACTAGACATTTCAATCATCAGTGCCTTTGCTCAGAGTGACCCTATTGGGATTTACAATTTGGCTGAATGAATGTCATCGTACCCTCTTGGTCATGGATGATGTTCATAATATCAATCACTGGTTTGTCTGATCAAGATTCAATTAAAGATGGAATATTGATGATTAGTGTATATGAAAAAATAAACTGACCCATTTGGAGGACTTGCGTCAGCAGAAACATCGTGTATGCCAATGTCACCATCAAAATCATCTCCTGTAACCATGGTAACAAAGTTACAATTTTGAAATGTAGTATTTAATTATTAAACTATTATTTATGCAAAGATATTCAAATTTTCAAGTTCACAATTTCAGGTATTTACATGTTACATGGTTTCACATCCTGTGAGAATTTGTGGATGAAGTAGATCCCAGTGTGCCTTTCTTCTCATAGTAATGGGAACAGTGCATTGAACAGACTCATGGCATATTTGCTCATGCTATCAACCACTGACAAAAGGTGGGTTAAAAGTCGGGTAATATAGCAGGCGAGTATTTCAGTTATATATCTGTGTGTCAGACAAATGTGGGAGGAAAGCCTAGCATGATGCAGGCCTTAGATAGTTACTGCTGTGGTGAAACCCATGGACAGGGCCAATCTGAGAACTGACCTCACAATCTTAGGTTCCTTGTAAACCTCATGTAACACAACCATAGGGAATGTATATTTGTACTGCCGAGGACTTCATAATCACTATTAATTTTAGAAACAGAAAAATGCTACTATCTAAAAATCCACTAAATACATTTCTCAATAGGTACATGAGCACATGATGCACACTTCCTTTGTCCTGCTTGTTTAAGTGCTCTGCACGGGGTGTCTTTACACATGCCAGTTATCTCCCTTGATTCTATGAGATATTGTTTGTACTCTAACCGTGAGCAGATCTGGTGTTCCCATGTACAAGTCTCTCAAGCTGCGTGAGTAGCGTCTTCATGTCACGGTCATGAGATGCTATCATAGACTCCTGTTTGTGCTGAATATCCTGTAGAGTCAACTTGAGACTGTATATCTCCCTATGGAACACCATGTTGCTCAACACCTGACTGTTCAACTGCAGAGATGGGTCTTGTTCCTGCAACATAATCACTGATAAATATTGTATACTGCAATGTTCCTGTAGTGAGATCATTGTGGTTGCATTTGATTCCAGTGTGGAAGTGTCAGCAATCAGCAATTATTTACTGATGCAATAAATAAAAATCTTCCAAATATACTCATAGAAATTAATAAGGGAACACATGAAAGTACAAGTGTTCCTATATTCTTTTCCAGAATTTCACCCAGAGTGCAATGCAAAGTTTGTGAAGAAACCTGGAAAAGAATAAAGGAGCACTTGTACTTTCATGTGTTCCCTTACTCGTTTCCATGAGTATATTTACATATTACATATTTTATATGATCTTGATACCACACACTTGATACCACAGTCACCATTATTACAGTTTTGTCAAAGTGATCTTTAAACAATCAACAAGCAAATGATGCTCAGGACATGTCCTTAACCAGAATTCCTATGGCTGATCTGTTATGAAGCAAGTTTGCTGTTATCATGTGAACATTGAATATGCCATCACACACTATGACCAATTGATCCACATTATAGGATTCTTTTACTCACTGTGTATTTGGAAGCTGCTAAGAGAGCATTCATATAAGTCAAAATCGTTAAGAATGAAAACGATCCTTTGAAACATTGATAACGTATGCTGCCCTTGCAGCTGATATCTGTTGTGTTAACCTGTAGAAACTTCTAGGTCCTCACCATTTCCACAGCTTCTGAATCCCCAAACCTTTCCTTCCAGCATTCTTGTAGAAAATCCAACTGACCCTGTTTTGGAAACAATGAAACTGATACAATATTTCTATTTTGTGAAAGTAATCACACTAAACCTTTCTAATACATTTTATTGCATGTATCATGTGTGAAGCCCATTTCTGGTGTCCCCAGCAATGAATATTGCTAAAAGCGGAGTAAAACTAAACTCACTCACTCACTGTTGCGTTTATCACATAGAATTAATGCTTGATTGCCATATATCAGTGTCTATATACCATACTATGTGTCTTTCCGTAGCTAACTTTACAACAAACCGCCAATGAAAACCTTTTGTGCTGAACACAAACATCACAGCAGTAGTGAATAAACATGTGATTGAAAATCTTTGTACACATATTTCTCTTTTAACATTACACCAGTGAAAACCTTCTGTTCTGAATGTAAGCAGTAATTAACAAAATACTCCCCATGTCCATGGGAAATTATTTTTACAAATATTTACCTTTAATGAGAACCCCAAACTCATGAAGTGAATACAAAGTCACAGTAGGAATACCACATAATGTTTCTGGAAAGACTGTCCCTTGGACCCTTATCCCAGTCCGGATCCATCATTTAATGTTAAATCAGAATGGGTAGTGTTGGTGAAGGTGCTGGAGCTCACCTTTATATGCATTGTAACCTTCTTAAGGTCATCCTTCTTTCCAGGGACGTCATCATCATAATACTCAATCAAGGGAGAGCACTTTTTGGCTATGTGCTGTAGAAACTTGTTCTGTCGTCTCTCTGACATTGCCTCCCAGGTGTGGAGGACAGTTATAGCCTTCTGCATTAAAGCATTGGCCTTGGCATTGTCATAGACTCTGGAAGGACACAACATGATGCAGCTAGTTTGTTTCTACTATATGTGAACACTGTGTGTTATCATGCAATAGTTATAGTCATGCAATCATGCAGTAGACTGCTTTCAGAAGTATCTCGTATAATTATAGAAATGATGTTTGTCTCTTATATAGATGTGTTTGTCTGTTCATTGTGATCTTCACACTAAGACAGTCCCCCAGATAGCATTCAGACGTTGGCCCAACGTTGGCAATGGTTTTGCCAACATTGCCAACATTGGGCCAACGTCCGAATACTATCTGGGCCAGTACTTTATCATACACATACAATTGTCATAGCACTAAGATGACTTGTAGGCCAGAACCCTTTTCTAGATGAAGGATAAAACACATTAACATTTTAGATACAGAGTTATACACCATGAAAGACATGCCTTTTCTTGAGATAACACAAACCAACTATCATCATTACTGTCTCATTAATCCATCCAGCTTGTCTATATATTGTAGACAGAAGAAGTTACTGGTGAATCCCATCACTGAAGAACACCTCGTATATAAGAATATTTCTATGCTTACTGCATAGATATAGGCTAGTGATGCTCTTGGAAGATGAGGATGTGTGTTCCTCCAGTAGCTCTGTCTACGTTCATCTGTGTTTGTGTCCTGGTAAGGGTATTATCAACCTGGACAAAGGTTAGACTTAAGGTATTATTTATTTTTGAACCATAAATGTTAACACTTCTTCCCCACCCCCTCCTCTTAACTCAAGCCCAGGAAATGAAATGGTCCGCTCCTTATAGAGAAAATGAACTCACATCTGGAAGGTGTTGGTCATGAGGGCAATGAAGAGGTTGAGACAGAGAATGGCGGAGAAGAAGAACCAGGTTGTGAGTAGCAGGTACGTCATCACCTGGTCCACTTGCAGCATGTGCTGGAGGGGGTGCCGGGAACATGGACAACAGTTTAACACCATATAGAACAACAGTTTAACACCATATAGAACATCAGTTTAACACCATATAGAACAACAGTTTAACACCATATAGAACATCAGTTTAACACCATATAGAACAACAGTTTAACACCATATAGAACATCAGTTTAACACCATATAGAACATCAGTTTAACACCATATGGAACAACAGTTTAGCACCATATAGAACAACAGGAACATCAGTTTAACACCATATAGAACATCAGTTTAACACCATATAGAACATCAGTTTAACACCATATAGAACAACAGTTTAGCACCATATAGAACATCAGTTTAACACCATATAGAACATCAGTTTAACACCATATAGAACATCAGTTTAACACCATATGGAACATCAGTTTAACACCACATGGAACAACAGTTTAACACCATATAGAACATCAGTTTAACACCATATGAACATCAGAACAACAGTTTAACACCATATAGAACATCAGTTTAACACCATATGGAACAACAGTTTAACACCATATGGAACAACAGTTTAACACCATATAGAACATCAGTTTAACACCATATAGAACATCAGTTTAACACCATATAGAACATCAGTTTAACACCATATGGAACATCAGTTTAACACCATATGGAACAACAGTTTAACACCATATGGAACAACAGTTTAGCACCATATAGAACAACAGTTTAACACCATATAGAACATCAGTTTAACACCATATAGAACATCAGTTTAACACCATATAGACACCATATAGAACATCAGTTTAACACCATATAGAACAACAGTTTAACACCATATAGAACATCAGTTTAACACCATATAGAACATCAGTTTAACACCATATAGAACATCAGTTTAACACCATATGGAACATCAGTTTAACACCATATAGAACATCAGTTTAACACCATGTGGAACAACACTTTCATATATTTGCAGACATGACATGGTTTCACCATTTTGAATATGTTACATGTCACTGTGCAGGAATTAGTGGATCAATAGACTGAAATTCTGTATCAAAAATTGTGATACATCAATTTAACACCTGTGGTATTGCACCCATAGTTAGTCCTGAAGTATGGTGATATGAATGAATGGTTTAAAAAAAATATAAATTAAAAAACTTGTTAGCAGCATTCCAGTTAAATCCCATCTTGTCAGCTTCACACAGGAGAACTGCACAGTGGGATACCAAGCAATAAGCAGACCAAAGGAGGCTATTCTTTACACCTGTGCCCCCTGGAAGTGCTAAGACTAGTTCAGAAATAGTATCATTTCACACAACTGGGTTGGAATTTAATGTTTTAAATTTATTCATTTATTCGACCAGTCTATGAATGTAAACTTGCATCAGATTTATCATGTAAACTCTTTTGGACACATCCTATTTCGCTCAGTGTATGTGAAGAGAGGTCATTTTGACATGACAAGTTCCTCTGTGCAATCAAAGGTTTGATGAACAAAGACATGGTACGCTGCTGAAATTAAATTTGAACTGAAAAACTACATTTATAGCAGTGGTGAACTAAATATATATTCACTCATCTATCCTGACCTCAAGGTCATACTCATCCACCAGTGTGAGCTGGAACAGGCTGAAGAAGACTTCACCGGGATTGTTGAACCCCTCCACCTCGACCAGCTCCTCTCCACCCTCCTCCACCTTGTCTCCACCATAGATCATCCAGAAGGCACACACTGGGGACATCAATACATGTATCTCACACAACAAAAGTGAACAAGCCAAGTTTTTATACAAAGTGGATTTTTTACTTCAGTGGTTCTCCTGATGAATTGAAACAAAATATGTTTTTAATGCAGAATGTCTTTGCTGACACTGAACATCATTTTATCTTACAGCCCTCTAGAGCTCAGTACTGAAACTAAATGATCGTACTTGACTCTGTCTCTGATTTAAAACAAAGTTTGATGTACATGTATTTCTCTGCTTATTTGGTCCTGGGTGCCTGGTCAGTTCTGTATCAGGGATTTTGGAAATATCAAATATTAAAAAAACCCAGAAAGACTTGCCAATTGGTGCTATTTCCATTTCATTTTTAACTCCAATCAGAACAAACCTGGTATGGATATTTCATGGTTTTACTTATCCCATTCTGTGACCATCTTTCAATCAAATTATTTTGTGTCATTTCCTCACAAGTTAGGCATCAGTTATATGTTGAATACATATCACAAACCATTGATATTTGTGTAATAATAAGGATGCTATAAATCCAGCTAGGGTCCATGCAGGTAACAAAACACTAAGTCCCCATGGTCCCTTGTATGGTGATCTACCTTCAGTTGTTGGCAATCTATAGCCTGATTTTGTAGTGTGTATTGTGTGTATAGTGTTATTTTTTTCAATATCAAATGTTAGTTTTATATCTAACTGAGGTCTAGTTGTTTTACTATTCACTGACAACAGATTTTATGGTATACATTTATTTATTCTCTATCAATGTCAAATTAGTTCTCGTCACAATATGGTTGAAATATTGCCAATGTGGTGTTAAATATTAACTGACTCACTCTGTAACAATAAATGAGCTAGCTTGGTTGACTCCAAACTTTTGGGGGATGATAGTGTTTGACCCATAATTGATACATATTATCACACATGGGATAGTTCAGATAAGGTCATGTGATATTTTGTTTGCCATCATTACATATTGTGAATTCTGATTAATATTTTGAATCTGTGATTATGAGATTTACACAAACATGGCCCCCACCATATGGTATGTAGAACTCCAGGAAGAGGAAGAGGAACCGGAGCAGGTCAGACATCATGTGTCCCATCATCACAATGAAAGGACCTGGAATATATGGAAAGATAAGCAGGTATTGTATACGCTGCTTTCAGCAACATTCAAGGAACATCAATAATAGGTTTCAAACATTGTATTTATGTGCCGAATCAATCATTGATCTTTAACATGACAAAAACATTCACAACAGTTCCCAAAACCCAGGACCCAAAATGTCATAAACAAGGTTCATTGGAAGTAATTCACAAATCAACATTGAGTCTTGTAGAAATACAACATTCAAACTCTGTGGATTATTGGATGTAGCTGGTATTGTTTCAGAGAGTGTTCTGTATTATACAGTTTTCCAGTTGTGTGTCACAAAGTCTCCACTCACTGTAAGAGAGAAAAGTCGAAGTGACACAGTTCCAAGAAGAAATGGTGGAACCTATAATCATGGGAATAGTTTGGAAACATCAAGGGTATTTAAGGCTCACAATCTGTGGATCCTGGAATACCAGGGGACACAACTCTGCACAGTGACTAGCTGTCAATGTAGACCAATATGAAATCAATTCTCTCTATTATTATGAGGAAGAGATAGATTGTGATTTGTTGAGATTACCAATGAGCACAGTTAAAGAAAAATAGTTTTACTCACCCACAACTGTAAAAGCCCGAACACACTTCATGAGTCGTAGCCAGAGTAGGATGATGGTGACGCACATGATGCGGATGTGCCAGCGAGCCAGCTGATCTGAGTGCTGCACCACGTCTGCCAGGTGGGTGACGACACACACGACCAGCAGTAGGTAACACACCCAGTCAAAATAGTTCCTGGACATAGAAGGATAAAGTGTTTAGCACTCACTCACTCACTCACTCACTCACTCACTCACTCAGATCATTGTCTGTCACCCCCATACTGTGAGCTATATTGACACTTCATCAGCCACGAAAGGTTAACATGCTGCAATATGACTACAATATTGTACGAAACAGCAGTAAAATCACTGAACACAGTCAGTCAGTCAGTCAACCACAACAGACTAAGCCACCTCAGCATGTACAATATAATAGTTTATACACTGGCTGGACCAAGGAGTTTCCAACTGACCACTTATCCTGGAAGTACTTCAATTGGAGACTCTTCAGATCCTGGAGCTCTCGCTGGAGGAACTCTGCCTCCTCCGGCCATCTTGGATGACAGAACTTCAAGTCCTTCTCTATCTGTTGTGTCCTCCATGTCACCCACACCTGCAGGTGCAGAACAGTGGACATGGGAAGTGTGAGCTGGTGGTATCCAAGAGCTTGCATTATAAATTTGGTTCTAATGGATCTTATCCACCTTGTCAGCGCAACATTTCACATAATCTAACTTGGAAGACAAACTATTATGTAATGAAATGAGTGAAATGGTTCCAGGAAATACAGAAAAAGGTATAATCTGAATATCCTGAAAAATACATGATGTGGAAAAAAGTTGAACATGGAAATATTGTATACCTTGAAGTAACAGTCAACAAAACTAGTGTATCTAAAAAGGGCCCATGCCAAGCTACATCCCATAACTAGTGCAATATAAATATACCAACACCAGATAATAATCATTATAAATGTTACACCCAAACAAATTCCTTTGGGTTAGAAAGGCAAAACAAGGTGAGAATTAAATCAATGGATCGCTTAAAAGTCACTCATGACACAGGTGATTGCTAAACGTGTAGGTATGTTCCAGTCATGTACAAGTGATGTATCACAAGGACTGACATTACTTTGGTGACCCATCTTCCTGCATTTGCCAAAGTATTTTTCATAAATAGTCCATGTGGGATTAAAACCCATGACTTAATGCCATGGCTGTGTGTTATATGTATGATAACTTCACAGTGTAAGCACAGTCCACATAAGTTGGTTAAATCCATTAGAGAAACAAATGCTAAATGTCATGGACAGATGGAATTATGATTTGACTGAAAGGAAACAAAGAGGTGTAAGAACATTTGGGGATGAATGACACAGGACAATAGTTAGTTGATATGCACTAGTGGGGTCTCTCACCTTATTAGCTGTCCTTGACCTGTTGAACTCCTGGAACTCCTCAACGATCAACCACACGGTGAAGCCCACAGCAACTACCTGGTACAGGATGTACAGAGCATCATCATCACTTGGGTCATCATCACTGTGTCACTCCAAACATCACAGTTCACTATCAGGTAAGGTCATTTTAAATGCGAAACTGACACTATTATGAGAATAAAATGTTTGAACATATTTATTACCCTGCATCAGGGAAGACATTTGATGTATGAGCAGAGATTTGATGACAAACTCACAAAGAGGACAATCCTCCACCAGTCCTGGGGCAGGGTGTAGATGTGTCTCTGGTCGTACTCTATCAAGACTCCCTGCACAGTCCACAGGAGGATGTACACCAGGTTGAGGAGGAGGTTCAGACACGCACCAAATCTACACACAGGAAACACAACTATAATCAAACTCTGCTGTGTCAAACTTACAGTTGTCTTCAAGTGAAAGTTTGGTTCCTGTAGATTCCTAATTTAGTCTGTTCAACTTCAACACATCATAGTTTGACTGCATTAACGGTGTTTATGCCTACCAGCTGAATCCAGAGAAAGGATATAGATCTGTTAGGTTTGGCAGAGAGCATATAACAGTCTCTGAGTTGGGCTTCAGTATATTTCATGTGGAATGTCAGGTTATATATTCACATCCCCCATGGCTACCTCAGATAGTGTGGAATCCCCACAGTTGTATGTCGAGTACAATCCTGACAAACTCCTCCTATTTCTATCACTATTTAACCAGTGTTGAACTTTATGTGCCAAATTTCTGATTGTCTTGAACATAATTTAAAACAGAGTTACAAACAAATTAAAACAACCCTGATGTGTCAAACTAAAACTGTTTGAAAAACATCATTAAACATTTGAATCAAGTACAACAGAGCAAACATGATATAACTTGACACATCAAAGATAGGAGGCCATATACTGACCAGAGTAAATGATGCTACCATTTAGACATTTGACAAGTGAGTAAATAAGATTAAATCTGTAACCAAATGATAGCAACACCTTCAATGGGAAAGCAGTGATGGCTTCCCAAGAGGTTGAAGTGATATGGTTCAAATGTATAAATAATGTAAAAACCACAGAGGTTGAACATCACCACAGACGATGTTACCAATGGGTCACGAGATGGTATGAGAGATACTCACAGACCAAACCTGTCCCACATCACCTGTAGCAGACGTGTCATGCAGGGGTGACTGACTACACACATGAGAGATACTCACAGACCAAATCTGTCCCACATCACCTGTAGCAGACGTGTCATGCACTGACTGTGAGAGCAGACCAAACGTCCCACATCACCTGTAGCACACGTGTCATGCAGGGGTGACTGACTACACACATGAGAGATACTCACAGACCAAATCTGTCCCACATCACCTGTAGCAGACGTGTCATGCAGGGGTGACTGACTACACACATGAGAGATACTCACAGACCAAATCTGTCCCACATCACCTGTAGCAGACGTGTCATGCATGGGGGTGACTGACTACACACATGAGAGATACTCACAGACCAAATCTGTCCCACATCACCTGTAGCAGACGTGTCATGCAGGGGTGACTGACTACATGGAACTGATGGTAGTTTACTGCCACTTGCATCTGACAGACAAATAGATACTGAACATTAGAAATTCTTAAATATCAAGAAGATGATAGTACATTAAAATACAAAATGGAATGTGTTCACTAATATAAATGATATACTGTGAAACATTAAAACTGCAATGTCTCATACAAAACTACACGTGAAGATCCGGGTTAGAATTGATCTTCAGTAACCCATGCTTGTCATAAAAGGCGACTAACTGGATTGAGTGGTCAGACTCGCTCATCGTATCCCAATTGCGTAGATTGATGTTGATGCTGTTGACTCGATTATTTACAGACCGCCACCAGGGAATTCGGCATATTGTATTTTGCAGAAAGCCTTGTGTATCATCCATCATACAGCAACCAAGGTAACATCCACCATCAACACCGGTGCAGTCAGTTCCAGTTCCGACTAATAGGTACCCCTGTCATCAGTGAGTGAGTGAGTGAGTGAATTTAATTTTACGCTTTTAGCAATATTCCAGCAATATCAAGATGGGGGGCACCAGAAATGGGCTTCACATATTGGATCCAGATGGGGAATCAAACCCAGATCGTCAGTGTGATAAGTGAATGCTTTAACCACTAGGCTACCCCTAGTGATGATCTGTTTGGCCCAAATAGCCTAAAGACATCAGACACCTGGGACCTCTTCATGACTTCAGCATCAATATGTCATCACGTGCTACATCTTCTTTAACAGATTGTGGTTTTTATTTTACATATTCTTTCAAGAACTGATGCATCACATCTTTATTTTATAAATATTTCACCTTGTCCACATGATCATTAGAGGATAACCCTGCCAGCAATCTGACAATCTTCAGAGAGTAAAATTACTTACCATTACTTATGAAACATTTGTAGTGTCACAAAATATTTTGTAAAATTTCAGTGCATACTTACCGGTGAGTGACTATGAGTATTCTTGTCTGCAATAAGATTTCATGGAATGTGTTACATAAATACACAGTACATAAAACCAAAATCCTTTGAACTATTTACCTCGTTTACTGCAGATGAATATGTTTCTTGATCAGAGTCTTTAATCCTAAATTTTGAATAAGAAGTGCCTGTAATTATCAAATGATTCTTACTTTTGCCAGGTACCAAATGTTGTAGCAGATAATGCTGCTTCCTGTTCTGGCTATCAATCTGCCGAAACTGTGTCAGTGCTTCGTGGGCCTGAATAAAGGTCACACAGGAACAAACATTAACATATTATGTAATGTGACTTGTGAAAATCATGAGTAAGGAAATCAACTGACATTAACAACCAGACACTAATATGTTTTTCACTTAAATGTTTCATTTACAAGTTTCTCGTGAAAAACAACTTTATTTCAACTAAAATGGTAAAAACCTTGAATGGTGACAAACTATGTCCCTGATAGAAAATGAGAGGATGAAAAGGAGAATTGTGTTCTAACCAAGTAGAATTGTGTTCTAACCAAGTAGAATTGTGTTCTAACAAAGTAGAATTGTGTTCTAACAAAGTAGAATTGTGTTTTCACTAAGTTGGACTGACCACTTGGGGCATCTTGGCTATCATCCATGTTATTGCTTTCTGCTCATCATGGTCTTTGACAGTGGCAGACGCCTTCTTCTCCACTAGGTATCGAGCAGCTTGACTTCTATCTGGTAATACAGACAGCAGGTCAGGAATATAACATGAGGTGAATAATCTCAGTAACATTCTGTCAACACAGACATTGCTCAGATGAATCATCAAACACAGAAGATGTGGATCAGAGCGAGTCCCAGCCAACTCACCATGTTCAGTCCATTTTCATATTGTAACTATATGTGAATGTCTATCTGCACTGTGACCAACTCACCATGTTCAGTCCATTTTCATATTGTAACTATATGTGAATGTCTATCTGCACTGTGACCAACTCACCATGTTCAGTCCATTTTCATATTGTAACTATATGTGAATGTCTATCTGCACTGTGACCAACTCACCATGTTCAGTCCATTTTCATATTGTAACTATATGTGAATGTCTATCTGCACTGTGACCAACTCACCATGTTCAGTCCATTTTCATATTGTAACTATATGTGAATGTCTATCTGCACTGTGACCAACTCACCATGTTCAGTCCATTTTCATATTGTAACTATATGTGAATGTCTATCTGCACTGTGACCAACTCACCATGTTCAGTCCATTTTCATATTGTAACTATATGTGAATGTCTATCTGCACTGTGACCAACTCACCCAGTTCGGCAGCCAGCTGTAGAGGAGTTCTGCCCTTGTAGTCTATCACATCTTCATACTGACACCCTAGTTTGATGAGCATGGCCACAGATTTGCAGGCATCATTACGGGCAGCAAAATGAACAGGAGTTTGATGTTGTTCCTTAGTTCTAGCTTCTTTATCAGCTGTGGGTGCAAACATTATTACGCTGGAAATATTTTCTTATAGAAGAACACTGAAGTACAACCTATGTAAATTCAAGAAACATATCACTTTTCAATTCCTCTGTCTCCATCTTTTTAAGAATGGCTATCAGCTTTGCACTGAAAGTATGCATGAATTCCTAATATTTCAATTGGGAGAGATGAATAAACGAATGTGGAGCGGATTCACATCTCTCCCCTAACAAATGAACAGATGACATCAACACAATTTTATGTGAGGCCAGGACAACAATGAAAGACAACAAAAGAACTCCTGCCACCATAGTTTACATCCCAATGGTTCAAGTTGATCCTCACCTCCAAAGTCAATGAGAAGTTTGATCATCTGAGGGTAGTCACTAGCTGCAGCAACATGGAGGGGAGTGCGGCCATATTTGTCGGCCATGTCGACTGCAGCTCCAAGTTTCAATAAATACTTTGCAACATCTACATGCCACTGACGGGCTACCTGGAGGAGGAATGAAACATTTCATAAAATTCACCAAATAATGCTCAGTAATATAGTCAAAATAGATGACTCTTTTTCTCATGTTTCAGCAAAGCAAGTCTTTGACCTAAGCTGACTCTCTTCAATGGGTAGGTAAGAACCATACATACACATGGTACAGAAATCATCTTGTATCATGGTTACTGAATTTGTCCTGATGTTCAACAAATCACACAATAAGTTGAAGACTTAGAATGAAGAGTGAAGGAGTGAGCTTGGTACTTTGAACAGAGTGAGTGAGTTTGGTTTTACACTGCTTTTAGCAATATTCCTGCAATATCATGGTGGGGGACACCAGAAATGGGCTTCACACATTTTACCCATGTTGGGAATCGAACCAAGGCTTTCAGCATGACGAGTAAATGCTTTAACCACTAGGCTACCCACAATCCCCCCCCTTTGAACATAACACGGGTATCATCCATGTGTCCATGTGATACAGGGTTTAGAGGTTTACCCAATGAAGGGGCACATAAGTATGGTATTGACAAACCTGGAAACGTAATCAAGGTGAATCAGGATTCAAACACACAATCAGAGGTTTCCGTTGTGCTAAAGGTACTTAAGACTACTCAATGATTTGTGATGACTTAGGTGATTTGGACACCAATGCACCCTAGGAATCAAGAAAGCAGTTATATTGTGTCAAAAGTCCAAAATTTAATTATAAACTTTGACAGTTGTCTGCCTTATACATCACTGGACACCAATGAAATGGAGATGTGCTTCTCCCCATACCTCGTGTAAGACGGTCTGTCCATACTTGTCCCTGCAGTTGATGTCCACTCCTGCAGCGATCAGCTCATCTATGTCAGATACATCCGGCAGCAGTTCGGGATCACGTGATCCTGCCGCCTCAGAGAAGAACTGCAGCAGGGCTTTGTTCTGGACAGTAGCCATCCCTCCTTACAAGACACTTGGAAGACCTGTATAGATGGGTAATATTAGCATTGACTGTAATATACACTAAAGATATCAGTGTGTTTTGACTATATAATGAATATGTTTATAAATCCACTGTGAAAGTAATTATATTTTGGGATTATGATGAAATAGTGATTAATCAGCCAATCAACTATTCCCACATACATTTTTATGTTTCCTGAGAGACTTGTGCTATATATGGCCAAAGTAACACAAAAAATCAAAGGATGAAGCTGTATCTGAAAATGTGCCCTCTTTATAACTATTTGATTGTGATTTTACTCCTATAATTGCTTCTTCTCTAGAACACAGAAACAAATGAACCAAATCTTGTCTCATGTATCCTGGCATACTAGCTGAGAAAATGAATACAGCATGATAAGAATAAAACAATTTTGACAACAAGTTACCTCCTCTGACCTGGTGAAAGGCACAATAAACTTAATGAAGAACATACCTTTATAAACCTCTGAAGTGCTTCCCAGAAAGGCATATAAATCTACAACTGATTCCAACTATATCCCTACATTAAGACTGAAAACAACATCAGAAGAACAAACTAAAATGCCCCAGAACACGACACAGAAATTGTTTTAGAATTCCCAGTTAACAGGCACAACATGTTCCCATAGCAATAAAAGAAAAGGTACCTTCAGTGTTCATAGATCCAGACACTCTTCCTAAAACCCGATCTGTATGTCTGTGTCATGTTGCATAAGAGGAGTTGGACAGCATGGCCACAACAGACATGGTCTAACCAGCAACATAATAAACCATTTATGATACCTCAATCACTTGCACAACTAACTTGAACAGGAATATATTTCCCACTTGTGTTGACAGCCACTGCAAGTAAATTTTGCCCTGTTATATTTCAACACTACAGGAACAGCACTGACTAAATCTAGGTCTCTGACAGTACATAGTTGTGATCGAACAGTTAGCTCTTTTTAAACTGATTTGGAGCACCAGAGAGGTGAACCTGAGGAAAATCTAGACCTGCTTGGTTTAACACTTTTGACCACGTGTATATAGAGACATTCACCAGCGTTTACAGCATCTGAAGCAGCTGTTTGTGACCGGGAGAAGGACAGCCATTTAGTTCCTTGACACAGCAGGACACTTGATTAAGCTTCATTAAAATCATGAATCCAATTATCTGAGACAGTATTATCAGAAGATGATCGTAATTGATAAAGACATTAGAACTGACTTTGATTAGTCCATTGTATATAGAAGGTAGTTGTAGTTTAACCTTGCATGAAGCTTAGCCACTGGAGAGTAAATTTGTTTTGATATGAGTGTAGGCAAATTGGGATATAGGCAAAATGGGAACATACCTTTTGTTTCTGTTCGTTTACAAAAGGTTGAATCAATTTGATTAAATATTCCATGTTTATAATCTGAAAACAAACAACATTGATGTGTGTGTGGATTAGGGTGTCATTTGTAAATGATAGTGGTACTCAAGCTCAAAACGTTTCTACATACAATTGATATGATCTGCTTTGGGTGACACGTAATTTTGAAAGAAAGTTGGTGGCTATTTATCTCATATATATATCAATATGAAAAGATAGTGTGAGGATGAGTGGTGTCAGGTGAGGTTGTTGGTAAAGGTGAAGCTGTAGGCTGGGTGAGATTGTGTGCAGTGGTGAGGTTGTTGGTAAAGGTGAAGCTGTAGGTAGGGTGAGATTGTGTGCAGTGGTGAGGTTGTTGGTAAAGGTGAAGCTGTAGGTAGGGTGAGATTGTGTGCAGTGGTGAGGTTGTTGGTAAAGGTGAAGCTGTAGGCTGGGTGAGATTGTGTGGAGTGGTGAGGTTGTTGGTAAAGGTGAAGCTGTAAGCTGGGGTGAGATTGTGTGCAGTGGTGAGGTTGTTGGTAAAGGTGAAGCTGTAGGTAGGGTGAGGTAAGATTGTGCAGTGGTGTGCAGTGCAGTGGTGAGGTTATTGGTAAAGGTGAAGCTGTAGGTAGGGTGAGATTGTGTGCAGTGGTGAGGTTGTTGGTAAAGGTGAAGCTGTAGGCTGGGTGAGATTGTGTGCAGTGGTGAGGTTGTTGGTAAGGTTGAAGCTGTAGGCTGGGTGAGATTGTGTGCTAGGCTAGTGGTGAGATTGTGTGCAGTGGTGAGGTTGTTGGTAAAGGTGAAGCTGTAGGTAGGGTGAGATTGTGTGCAGTGGTGAGGTTGTTGGTAAGGGTGAAGCTGTAGGTAGGGTGAGATTGTGTGCAGTGGTGAGGTTGTTGGTAAGGTTGAAGCTGTAGGTAGGGTGAGATTGTGTGCAGTGGTGAGGTTGTTGGTAAAGGTTGAAGCTGTAGGCTGAGTGAGATTGTGTGCAGTGGTGAGGTTGTTGGTAGTAAAGGTTGAAGCTGTAGGTACAGGTGAGATTGTGCAGTGGTGGAGGTTGTTGTAAAGGTTGAAGCTGTAGGGTGGGTGAGATTGTGTGCAGTGGTGAGGTTGTTAGTAAAGGTAAGGTTGGGTGAGTGTGTGCAGTGGTGAGGTTGAGGTGAGGTTGGTAAGGTTGAAGCTGTAGGCTGGGTGAGATTGTGTGCAGTGGTGAGGTTGTTGGGAAGGTTGATGCTGTAGGTAGGGTGAGATTGTGTGCAGTGGAGAGGTTGTTGGTAAGGTTGATGCTGTAGGCTGGGTGAGATTGTGTGCAGTGGTGAGGTTGTCGGTAAGGTTGAAGCTGTAGGTGGTGTGAGATTGTGTGTAGTGGTGAGGTTGTTGGCAAGGTTGATGCTGTAGGTTGGGTGAGATTGTTTGCAGGGGTGATGCTGTGAGGGTGATGCTGCAAGTAGGGTGAGGTTGTGTGTTAGGGTGACACTATAGGTTCAGGTGAGATTGTTTGCAGTCACAAGGTTGTGTGTTAGAGTGAATCAACAGGCAGGGTGAGATTGTTTGCAGTCACAAGGTTGTGTGTTAGAGTGAATCAACAGGCAGGGTGAGATTGTTTGCAGTCACAAGGTTGTGTGTTAGAGTGAATCAACAGGCAGGGTGAGATTGTTTGCAGTCACAAGGTTGTGTGTTAGAGTGAATCAACAGGCAGGGTGAGATTGTTTGCTGGGGTTCATTTGTTGGTAAGGGTGACACTTTAAATTGAATTAGATTGTAGCTAAGTCCAGGATGTAGCTTGGGCTGGGACTGTTCAGGGTGAGACCCAGGTGTATGTACCCCAGGTATGTTGCCATGTATCTACAGAAATGTACCTTATGTGACTACTGCCTGAAACTGAGGCAGCTGGATGAGTCCAATAAACATGAGACGATTACAAATATCAATCATAGATTAAGATTACCCATAATGTACCATTAATATTTAAAACATTGTTTCAATTTCAGAATTTTAAGATATTTTACACTCTAATCAGACCAAACTATTTTGTTCCTTGTATTGTAGTAATATTGACTTCTTGAAATACAAAAGGTGCACAATCAAATCACAAGCTTGTAAATCATCAGGAGTACGCCCCTCACTGACGCTGGCACGTTTACTGCCTAGATTAACACAACACAAGGAATGTGTCAGCCTAGCAACACACATGCAGGTTCACCATGTAATGACCGACCACGTCATCCAGTTTGTCTGGATCCATCACAACCCACACATTAATATCATATAGCTACTGATTCTAATTGGAGGGAAACTTTTCAGAAGTCTATAGGTTAACACATCCAAATTTGTTTCGTCAACAGAAAACCAGTTAATCCTTTTCAGTGATTATGAGTTTCATTCCAGGGGCCACTGCTCCAAATCAATCGATCGAAGACCTCGCCTGAAGTGAGAGGATAGCTTTTGTCATAAAAAAACCCAACCACACAGAGAGTGTCAGTTATTTACTGTATGCCATAGTAACAGGCACAATGCAGACAATAATGTTTTGTAAATTTTACAGTGATAATTTTAGCTTTTTCCAGATCTCAGAATACAAGATAGGTATCAGGTTTGTAGGCTACAATATCTATTTCTTCTTATTAACATGAATTTGTGATGAGTTTACTACAACCTGTTTAAGAAATTATGAAGATGGGTTAGATTAAGCCAAAACTTGTGTGTAAATACTTTGTCAGAGAGAAACAATACAACATTTGAGATATATGTACTGAATATTATCGGGTGAGTATGGTTGTATGCTGCTTTTAACTATATTTCAGCAGTATCATGGTGTAAGACACCAGAAATGTAAATGTGGGGAATCAAACCCAGCCTTCTCACAAGACAGGCAAATACTTGAATCACTCGACCACCCTGTTGTAAACAAGTTGTGAGACATACTGGTGTAGCAATATTGTGTCCATTTACATCATTGTATCTTGAATTGTGAGATCTGTAAGGATGTAAGTACATGCCAAGCAGGGCACTCTCTTGTATACAGTTTACTGGTGACCAATTGCATGGGAATGTCAAAATAACATTACAAGAAATAGTTTCACTCTATATTGTTCTGTTAGCATGAAGATTTGGGGGTCAGTCACGTTAGTCGGAAAAGACAAATGTTATCACTGTTTCAAGTGCAGGAATTTAGTATTTGTAAAGTAACATGTATACATATTTACCAGTACATTTCTGTAAAGGTTTGTTCTCCAAACATGAAGTCATCATGTAATACAAAAATGTATATTGAATCACATAATTTGAAACCTTAATGGTCCCCTTGATTTGATATGATTTGTTTTATTCATTACTTGTTTAATTAATAAGAGATGTAGAGGTAGGACAAATAAATTATATCTAAACTATTATGAAATTGTGGCTCTGGCTGACTGGATTCACAAACCAAAGAACACAAAGTGTGTCACCTAACAATGGTTTTAACAACAAATGTTTTCGGTGTTGAAATATGCAGACAGTAATGAAGTCAGCTGTACACATCACTGGAGGGAATTTAACATCAAACCTGCTCCATCAATTAGAATCTGCATACTTACACTTCCGCATGAAAGCTGATGACTCAAATTTATGGTATTCCAGATATTTCAAAGTGTATACCTTCTGATGTTGAGTTGGATGTTTACACTGCAGTCCTTACACCTGCTCTGGTCACTGTACAATGATCCTCTTTCACACCTGCACCAGGTGATGTTACCTTGCTCATTAGGTGTTATTGTCCAGGTGTGCAATCTGTGGTGTTTCAGCATCATCATGAACATAGGCCTCCAAGTATGTTATAGTTTGTTTGTTGTTTAACGTTGCACTCTGCAATATCCCTCCAAATACAAGCGGTTTGTAAATAATTGAATCTAGACCAGACAATCCAGTGATTGATCCAGCATCAATCTACACAATTGGGATACGATAACCTGCGTCGACCAAGTCAGAGTGCCTAAACACCCAATCATGTTAGTTGCCTCTTACGACAAGTATGGTTGTAAAGACCAATTCTAACCCTTCTTCACAGGTTCAAGTATGTACCATGAACAGGTAGAGTCTTGTGCAGAGATACTGCTACAATGTCCTGTTTTTACACATCATGGCTTGAGCTCAGACATTTACTGCCCTTGATGCAATTATGCAAACGCAAAGCATCTACTCTGATATACCTATACTGGCTCATGGTAAGAATGTGTCTTAATCATGGCTGCATCATGCCGTCAGTGTTGAGGATTATCAGGCAGATGCCCCTAGGGGATTCTGAGTAAGAATGGTCCCTAACTGTACATGATTGTCATGGTGTGAATAAATTGACAGGATGGTCGCTTGGAGACTTTGTTATTATGTATCAATGTACCCTAATCACATGAGGGGTGCACATATTAAAACATATGCAATTTTCACAAGAAAAGACTTTGAGTGATTTGGTTCAACACCACTTTGACTAGTATTCCAGGTATATTAGCACCTGTCAGCTTACTGTGGTAGGAAAGCCGACTGACTGACTGAGTTTGGTTTTACGCCGCTTTTAGCAATATTCCAGCAACATCACGGCAGGGGACACCAGAAATGGGCTTCACACATTGTACCCATGTGGGGATTCGAACCCGTGTCTACAGCGTGACGAGCCAACGCTTTAACCACTAGGCTGAAGTGATGCAGGTTTCAGATGCTTACCTTGTTTGTGAAACCCATGAGCATGGTGCTGACAAATCATCATTGTGGCAAGCCTGTATCTGGACCTACAACCATGGCTTTCTGCTGTGCTCAAGGGATGCAACCCTGCACATCAAAAGGTGTCACACGTAACCATATTCATGACAAAAGACATTCATATTGTCATGAACCGTTTGTTCATTATATATGTTCCTCTATACAAAACAACTAAACACAACATGTATATTTTCTCATTTATTCGATATATAAAAATACATCTATATAGTATTTGCTACAAAAGAGAGTCATTTCTTTGGACAATGTTGGACAGTGTTGTCCAAGAGGGACATGTACCCTGTAATTAATAGCGGACCCGCTGCTTCCACAATTGCAAAAACATTCTGCCTTTTGACAATTAAAATTTGTACATGACATTAAGAAACTATTTACAATTATTATTTATATTCAGATATTTTAAACCAATCTTTCTGAAACATACACAAATTGCATTCTGTTTAGGGACAGATTAATGAAAATAAATAACAAACGTATTCCAATTTCCAGACAAATTTAAAGCCATAATCATAACAAATTTGAACTGATATTGTGAAAACAGCAGGCAGAAGGAATGTTCAACATGTAAATTGGCTTAATGTGTAAAGATGAATGTAACACACAGCTACAGCCTTATAAGTGAGTGAGTGAGTTTAGTTTAACACCACACTCAGCAATATTCCAGCTATATGATGGGGTCTGTAAATAATCAAGTCTGGACCAGACAATCCAGTGATCAACAGCATGAACATCGATCTGCACAATTGGGAACCGATGACAACAGCCTTATGAAGAACAGCTGATCTTCAGTAACTGTCAGTGCAACAAAACCGTGTGCATGTTTATCCACAAGCTACCGGTAATAATGTCAGGCTTAAAACTGACTTATTTTCATTATGTAAAATTTGTTGTCGGCTTTGAAAGCCTTTCATTTGTTAAAATGAGAGAGAACTATACTTATTTAACTGAGACAATGTTTTGTTTAAATATTTCCATCTTGCAAAGTTTGTATGAAGCATTTGAACAGATACTACAAGTGTTACATGATACATGATTGGTGTTCTAACCAGGAAGAGGTGAGAATGTAACTACCAGTGTCATCTACATATATATCATAAGTTACATATATACAATAAACTACATATCTACAAAGGTATCTATCTCTGTACAAATATACATGTATAAAAGGTAATATCACAACAATATCACAGTTTGTCTGGTGACAAGGCACCAACTTCATAAATAACATGTAATACTTGCACTATATGTTGTCATAGCAACCAGACCTGATATGTTTGGATGGCACATACATTAGCATACATATATATTGGAAGATTAAAATAAGACAAGGCGTTTCATGTCAGTAACAGATCTGCAAATGTATTGCTCTATATGAACGTAATAATCCTATTCCCTCTCGTCCTTCATGTATATTATTACTCAGCTTCATACATGACTGAGGTATGAATTCCACTGAGGTAGCCACCATTTTGAAATACATTTTGGAGAGGCCATACACATCACAGTATTGGTGGACAGGGACATATTGGACTGTGCAACCTAAACAACCTAATCATTGCTGCCTCATATCGACACACGACCAGTGAGCATCCATGTTGAATTATGTTGGATGAGTGCAAAACAAGAATGATAAGCAGAATATTAATGTCATGCCAAACAATTTCAAATGGTTCCAAAAAGTCTTTCAGTGCAGATGACTTCAAATTAGGTTAAAATATTCTTCAAGTCAGATGACCCATTGTCTCTTTAGGTCACTATCATCCTATAATCAACGCAGGGAACCTCATCTATCCAAGTTTATCCCATCTCACAGATTCAGACTACCGTAAGGTCAGGGTTTGACCACTTAGCTTCAGTTGTGAAGCAAATCAACAAGTAACACTTCAGCATTGACACATACACTTAGATCCTAATCTCTTTGGTCTTGAGTAAGCCAGAAAACACTTCAAGGGACATATGAGCTTCTACCAAATCTGGACAAAAGGTTACATATTTTCTCAAAGCTTACAATTTAGCAGACGATGCATCTCATAACATGATATATGAAAACAAAAATGTACAGAATAATTTCTTTGTGCATGATTTTTAACACTGAATCTTTTGGTATAATTTAGCATTATGCAATCATGGCCGAATAACTTAGTTATAACTTTAAACTTGCCATGAGATAGTGGTTCCAACAAAACAAACTGGAAGACAAGACCAGGTAAACAATATGTTGAGACATTTGGCTAGCAAAACAATGAAAGCATTTTATTAAGGAAACAGAATTCCTGCTAAAAAAATAAGAAAATAAATACAAAGGTTAAATAGAAATAAAAGTTTAAATATTGTGGTTTAGTGTAATCATAAACTATATATGCACACTGTGCATAAACATACCTTCAGATGAACACAAACAATGGGATGTTACATTTTGAACCTAAAATACATTGTTCAGCAAAACAAAAACCACCAGAACAATATGACATATATGTAAAATAAAATTTGGCTATATAACAAAACTGTTATCTGAACAAAGTAAAATAATTTATAATCTTACTCTATTAAACAAATAAAACAAAAGTGTCTGCAAAAATGTTTTTAGCCAACAAAACTATGAGGTATGTAAACTGCCTGATCATATCCCATTCATTCATAAACATTATCAGTTCTTCACCATTTGTTCACCATTTGTTCAGCATTGGTTAATTGCTGGTTCAGTGTTTGTTCAGAGTTGTCTCCCCTTCAGCATTCTGTGAGATCAGTCTGTGAAAAAAAAACCCAGTAGTTCCATTTAATATAACTTGTCTTGAAAAGGTTTCTGTTTAACTTCTTACAAATGTATATAACACCTTACAGATAAGAACATCAGTAATTTGTATCTGTCCTGATGTAGGCTATAAAATGTGTGGGATGGTGAGAAGTTTGTAAAGAGTGAGTGAGTTGGGTTTTACGCTGCTTTTAGCAATATTCCAGCAATATCATTGCAGGGGACACCAGAAATGGGCTTCACACATTGTGCCCATGTGGGGAATTGAACCCGGGTCTTCAGTGTGACGAGTGAATGTTTTAACCACTAGGCTACCCCACTGCCCCATTCTGTAAAGAACACACATCTATGGAAATTAGTGTCACTGAATCGAAATCTACAAGTGTAAATTTCAAGGTTTCAAGGATTTTGATACCAGTGAATTTGAAAAAAAATACAGCCTTCAAATCTGATTTCATATCTTCTACAATGAAAACAGGAGCTCTCCATTCCACCTTGACAAAGGGAGAAAATAAGCTCAATTTATTTCATCAAAGCAGAAGTGGAAAAAGATGCAACATTGGTTGAGTCAAATATTTTCAAAATTGTGACCAGTTGCATTTAGGAATCGTGCAGTTATATTCTATAAGTACCGGTAAACATAAGTTTGATTTCATCCACACAAACTATACTGGATGGGTAGTGGATGTGAGATTAATAAGTTAATAGTAAAGAACAGTTCTCTCTAAATACAACTTTCTTTAACATAACATCAAATTATATTGTATGGCTACACAGCGAGGATACCTAAATGTCCCCCAGAGATATGAAGCAGGCTTTGCACTGTTGTACTTACACAACAGCATAAGTATCTATGCCAATATGTCGCAGCAGAATGTCATAAACAAGTTGTCACCCATAAGGTATCTTGCCTTTATTATTACTAATCAACTTTTAAAATGCCAAAAGCTGTGTTGATGTTATTAACTTTTGCACTACTAATTTGTCGTAACTTCTTGTTGGTTTGTCTGTCAACAAGGCATGCTAACTGCCAACCAGTCTAAAATATTGAAGTATCCAAGACTTCTTGATTAATATCAAAATTAGAATCAGTTTAATGGTCAAGTTTGTGAAAGATGTGCCTACTGTGGCAGTGTAGTATTTTTGTGTTACAGTGTTATATTTTATCTTAGTTGGTGCTGCTAGTTGAAGATGTACCTGTTTTTATGTACACAATACACACCTGTAAATATTGGCTATATTACCATACTTAGAATACTTACAATACAACTGAAGCATGCACCAGCAAAGCTTATCAATCAATGCATGAACACCAACCTTACAATACAACTGAAGCATGCACCAGCAAAGCATATCAATCAATGCATGAACACCAACCTTACAATAGCCAAAGCCCTGACTTGCCTCAGTCTTTTGTCTAGTTTATGTAATCATCACAGTTTAAACTCAGAGCTTGATCTCCTAATTTAGTCACTCTCAAGCATTCGAGCAGTAAGCAGTCCCACACTACAGTGTAAAGGTTTTAAAAGGTATCTGGATACCAGCTCACCTCTGTATATTTCCACGGTTAGTACTTCATCTGTACTGTTGTATATTATGTTTTAATGTGAGTATATCTGTTCTATATGACATGCATATGTCTGTTTGATATACATAGAAGTATATAGGTGTTTATCCCTACCATTTTCTGGTAAAGCAGAAATGATATAGACTACTTAACATATATATGTATATATATCTAATGTAGGGAAGCTATATCATGATGGGTTCAATAGTCATCCAAGCACATTTAATGTAACTATTGTATCAACGTAAACCCATGCATGTTATGTAGTGTGAAACAATGTAATCACATCATGTTGGTATGTTCGTATATGTGGATATATATGGGTAGGTGCATGTGCATATGCATGTACATAAGTGTTCATGATAGGAAGTAGGTATAATACAATGTACTAGGTACTATTGTAGTTAGCATCTAATGACATGCATTAGCCATGTGTGGTGTGTATTGACTTGTATATAGATAATATTGTGGTACTATGTATGTTTATTTACTACAGATCCTTACAGGCCTGTATGGTATGAGGGACTGCTGGATCTGGCAAACCTAGGTCCACACACCTGGTAGGTGTTATATATCTTATGTTATCTTATCCCTCATAATAGTGTATCTATAATGAGCAGTCATCCCATCTGGATAACTATCCCTAGAATTCATTACAGATGTATTATATACATACACGGCATTATATATATGCGGTGAGTCGTATTGACTAGAGTTGACCTGTATTGTATGTTGTAGACATTGCAGCATGTACTTGATACAATACCTATGATGTACCATGGTCTAAGTCTTGATGTATATAGTGTATGACACGATACCTTAGTAGGTTTACATTGTTCACCAACTGTTTCAGGGTTTATGTATAAGGAGGATATGGTGGATTCGTCCCAGCGTAATAAAGATGCCGTCAACTCACACCCCGTAGCCTTGTGGTTTTCATTTCGGAAAACCCCCAAATTCCATGCTACTACACTACAAACACATATTATCACTGTAATCCAGCCATCAATGGAATCATGGTTGTATTTAAAAGTTTTACGTAATAAATTCATCCAAATTTGAATCCAACATCTCCTTGAAGTGGCGTAACTATGATCTGTAGCTCCCTACCTCACGCTCTGCTGTCTCCGAGTCTGGGAAACTAACTGTGGAGATATCTGCTCTTTGTCCTGAAACAGATGTCAACATGGCAGACGTCTTAAACTTTGTACAGTCACACTGAAAGGTTAAGATTCTAACTCAGGCCTAATGTTATAGGACAATAACTCAGCAGAGCACTTGTCTACATCATGCAGTGAGTGAGGGAACTGAGTTTTGTGCTAGTTTGACCTGCATATTGATGATATCATGGAGTGTCAGTAGGGGACAGTTCTCTATGATCTGATAACCATTTTCTGCCAAGTTCTAGACATTGTAATAGATACCATGTGAAACTGGGTTTTTTATCTAACATTATCAACAGATGCAAAATTGACACACACATGGATATAATTTGAACGAGGTGACAATGTCTGGGTCAAAGGACTGCCAATGACCCCAAACCAAGATGCCCTTTAATGTTGGAGGAAGTCAATGCAGGTCTCAGATATTTTTCAGTTTCAGTAAAATCCCAAAACACCGAAGGTTCTATTAAACCTTCAATCAGTGATTATGTCATAGGATTCTGCCATCCCAAAGAGAGTGACTATGCACAGCTAAGGTCAACCATGTCTCCAGTCCCGAGGAGGTTTCAAGGTTAATATTCCACATGTTATATACATTTGACCACTTTCTAAATGGCATTGAGTATTCATACTTAACAGTCCACTCAGATGCTAGGCTGTCTACTCAACCCATCTTGGATCCACCTTACTCCAACATTCATATGGATCTTCTTTAGATCCACAAATAAAAAATTGACAAATATTGTATCAATTATACCTTTAAGAACATTTTGTTACAAGTAAAGTATCATTTCTTAGGTGGATAAACTGGACCAAGATGGTAATCCTTTGAAAAAAATCTTTCTTTTGTTCCATTTTATTTCTATTCAACTGATTACAGCTTTAAACAGTCACTTCATAAGAAAACGCAAAGCCTTACAGAGTTATTTTGACCACAAAGCATTGGTTTGAGACAAGAGTGTGTGACAATGATGTAAAGAAGGCCTCACCTCTCATGATCAGCCTCCTGGGATCTGCAGCTGCCTCATCCTGTAGAAGGAGGCCCTCCTGCTGGTAGGGGCCCTTGGAGGGTTTCTTCCTCTTCTTCATCTTGCGGACACTGGTGTCAGGCTGGGCCTGCTCTCTGCAGGACAGAACATGACATTGGATGTGCATCAACAGGAACCTTATAGTGCTTCAGTTTCTCAGGGAATACAAGTCTGAAGACAGACCTTCTCCTAACATTTTGTCTATAACTGGAAATAACAAATGTGTCAGTAGCTCATGAGGAAATTGCAAAGCATCAGCTTGCCATGGACTACAATTCTGACACAATCAATTCAACTACATTAGTCTTTTCAAAGGGTCCTTCCCTTGATAATGTTTTGAATGTTTAGTCATTTTACAGTTTACCAGTGTACACAAGTTACATCATTGGTTGAGTCAAATATTTTCAAAATGGTGACCAGTTGCATTTAGGAATCGTGCAGTTATATTCTATAAGTACCGGTAAACATAAGTTTGATTTCATCCACACAAACTATACTGGATGGGTAGTGGATGTGAGATTAATAAGTTAATAGTAAAGAACAGTTCTCTCTAAATACAACTTTCTTTAACATAACATCAAATTATATTGTATGGCTACACAGCGAGGATACCTAAATGTCCCCCCGAGAAATGAAGCAGGCTTTTGCACTGTTGTACTTACACAACAGCATAAGTATCTATGCCAATATGTCGCAGCAGAATGTAATAAACAAGTTGTCACCCATAAGGCATCTTGCCTTTATTATTACTAATCAACTTTTAAAATGCCAAAAGCTGTGTTGATGTTATTAACTTTTGCACTACTAATTTGTCGTAACTTCTTGTTGGTTTGTCTGTCAACAAGGCATGCTAACTGCCAACCAGTCTAAAATATTGAAGTATCCAAGACTTCTTGATTAATATCAAAATTAGAATCAGTTTAATGGTCAAGTTTGTGAAAGATGTGCCTACTGTGGCAGTGTAGTATTTTTGTGTTACAGTGTTATATTTTATCTTAGTTGGTGCTGCTAGTTGAAGATGTACCTGTTTTTATGTACACAATACACACCTGTAAATAATGGTTATATTACCATACTTAGAATACTTACAATACAACTGAAGCATGCACCAGCAAAGCTTATCAATCAATGCATGAACACCAACCTTACAATACAACTGAAGCATGCACCAGCAAAGCATATCAATCAATGCATGAACACCAACCTTACAATAGCCAAAGCCCTGACTTGCCTCAGTCTTTTGTCTAGTTTATGTAATCATCACAGTTTAAACTCAGAGCTTGATCTGCTAATTTAGTCACTCTCAAGCATTCGAGCAGTAAGCAGTCCCACACTACAGTGTAAAGGTTTTAAAAGGTATCTGGATACCAGCTCACCTCTGTATATTTCCACGGTTAGTACTTCATCTGTACTGTTGTATATTATGTTTTAATGTGAGTATATCTGTTCTATATGACATGCATATGTCTGTTTGATATACATAGAAGTATATAGGTGTTTATCCCTACCATTTTCTGGTAAAGCAGAAATGATATAGACTACTTAACATATATATGTATATATATCTAATGTAGGGAAGCTATATCATGATGGGTTCAATAGTCATCCAAGCACATTTAATGTAACTATTGTATCAACGTAAACCCATGCATGTTATGTAGTGTGAAACAATGTAATCACATTATGTTGGTATGTACGTATATGTGGATATATATGGGTAGGTGCATGTGCATATGCATGTACATAAGTGTTCATGATAGGAAGTAGGTATAATACAATGTACTAGGTACTATTGTAGTTAGCATCTAATGACATGCATTAGCCATGTGTGGTGTGTACTGACTTGTATATAGATAATATTGTGGTACTATGTATGTTTATTTACTACAGATCCTTACAGGACTGTATGGTATGAGGGACTGCTGGATCTTGCAAACCTAGGTCCACACACCTGGTAGGTGTTATATATCTTATGTTATCTTATCCCTCATAATAGTGTATCTATAATGAGCAGTCATCCCATCTGGATAACTATCCCTAGAATTCATTACAGATGTATTATATACATACACGGCATTATATATATGCGGTGATTCGTATTGATTAGAGTTGACCTGTATTGTATGTTGTAGACATTGCAGCATGTACTTGATACAATACCTATGATGTGCCACGTGTCTAAGTCTTGATGTATATAGTGTATGACACGATACCTTAGTAGGTTTACATTGATCACCAACTGTTTCAGGGTTTATGTATAAGGAGGATATTGGTGGATTCATCCCAGTGTAATAAAGATGCCGTCAACTCACACCCCGTAGCCTTGTGGTTTTCATTTCGGAAAACCCCCAAATTCCATGCTACTACACTACAAACACATATTATCACTGTAATCCAGCCATCAATGGAATCATGGTTGTATTTAAAAGTTTTACGTAATAAATTCATCCAAATTTGAATCCAACATGTCCTTGAAGTGGCGTAACTATGATCTGTAGCTACCTACCTCACGCTCTGCTGTCTCCGAGTCTGGGAAACTAACTGTGGAGATATCTGCTCTTTGTCCTGAAACAGATGTCAACATGGCAGACGTCTTAAACTTTGTACAGTCACACTGAAAGGTTTAGATTCTAACTCAGGCCTAATGTTATAGGACAATAACTCAGCAGAGCACTTGTCTACATCATGCAGTGAGTGAGGGAACTGAGTTTTGTGCTAGTTTGACCTGCATATTGATGATATCATGGAGTGTCAATAGGGGACAGTTCTCTATGATCTGATAACCATTTTCTGCCAAGTTCTAGACATTGTAATAGATACCATGTGAAACTGGGTTTTTATCTAACATTATCAACAGATGCAAAATTGACACACACATGGATATAATTTGAACGAGGTGACAATGTCTGGGTCAAAGGACTGCCAATGACCCCAAACCAAGATGCCCTTTAATGTTGGAGGAAGTCAATGCAGGTCTCAGATATTTTTCAGTTTCAGTAAAATCCCAAAACACTGATGGTTCTATTAAACCTTCAATCAGTGATTATGTCATAGGATTCTGCCATCCCAAAGAGAGTGACTATGCACAGCTAAGGTCAACCATGTCTCCAGTCCGAGGAGGTTTCAAGGTTAATATTCCACATGTTATATACATTTGACCACTTTCTAAATGGCATTGAGTATTCATACTTAACAGTCCACTCAGATGCTAGGCTGTCTACTCAACCCATCTTGGATCCACCTTACTCCAACATTCATATGGATCTTCTTTAGATCCACAAATAAAAAATTGACAAATATTGTATCAATTATACCTTTAAGAACATTTTGTTACAAGTAAAGTATCATTTCTTAGGTGGATAAACTGGACCAAGATGGTAACCCTTTGAAAAAAATCTTTCTTTTGTTCCATTTTATTTCTATTCAACTGATTACAGCTTTAAACAGTCACTTCATAAGAAAACGCAAAGCCTTACAGAGTTATTTTGACCACAAAGCATTGGTTTGAGAGAAGAGTGTGTGACAATGATGTAAAGAAGGCCTCACCTCTCATGATCAGCCTCCTGGGATCTGCAGCTGCCTCATCCTGTAGAAGGAGGCCCTCCTGCTGGTAGGGGCCCTTGGAGGGTTTCTTCCTCTTCTTCATCTTGCGGACACTGGTGTCAGGCTGGGCCTGCTCTCTGCAGGACAGAACATGACATTGGATGTGCATCAACAGGAACCTTATAGTGCTTCAGTTTCTCAGGGAATACAAGTCTGAAGACAGACCTTCTCCTAACATTTGTCTATAACTGGAAATAACAAATGTCTGTGCTTCATGAGGAAATTGCAAAGCATCAGCTTGCCATGGACTACAATTCTGACACAATCAATTCAACTACATTAGTCTTTTCAAAGGGTCCTTCCCTTGATAATGTTTTGAATGTTTAGTCATTTTACAGTTTACCAGTGAACACAAGTTACATCATTGTCTAGTTATCACCTGGTATAAGTTCCTCACAACATTTAGACATTGATCTTTTAGATATTGAAGTTAGCTGACCTTCAATGATGATATGTGGTTTTCATTGGATTTTACTAGTATATCCATGTTCAATCCAGGATGTGGATGTCTGACTGAGGTATAGATATTTATGATTGTGGACAGAAGTACATCACTCACCCTCCAAACTCCCCTGACATCCTGCTGTCTCGAAACTCCAACTCCGTTAAACCTGATCAAGAAATAATGCACTTGTCAACATATATACTATTCACACTTTGCTAAGGATCAAATCAGGGTTTCAAGAGAAAACTATGATATGGGGTCAAATTTGTTTTAAATATCTAAGCTTATTGTAAGCATGGACCCCAGGTTTCAGTATGTCATTGCATCTTGTGGATCCCATACCTGCTATTGACAGGTGTTGTGTACTTGTCAGTTACTAGTTCCATGATATGCAAAATGGTTGATTGGTGCCATGAAAACCATTTTTATGGCTACTCATGTATCAAGTGCATAAGGTTAGATTAAAGTGACTGTTTGCCTAAAGAGGGGTTACCATATAATTACTTTTCCAGTTTTAAATGGACACAATTTCAAATTATAAATCTACGTTTATGTAAAGTTTTGAATTTTTGTGATCCTTAGCAAAGTATGAGTAGTATATATTGATGCCAGACTTGATCAAGAAATAATGCACTAGTTAACATATATACTAAGCAGCAAAAGAAACATCAGTTTGGAAAATTCCTTTGCAGAAACGGATAAGTGTAACTCATTTAATGTTTTGATTGTATATTTTTAACAACATCTCCAACTTTACCTGAGCAAAGACATTCCTTCCTAAACTCAGAATGGAACCCAGGAAATGGTCTCAAAAACGCAACCTGATCTCAGAGATGGTACGGTGTTCTCCATGTTTTTCATGCACACTCCTGCTGCACGTGCTGTTCACAAGGACCAGCCCTATAAATTGCACCCCCAAACCTGGTTGAAACATTCACATTACAACGTCAGCAGGATGCCGCGACTCACAACAGCTCAGAGGAACCAGGTGCTAGGAAGACTTGAAGGTGGCCACACTGCACAAGCCGTTGCCAATCACTTCCAGGTCAACGTTTGGACCATCTACAGGCTGCAGCAACGTTTCCAGGCCACCACAAATGATTGCCCCCGTACTGGCAGACCAAGGATGACCACAAGGCGACAAGACCGCCATGTTGTGCGACAGCATGTACAGAATCCCTTCATGCAGGCATCCGAAACAGCACGCCAGACAGTGGGAACACACAGAAGATCAATCAGTACTGATACAGTATGTCGACGTCTTAACAGCGGGAACCTCCATTGCCGTAGACCTTAACGTGGACCTATCCTCACCCCTCATCATCGACGTGAACGTCTACAGTTTGCCCTACAACACCAAAACTGGCGATACAGGCAATGGAGAACTGTTCTGTTCACAGATGAGAGTCGGTACAGCGTATCAACTGCAGATGGCAGAACAAGAGTATGGCGACGACGTGGCCAGCATTACTCAGACCAATGTGTTATGGAAAGAGACTCATGGAGAGGTGCAAGCATCATGGTATGGGGTGGAATAGGCCTGAACCAGAGAGTGGGTCCTGTGGTGTTCCAGAACCTTGGTCCAGGGAGAGGAGGCGGCATCACAGTGGTGCGCTACATCGACCAAGCTCTTAGACCCCACGTCATACCACATTTCGCACGTCACCGGAACAACATTTTCCAGCATGATAACGCCCGGGCCCATACTGCCAGAGCTACACGGGACTTCCTACAGCAGAACGGTGTCAACATTATGCAGTGGCCAGCCCTTAGTCCTGATTTAAACCCAATTGAACATCTTTGGGATGAAATTCAGAGGAGACTGAATAATGTCATACCAAGGCCGAACACAGACGATTTATTGCGCCAGGCCTTTTTCAGAGTGTAGTTCAAGGTGCCAATGGCCTTCATTTATCGATTGGTGCACTCCAAGCATAGATGCTGTGCTGCGGTTATTGCCGCTCGTGGTGGTCACACTAGATACTGAAGTCAAGGGTCTGAATGGACTGCAAACGTTCATGTAATGTCTTGAAAGTGTGCTGAGTTATTCATTGATGTGTCAAGATATTGTACACAAAAAATATTTTTGATCCGCTTGTTATGTCCATTTCTGTAATGATTTGATTACAGTGCCTATCTAATTTTGAATTCGTACTGGCGTTTTTTTTGCTGCTGAGTATATATTGATGTGAGACTTGTTTCTGTCTCATTCTGACATAGCTGGCAGTGATGTGTTTTATCATTTCTATGCTATCTCTGTAAATTTATAAAACACAAAGCAGGGATTGCTGTAAAACTATAGGATCTGCCATGTTCTATACTTTACAGTGAAACCTTGTTGAATCAGACCCTGTCAATCTGGACACCTTATTTTACACTGATTACTGGACATACAAAGAGGTGTTACCAGCATCTCTGTGTTAATCTGAATGATTTCACCAGGAATCCAGATTAACTGGGGGGGGGTTACTGTATTTATAAAGTATTGTACATACTTTTCATGCAAAATGTTAACAAGGTGACTCAGTAATAGGGACAATTCTCTCAAGTACAGATATAGTCATTCTTACCCCATACTCAACACCATACTTGTGATCGCAAAAGAACTTTATCTTACCTCCCACATAAATGACGTTTTCTGATTGGCTGAGCGCTCTTCTATTATTTTCAATGTACCCTGCTTACAAGCGAGTATTTTCTATATTACCCACTGGGAATGCCGAACTGTGGGAATTCATTTGGTACTTTGTGTTAGTTATTCTTTATCTTGAATAATTGAGTCACGTATGATGGATGGAAATTACTTATGTTTTGTGATGGAAGGGAGATACCTCCTTTGTTTTTCTTGTCGTCTGTCATTGGTATTGGCTAATTGCCTAACTCTGGTACTCCTTATTATGATCCAATACCCATGTTTCAAACAGTTCAAAATTAACATTGAGGTGTTCAGTAAGATAAACATGTTGTTCACATGGCTCCACTCTTGAACCCGTGAAGATCTGGGTTAGAATATTGATCTTCAGTAACCCATGCTTGTTGTAAGAGGCGACTGACGGGATCAGGTGGTCAGGCTCGCTGACTTGGTTGAAACATGTCATCGGTTCCCAATTGCATAGATCGATGCTCATGCTGTTGATCACTGGATTGTCTGGTCCAGACATGATTATTTACAGACCGCCGCCATATAGCTGGAATATTGCTGAGTGCGACATAAAACTAAACTCACTCACTCACTCCCCCCTCTTGACCAGTGAACAACTAATAATGTACACTAAGAAGTGTGGATAGAAACTGGGACCCACCTCCCATATCTCCGCCATCTTGTCTCAGCAGCTGCTGCAACAGGGTCTTGACAGCTTTCATGTCACGGCGTGAGCGGTCTGCGATCTCCTCCTGCTTCAGCTTCAGTTGGTACACACTGTCTTTTAGGAGGTGGATCTCATGGTCAAATCTGTCATTGGTGACAATACTGCCACTGGTTCTGGTGGTGGTGGAGGTCATACCACTCTCCTCCTGGTAGAAGACAGAAGGGTGGTGGAGGCCATACCACTCTCCTCCTGGTAGAAGACAGAAGGATCTTGTGTTATAGAAGCCTGGTGAGGGTGTGATGTGAAGGAGAGGAGAGGATGGGGGGAGGTTGGATGGGGGTGGATAGAGCCTGGTGAAGTTTGATGAGAAAGGTGGGGTGGGTGCCTGGTGAAGTTTGATGAGAAGGTGGGGTTGGTGGCAGACAGAAGCTAGGTGAGATGTGATGTGAAGGAGAGAAGTGATGAGAGAAGAGGGGGTGGGGTGGATAGGGAAGTAGCAGATAGATGCCTGGGTGAAGTTTGGTGAGAAGGTTGGGTTGGTGGCAGACAGAAGCTACAGGTGAGATGTGATGTGAGAGGAGAGAAGAGATAGAGGGGGTGGGGTGGATGGGGGTAGCAGATAGAGAGGAGAGGAGATAGCCTGGTGAAGGAAGCTAGGTGATGAGAAGGTGGGGTTGGTGGCAGACCTGAAGAAGCTAATCTAAACAACCACTAAACCATCGTAGACACTTTGTTTCTATGTTCTTCTCAGCTCCTCAAATTCCTTCAAAAACCTGTCATGCTAGCTGGCACTTGTTAACATATGTGCCACCATAAGCACACTTCCGTCATGTGCAGAGGGATAAGTTTAGCATACAATATGATATCAACATTCAATATATATTTCTTATAGGATAGCATGGAAGTCAGTATAAAATATTGCTCACAAAAATATATATAAGACATTACCAAATATTTGAAGGGCATTTAGAAGTGGAATACATAAGAAAAGCAAGATTTATGGATGTCAACTTCTTTATTGTGAAGGAGCAAGCATACACTCCAAAACGTCGTGCTATTCACAATAGAGAATTTGGCATCCATAAATCTTGCTTTTCTTAAGATGTTTCAGATGTTTACAAACACATTTTAGGATTATTCAGCTTATATTTAAAATATGTACACAAGCATATGACAAGCAATCTCAGGGGTAGACTCTAACGGGATGGACATTTTCAAATAATGCATATAAAACATATCACGATGGCGTTTCAAAGTATTTACTTATCTTTGAGAGATTATGAGATCATCGTGTTTCAATCAATAGCATATCAGCTTATTTGTTCATTCCACGAAATCTAGTGCTGTACAAATGTCATTTTTCATCTTACAATGATGTAATTAATACTTACAAATATTCCACCGTCAAACCCTCCGAATTTTGCTTTCCATTGCTCTTGCATGTCATCAAGTTGTTCCTGAAAGAGAAGAGAACAAGTAGTCAAGAAGTAACTGATGACTTTAGTACATAATACACCTTCAGTCCTGAGTGGCCATCAGATCAAGACAACTGACAAACTGGCCATCAGATCTTCAGTCCTCAGAGTGGCCATCAGATCTGTACAAGACAAACTGACGCACCTTCAGTCCTGAGTGGCCATCAGAAGTGTACAAGACAACTGGCCATCAGATCTGTACCTCAGTCCTGAGTGGCCATCAGATCTGTACAAGACAACTGACGCACCCTCAGTCCTGAGTGGCCATCAGATCTGTACAAGACAACTGACGCACCCTCAGTCCTGAGTGGCCATCAGATCTGTACAAGACAAACTGATGCACCTTCAGTCCTGAGTGGCCATCAGATCTGTACAAGACAACTTGACGCACCTTCAGTCCTGAGTGGCCATCAGATCTGTACAAGACAAACTGATGCACCTTCAGTCCTGAGTGGCCATCAGATCTGTACAAGACAACTGACGCACCTTCAGTCCTGAGTGGCCATCAGATCTGCACAAGACAACTGACGCACCCTCAGTCCTGAGTGGCCATCAGATCTGTACAAGAAAACTGATGCACCTTCAGTCCTGAGCGGCCATCATATCTGTACAAGACAAACTGATGCACCTTCAGTTCTGAGTTGCCATCAGATCTGTACAAGACAAACTGATGCTTATTGGAGAGGGCTGCCTAATATGCCAAACATTAATGACCTACCTTGATCTGAATAGTGACTTTCTTGAGGTCCTCCTCTCCTGCCTGGGTGAGGTCGTCATCATAGTAGTCGGACTGAGGCGAACACTGCTCCTCTATGAAGTTGAGGAACTTCAGGCGGCGCTTCTTGGACATCCCCTCCCAGATGTTGAGGATGGTGATGGCTCTCTGCATCACGGCATTAGCCTGTGCATTGTCATAGACTCTGGAGAGGAAATAAGTCAGTGGTCACCCATTAGGTTGTACATTGTCATACACTCTGGAGAGGAAATGTCAATGGTCACTCATTAGGTTGTACATTGTCATACACTCTGGAGAGGAAATGTCAATGGTCACTCATTAGGTTGTACATTGTCATACACTCTGGAGAGGAAATATGTCAGTAGTCATCCATTAGGTTGTACATTGTCATACACTCTGGAGAGGAAATACCTCAGTAGTCACCCATTAGCTGAGGGACACATTAGCCTGTCCACTGTCATACACTCTGGACAGGAGACAAATCAGCCTTCACTATTTCATACATTTTGGACAAGGAATACATCAGTCATAACTCATAATCTTGGGAAGACATTAGCCTCCACATTGTTGTACACTTTACAGTGGCGAGACATTAGCCTGGCTGTCATCAGACAGGGAAACATTATAGTACTGTCGGAAATGCTAGAAAAATGCTTTTGACTTATATTTAAAATTCAGAGGTGTTACAGTTACTTAAATAACAAATAACACTTCAAGAAATATCTACCTAATGTAGACCGAGGGAATAAATTTTGAGACATGCTCTAAACTGTGTTTTACTGATGAAAATACCAAAAACTTAGAAATATAAGGGGTAGTGGGGACGTTATTTGAAACAAACATTAACTGCCTGTGTTACGTCATCAGCATGCACGGTATCGACAGGTGAAATTGACACCTGAGCACACGCGGCTTAGGGGTCATCTCAATAGATGTTTTCTGCAAAATGTTTAACATGTATGCATTATAGTATACATTATTGGTTATGTAAGGGATCATTTGTGTATGTGTGTTTGTTTTGAAATAAACATAGGAATTACTGTACATTGGAAAGAATCCTATCACTTGTGTTATCTTATCGATTGATTGTAGAAATGTGCAACGTTTTAATAAATGTTTTGCATGTCAACAGTATAGTTCATTGAAAAATATGGATGTAATTTGGTCAGTTTAATCTAGTTGGCCAAAGATATATTATATATATTTTTCTTTTCATAAAGTTTGTAGACCGCCGTCTAAGCACTCCCTTGTCAAAGTTGTCAAGAATGGTTTTACGTCCCGGTTTTGCATATGAGACGGTCCCTGTCTTGTCTGATTTGTTTACAATATTGTAAACTTGTTGGTAAGACATGCCAACAGCTCTACAAGTTCTGTAATAAACCCTCTCTACACTAATGAAAGGTTTACCTCTGTCTTTTTTAAGCAGAAAAACCTATAAACCTTTGCAACAATCGACTGCAAATCGTTGGCCATAGTGGACGCTGTGATAAAGATGTGCATGCATGACGGGAAACTTATTATTCAAGACTTAACATTTATATTAATATTTCTTCAATAAAGAAAACGATAATTAAGTAAAGTAACACAAACATTCAACATTTATTTGTTTAGGAAAAACGTTGATTCATATTTTTACACCACCTGTATTATTAGCATAAATGTAAAGACTATTTCAGATTTCTGTTGTTAAACTCTGAATAAATCTTAAGTTGCTGTTTTGGTACCAAATTCTCTCCTGTAAACTGACCTTGAAATGCATGGGAATGTTAAATCGATTGAAATAAAAAATTAGGTAGACAATAGGCGAGTTGATATATTGACAACATAGTACATTTATCACCTTTATAAAGATATTAGGGCTAAAAGCATTTTTCTAGCATTTCCACAGTACTTTAGTATGAGCAGCAAGTGCAACTTTAACTCTGCAAGATGTCCACCACGACAAGTCACCTCTGGAATGAGTTTGAAGGCAAATCAATATGGAGACTGAGGAACACAATTAAAGACAATGCCACAATGATAACTTACCTTTGGAATGTGTCTGAGAGCAAGGCAATGAGGAGATTAAGACACAGGACAGCAGACAGCGCCAACCATGTCCCCACCAACAGGTCCGCCATCAAGGAGTCAACAAGCTTCATATTCTGGAAGATTTGACATTGATTATAGAAACATCTTTTTTCACTATCACAGCATTATGATATAACAAGCATAGTATTACATAACTTTTTATCCTTCCATGTTTGTTGTACACAGCAATTCTAAAAGCAGCTGTTACTTTTAATGGTGAAAAGCACACCTGTTTCAGCATAGTGTAGACTGGATGAGAGTAAACAGTTTTTATGAGAGAACTATGAACTCCAGCTGTGAGAATATTAACCAGTTTCGCACGAAATGTATCAGTTGATCTCACAGTGACAGGATAGTATTATACCTGTGGCCTCTGTATTTGGTTTCTGTTGGTGGCTTGATGATGGTGTAGAAATACTTACAGCATAGTCATACTCATCCACCAGTGTGAGTCGAAACAGGCTGAACATCATGGCGGTGGGGTAGCCGAAGCCGTCCACCTCAATCAGAGTCCCATCCGATTCCTTCTGCTTGTCTCCACCAAAGATCATCCAGAAGGCACATGCTGCAAAACAAACACACTTTCATTGAGGATTTTTCCAGGACATATTTACAATCATTTCAGCATTTTAAATCATTTCACAGTTAAGCAGGTTACACGGATAGACTCTTTGTTACAGCCAGCACTCTTTGCCCCGGTGTATCTTGGTCAAGCTTGCGATAGCCTAACTTTAAAGCTTAAGAAAGACACAACTAGCCACTCTGACACACAGTCTTACCATAGGGAATGTAGAACTCTAGGTAGAGGAAGCAGAATTTCAGCAAGTCGCCGATCATCTTCCCCAACATCACAACAAATGGACCTGGAAACAAGATATCAGGGAGATCCATGTATCTAGACCTTTTGGTCAGTACATATCGTTTGTTAAAGCCATGGAAATTTGTAAATCATGTTTGTTTTTGGTTTGATCCATTAATTGATATGAAGCTGTTCTATAATCAATAAACAATAACTGTGAGCAGCTGCAAACTACTGCCAATGTTGGCAATTTATTTCTTGACACACTATAACCAGGAACCTCCTCACAGACACAAACTACAGTTCCAGTATACTGAATACATAACACTCCACACACAAACACATGTTCACTTGGTTTATGACAAATATTGAAGACTAATGGATGAGAGACTAATAAGGGTGAACGCCTAACTCACCCAGTGTGGAGAAGGCCCTGGCATTCTTCATGAGTCGGAGCCAAAGGAGGATGATGGTGACGCACATGATGCGGATGTGCCAGCGAGCCAGCAGGTTGCTGTGAAGGCCTATGTCGGCAAAGTGGGTGGTGATGGACAAAAGCAGGAAGAAATAACATGTCCAGTCAAATATGTTCCTGGAAAAAAGGAAAAAGAATATCAATAGTCAAACTAACCCCCAAAATTGAATTACATTGAAAGAAGACTACAACATCACTAAAAGGTGCAAGCTTTTATTAAAGAGTTTGGGGCAGTAAAGTGGTCATACCAAAACGTTCTTTGTTGTTTGGCACTAGCCTTTTGTCTTAGTCAGGGCAGTAGGGTAGCCTAGTGGTTAAGGTGTTTGCTCATCATGCTGAAGACCCGGGTTTGATTCCCCACATGGCCACATTATGTGAATCCCAGTTCTGATGTCTATTGCTGTGATATTGCTGGAATATTGCTAAAAGTGGCATAAAATCCAACCATGTTTTTACCCTGGCACTTCTCTTTTGTCTTTGTCACAGGGCATATTTTCTTCAGAAAAATTCTAGATCAAAGAATATGAAATTGAAACTTTTAATATAAATTGTATATTTATATACTTATCCTGTCTCAGGACTTGCACCTCTCTCTCTCGCTCCGACTTTTAGTGGAACGACTGTAAACTTTTTTCCATAGGCCTCCTTGTCCATTCGCCCGTACACTCGATGCTGCTCTCCTTAATTAGCTTCCTAGTTGCTAATGAAGCTTGCAGCATGCTCCACTAATTGCCCACGTGACTACCTTGAATGATCATTCTCTTCTTGGAGCCAACGTTGTAATCTGAATAGTGGGGAGGCCGGGCGGGCATCCATCGCGTGAGATAGGATAAGTATATAAATATACAATTTATATTAAAATTTTCTAATTTTTAAACTTATTCTATCTCACGACTTGCCCTTATCCCACAGTTGAACGGCGGGCCGCAGATTACCCTTCTGTCTGGACAGTGTGAACAGATGGTCTTGGAGCTGTGTTGACTGATGACAACCGTAGATAGCGATGTACAAGGGAGGCCTGTTACACATGCACGCAACTCTTATGCTTGTAGTTGGTTCTCTGGAACCCCTTGGCTTACTAAACACAACGACTCCCAGGGAGATGGGTGCTCCCGAGCAATGTGGTGTCCGACCGCAACCTTGTACAAGACAAGGGACGCAACTTGGCAAGTAGGCCTCGCCTCGCCACGATTTACAAGGTACCCCCATAATTAAAGTCTTGCGACTAGAATCGGGCCAGCCACTGCTTCAAGAAGGCCCCCCCAGACACCAACCGAGGCAGGTGAAAGAGAAACACAACTCGGCATCTTGAAGGTTTAACGTTCAGTTCCGGGCAGCATCAAATTGACCTTCACTCCTTTGCCTAAGCTTAGTCAAAGAATGTGCCGGCAACTTCGGTGGCAGAACGCAACGAAATCCACTGGATTTCGGGAGTGTCACACTTCAATGACGTAATTGCTCCATGGAGTAGAGGTCAGTAAGAGTGAATGTCGAACACCTCTGCATCGTCATACTGATTGTGCCTCAGGTATGTAGGGCCATGCTAGGTGGCCATGTTCAGATGCCTTGGTATGGAGGCCAGCTCGATATTGCCAGCGCATTGAGGTCCCAAGCCATGGGGTCTGGGATTGGTGATATGAACTTTGGAGGTTGGTTGTTGAACCTTGTGATGAACAGATCTATTTGAGGCCGTGATAACGGGTAGACCATCGACTGAAAGATCTCGGGCAGTAACTTCCACTCTGTCGGGGACGGTTGGTTGGATCGGGACAAGGCATCGGCGATCACATTTTTTACCCCGGGAATGTGTCTTGCTCTGGCTACGATGTTGAGTGAGTTATTGAGAAGGAAGAACCTGATCGCCAATTGTAGCAGATTCGCCGAGCCTGACAAGCCTAGATGATATATATACCAAACCACTGTCGAATTGTCTGATTGGATCAACAGACTGGTTGATTGAAGCTCTGTTGCCCAATGTGAGATGGCTTGAATTACCGCCTTGAATTCCAGCTCGTTTATATGAAGTACCTGTTCGTCGGATGAACACAGCTCAGCCACTTGGTGGTCAAAAAAGTGAGCTCCCCAGCCCATGAGGGATGCATCGAGGAATAGGTGATGAGTCGGTGCAAAGGGCATCATAGAGACTCTGGCGCAGACATTCCGTTCGTCGAAACACCACTGATGGACTGGATGAAGCAGTTCTGGAAGGCAAATCAGTTCTTGGGGTTGTCGGCCTGAAGATATGGGCGTAGAAATCGCTGTATCAGCCGAAGTTGGAGCTGGCCTCTGTACGTTAAGGCTTGAGCTGACGTCAGAAGGCCCAGTAGCTCCTGCCACAGATGTAAGGTTCTCGCCTGAGACAGCGCTCGAGGAATGCGTGATCGCTGAATCTTTATCCACCTGTCGTGAGGGACGAACATCATCCCCTGACGAGTGTCAAACAGTGCTCTGACGAATTAGAGTCTCTGAGTCAGTATAAGTTCCGATTTCGCGATGTTGAGCCTGGATGCAATCGTCTATGTAGCTTTTGAAGGTGATCCCTTGAAAGTGGAGGAAGCTCTGATGGGCTTGGTAATTCGGGTAAAAAGCAACGGGGCTATGGAAATTCCAAATGGTAGGACTTTAAATTGGTAGTGATTCCCGTTGAACATGAAGCAAAGGTACTTCTGGTGTTCTGGATGTATCGGAACGTGAAGATAAGCATCCTGAAGACCTAGGCTGATGAGGAAGTCTCCCTTCTTCGGGATGGTGCATAAGAGGTTGATCGACACCATCCTGAAGTGAGGCGATGGAGGCATGAATCGGTCATTGAACAACTTCATATTGAAGATGAGCCGGAGTTTGTTGGAATTTTTATTGGAACCAAGAAGATGGGGGAGTAGAATCCTGGAGTGATGGGCGATGGACCTAGGAGCTCTATTGCGAGTTTGTCTAATAGCGTACCTATTGTGGATTGCAGAGTCTGAAGCTGGTCCACAGGATATGAGCAATGAGCTGGATGCGACGTCAGAGGTGGACTGCCAATAACGGGTAGCTGGTAGCCGTGAAGTAGCAGGTTGGTGACGTACGGATCTCTGAGAATGGTCAAATTCGGGGTGAAGATCTGTAATCTCCCGCCTACCGGAGTGTTGTAAATCAGAACGACTGGGGGTGGGAGATCCCAGTCATGCGATTGTCTCAAGCCGTCACTGCTTCCCGGCGCTGGTCCCTGGGCCAGAGTTGCTCCTGGGGGGGCGACGGGAGAAACCACCACGGCCAGATCTATTTCCTCTGCCACGGCTTTGAGTGGATGCACCACGAAAAAGATTGCGTAAATTTCGGATTGGTAGGGGTGAACTGTGCAGTTCGACTCTGTTTTAATGAGTCCTTGAGCTGTGACTTCTGTATTTTTAACAGTTCAATCGAGACTTGAAAGTGGGTTTCTTTACCAACTTTAGTAGATACTTCTTGGATGCTGCCATTGAAGAGGGAGTCAGTAAGCCATGGCTGGCAAAACAGTTCTGTTTTAAATCACTCCTCCCATGAAGAGATTTTAAGGGGTCCACGTCGGCGAACAGCAAGAGTGTAGCCCCAAAAATGAGACAACTGATCCAGGATAATTTGGAACTGGTCCAGAGCTAAAGTCATGCATCCTCGGATGTAAGCGTCTTGATCAGACTAAGTATGCACCACAGCAGAGCTGACAGTGTCGACTGCTGCAATCACACAACTAATAGATGGCAACGTCTTTCTCATGGCTGAATCCATGTGAACCAACTCTCGGTCCTCAATAAGGTAGGGCGAAGCAGCTAGTTTGCCACACAGGGTTCTAATGTCCTCATCAACTGTTGGAGCTGCGGAGATTTTTGTTAGGCCGTGGGCATGAGAGGTAGAAGGATTATATCTGGGAGCAGAGAATCCTTCCTTCATTCGTTTCAGTATCTTGAAACCATCATTTATTGTACTGGATAATTTCAGAATACAAGGTCGAGGTGGTAGGGTGATGGTAGACTAATCCTGGTTCCTAAGAGTATAAGAGTGATCCAGGTCATCTGCTGAAGCACTCAAGGGAAGTTGGAGCTTCTCAACAATCCAAACGAGTACCTGAGCTGTCTCAACTGCTGCAAAGCTACCCCCAGGGGTAGATAACTGAGAGTGAGCGGGCGTTGCGGGCATGACTATTTGGACTGGATCAATCTCAGGAGGTGGACCAGATGAAGAGCCAGGTGCTACCGAAGCCGGATGGGCTGGAGTAAAAGGCTGTATTTGGTTCCAGGCTGAGGTTATGGCTCTGATCATCATATATTTTGATCCGGAGTTGCTGTAGGAGTTGGATTGTGATCAGGTTCCCATGACTCAGCGATGATCCTAGAGTGAGTCAAAGGATTCTCAGAGCGTGTAGGCGAAACATCGTAAGAGACTGTAGGCCTATTAGTGGCATCAGAACAATGATCACCCGAACGTCGGTCAGAGGAACTGTATCGAGATCTCGAAGTGGTAAGTACCTAAGTAGGTTGGTAAGGCGCTGATCTGGATTCCCTAGTATGGCTAGGTGATCCGGTATGATATGATAGTCCGGGTCGCTGTAGTTCTAGTTGGTGATCTGGTTCTGAATGGAGTTCTGGTTCGACCATCTGAATAGGATCGGCCATGAGATGTGGATCTGTACTGTGATCCCGATTTGTCAATTTCGCTGTAAGGTGATCTAGCTTTTATAGGTGACCTGGGTCGGTAAGATGAGTTGGATTTGTAAAGTGATCTGGATCGATTCAATGCATTAACAGGAAACAGTGATCGTGATCTGGATCTATAAGGTGATCTGGATTGAACAGGTGATCTGGTTTGCAGTTGCGATCCGGCTTGATTTGGTGATCTGGATCGGTTCAGTGACCTGGATCGGTTAGGTGATCTAGATTCGAAGTTGTGATCTGGATCGGTTAGGTGATCTGGATCGGTCCGGTAATCTACTTCGATGTTGTGATCTGGATCGGTTCAATGCATTAACAGGAAACAGTGATCGTGATCTGGATCTATAAGGTGATCTGGATTGAACAGGTGATCTGGTTTGCAGTTGCGATCCGGCTTGATTTGGTGATCTGGATCGGTTCAGTGACCTGGATCGGTTAGGTGATCTAGATTCGAAGTTGTGATCTGGATCGGTTAGGTGATCTGGATCGGTCCGGTAATCTACTTCGATGTTGTGATCTGGATCGGTTCGGTGATCTGGATCGGTCCGATGATCTGATTCAAAGTTGTGATCTGGACCCGTTTGGTGATCTGGATCAGTTAGGTGATCTGGATTGATCAGGTGATGTGGCTCATAGTTGTGCTCTGGATCGTGACTGTGATCTGTATCGATCCGGTGATCTGGATCGGCACGGTGATCTAGATCAGGTTTGTGATGGTGATCTGGATCGTTGTGGTGATCTAGATCGTTGTGGTGATCTAGAATGATGTGGTGATCTGGATCGGCGATTAGGTGATGAAACCTTAAGTGTTGATTCATGATGAACGTCCCCTGGCGACGCTGTTGTAGCCAGCTCCGTCCGGTTCAGTGAACTGTGGGGGGAACTGTGTTGGTTGGTTGAAACAGGCTCCAAACAAACTGAGACAATCGAGGGGATATGTACCAATGATCTGGAAGATGATAGTGTCGATCTAAGGTCCCCTGATAGTGTAGATGGGACAGGCAATGATGGATTATTGATCACAATCACCAGCGAATGATGTGACGCTATGGAATGTGACTGATGCGCACGTAATAGTTGCCGAACGTCCTCAGATAAGTAAGAATCTGATGAAGCGTCCATAAAATCCTCATGAACCACAGACGTCGCTCTCTTGGGTGAAGGTACGATTTTCTGTCGCTGTAACTTGATACGCTTGGCGGGAGTGGGATCAGATTCTGTTGATTTCCTGTCCCTATCAGCGATTCTCCCGGGAGGAAACACAAATGTAGGCCTTAAAATCCTCATCATTTAGTGAATTACACTTGCCACATCGTTTGTTCCAGTTACATTGTCCAATACAGTCACTGCAAGACGAGTGATGGTCGAGGGACGAATAATTCGTCTTGCATTGTGCACAAACTTTCCTATTCCTTGACTGATTATCTGTTTTCCCCATGATGTTAGGGTGAAATAATGTCCCTAATATACAGCACGTCCACACAGTCGTTCGACAAGAAAGAGAATGATCATTTAAGGTAGTCACGTGGGCAATTAGTGGAGCATGCTGCAAGCTTCATTAGGAACTAGGAAGCTAATTAAGGAGAGCAGCATGGAGTGCACGGGCGAATGGACAAGGAGGCCTATGGAAAAAAGTTTACAGTCGTTCCACTAAAAGTCGAAGCGAGAGAGAGAGGTGCAAGTCATGAGGTAGGATAAGTTTAAAAATTAATTTGTTTAAGATCATAAAATGAAATGAGTGAAGATCATGAGTTCACTGAATATGAAGCAAACCTTTCATGACATGTTGGTTTGTTTGTGACATTGCATTCAAGATTCATTGTGCAATTCTTCTGGTTACTCCAGGTCAGAACTCTTACCATGCATCGTTGAAGTATTTGGGATTGAGCTTGTCAAGGGCTTTTAGTTCTGACTTGAGGAACTGTTTTTCCTCTGGCCATCTTGGGTGGCAAAACTCCATATCCTCCTCGATCTCCTTGGTGCGCCATTTTACCCAGTTCTGGAAACAAGGTAAGATGTCCAAACTGAGACATTTAAACCTTGGATATACAGCATGGTTACAGCTCTGTCACTTCACACTTCAAATGTTCCTGCACCGTTACCATAGGTTAGTTGGAAAGCAAGTATGTGGTTATTCTGGCCACCAATGTTGTGTCCAACTGAATCAGTTTCCACGAAGCTGTAGTGTTTGGTTGTCATTGTTTTAACTTGGTTCTGAATGCATATATATTACAAGTCACAATGTCACCCAGACATTAAAATGGTATGGTTACAAATTTATTCAACTGTTAAAATATCATTTTATAATAGACAAAGGTTTTAATAAATTAAATAACATGAAAACACAATACTTCCATCCTATTATGATCTATAAGCTGCACCTATTTTAACCATCTAATCCCATTTGAAATAACATTCTTAAAAGAGCAGCAGGTAGATCTATAACTCAAAATGTTACTCAATATTGTGCAAAATTTAGAGATAATTTTTTATATGAGCTCACCGAGTGTGATCTTTTAGATCTGAAGAATTCTCTGACTTCTTCACACACCTGCCACACTGTAAAACCTATGGCTGTGAGCTGAAGAAATCAATAGGATATGATTACATTCTACAGTTACATTGAGTTAGAGCAAGTATATATGGATGACAACTTTTTTATTCTAGAGCAGACATTTCAGTACTGGTTCTTGTATCGTTTACAAGAATGAAAACCATTTAGAATCTAGAATAAAAGAAGTTGCCATCCATATATACTTGTTCTGTCTCATTTCCAACTTCTAAAATGCCACTCAAAGAAGTCAGTTACATTGAGTGAGTGAATGTTTCTGTTTAACTCATCAGTCAGGAATATTCCAACCATCACGCTACAGCAAATACATAACTGAATCTGGACCAGATAACCCAGTGGATGAGCAACACTTACATCACTGGGGTATGATAACAAGCTGAGCTTTCTCCACTCATTTTGCTGCCTCTTACAACAAGAATAGGCTGCTTGGGACCTGTTCACACCTAGAGTCCACAAGGGTCCACAAGTGTACTCTTAATGGCCATTCATTATATAAACAGATGGACATATTCATGATATTCTCAAAACACTGGCCCACTTTTTAGGCCCACACGGGGCATAATGTTTAAAAATGGCTGTACACAAACAATATTGACTAAATAAAGATAAAACCAATGTTAAATTGTTTTAGATGCTTTTTAATAAATGACCTGATCTTTGAAACATATATAAGGAGCTGCATTAGTATAATACAATTTAAACAGAACTCAAGATGGCTGCCAATGATGTCTGCTACTTACCAGAAGAACAATTCTCCACCACTGGGTAGGCCAAATATACTTGTGCCTCTCATCATACTCAACAAGAATGCCAATGGCTGACCATAGGCATATGTATACGAAGTTGATTAGTAAATTGATCCATGCACCCCGTCTGAAAGCCATATATCATAAAACTGTAGCATCAATGACATTTCTCTGGGGAAATACATGAGGAGACATATTTCATGTTTTTATAAACATGTAATTGCTGCTGACGGACTACATACTGAATTACACAGCTTACATAATGATCACATTTTCATTTATCATACTAAAGGTTTAATTATTTATAAAAATGGTCCATGCATATATCATTTACAATATATATTGTTTTATTTCTACTTGGTGTATTAGTGGCTAGGTACCTTGTGATATAATGTATCTATGGTATATGTTTGTGCACTGGAATTACCACTATAAGTATATAGGTCCTGCATAGAACACCAGTATATTTCTTTCTGTTGTTTGAAATACACTAGAAGTGTCCACGTTAAACCATTACATCATGTGGCAAAGGCCTGAGATATATATCAAACAAAATTCTGGTTTGACATATATGGAAGAAAGTTCTCTCCCCTTTATAGCTAATAAATTACCAGAAATCACAAGATATTCTTTATAGAGAATAATTGATTTATCTCTTCTGTTACAAGTGGTGATCCTAAGAATACTATGAGGAAATCTGCCTTGAACAGAGATCTCAGGCCCTTCCCTGACAATAACATGTAAAATATTATTATAGATGGTAAGCCATTTAACCATTAGGAGAGCAGACAAGAGCAGACATGTTATCATAGTCAGTTGTAATCTCAGTCGGAACAAAGCAGCCTAAAATGTTTATCCTATTCACGCTATCAGTGTACAATGACACATATCGACAGGCCACACTCAGTAACAGACATTTTGGCCACCCAATAGTCACTTTAGTCATCCTTTAAGACAAGCAAAGGGAACTGACTCTCTTCTTCAACCAGACCACTAAAGATGGGCCTGTGTAAGTAAGATTTCCAACAACCGAAGGACACACAAAACAATGGAGACAATTGTAGCAATACTGGATTTTCTGCTCCATTTATTGTGATCATGTGTCAAATAAAACACAAGCTGGCTATTGTCAAACTCATTGTGGAATATGATGGTGACATTTTATTCTGTATCCACTTCTACATCCCCAAATAACAATCTGGTTTCTGACCAAGAACAGGAGTCAAGCTGTGTACAGACAGATTGTCACATCACCAGCCATGTCACCTGCGTCTGATTCACAGTGGAGGCCATTTTGTATGGATAATGACTTGCATGTCACGTGATTAGCTACTGTAACAATTGTGAGAGATCTCGCAGATATGAATGTTGACTGAAGCAGCAACATCTAGGAATGCTGTAGACACTAACCTGCCAAATTTCATCCACATAGTCTCAATAAGTTTTCTGAAGACTGTCGACATAAGAAGATCGTGTTGGCGATAACTGGTTGCCACTTGCAACTACTCGCATTCAAAATAGAAAAGTGTCTATGTTAGTTTCTAGGTAGGATTAAAACTGGATTAGTCTACCTGAAAGAAATCCATATGAAAATCCTATTCCCTGGAAAGCCATCTATTCCTTGAGCTGCTGTATAAAGGGTTAACGACACACTGTACATAATCTTACACACCAAGGCCACAAAAAATCAACAACTTGTTCATTTGTCTTGTCACGGTTTTGAAACAATCCACAAGTAACTTTCATATGATTGATATTTTGAAAGAGAAATTTTATTATTCAAGCCAAAAAGTCAATATCTTTGAAACCTGCAATCAACTTGTTGAAGCCTTGGTGAGAGTGAATCATTAACCATCTCCTGTGCCAAATAAACACCAAAAACAGACATTTTGCCACAACCATGACAGTGAGTGTAACAGTGCAGTAAACACACTTCACCCTGAACCGTATTTCATAGGTAAAACATACACTCCCATCTACCATCTGTCTTCATTTTATTATCACAAAATAATACTAACCTAAAATGCTATCACTGCAGTGTGAAAACATCTTGACTACACAAATCTTAGACCCCAGGTAACATAAAGTCCTTTTTCTTCAACCCCCTGCAGTGTAAATCTAAAAATATATACCATGCATGCAAAGAATCCAGTTTTAATTTATCCAGTAAATTATTTATCACATGATTAAAAACCCTAACTAAATCCTATATGTTGGTAATTTTTGCATATTGTATTTTGAAGTCTTCACGCCATAGTGAAACAGTCCCCACATCAATACTTCTGAAATTAATCCAGTAAACAATTGGATTTATATAATTTGGATAATTTCTCTCATGTGTTTACAAGATCATCTGTTTTTGTTGTTATTTACATGAAACAACATATATCTCACACTCAACTATATATCTGGAGTACATCTAGAATATCAGTCTGCAGGAAAGTAGTTTGTATTAGTTGACTCTAAATGTTAGATGCATTATGGCACATCTATCTGTAAGCGGCAAGCAGAGCTGGGCCCAAACATACGCTCCGAATCGACTCCACATGACCATGATGAGCCTGCTGACGCTATCCTGCATCACCAGGTGGAACTGGGAGTACTGCACCATCACCTGCAGCTGCAACACACATGCACATGCATACACATGCACTGCACAACATGCACAGCAGGACATGCAATAATACCGATACCATCATCCACAAAACTCCTTCAGACACTGAAGCTGACACTGACACTGAAATACATGCCACCAACACCTTTTTATTAATTTGGTTAAAATTCAAAATTTCACACAGCAAACTTATGAGGACAGAATATTGATGAAATTCAATTTGTGAGTCAGAAAAATTTGGGGTTTGTCCAAGTAATAGGAATTATTTGCAATCATAATGTTAGGGTCCAAACTGGGTATACTGTTTACTTCTAAACACTAAAATAGTCTATTATAAGAAGAGTCAAATGTTCATTGTAAATCATTAATGTCAAAAGGCTTTAAAACCTTGCTTAGCATAACATGAAAATTTAATTGTAACCGAGCTAACATCTCAGAAGAGTTTATCTATAATTAGATCCATTGAAACAACAAAACCAACCAATTAGTGTTTGGTATTATCAATCACAAACTACAGTAATGAAACAGAACAAACTATGCCCACACAGATGCTTTCACTAAACGCGAAAATCTGTTAAAGCCTTTTCAACTAAGCCAAAATTATACAGGTTTTCTGACTAAAGGCATCAAAATTTATGGACTACTGACTCCAGACATTTGTATCTCGACCTTCCCAGAATGAGAACATTATACTGGATACAAAAGGGGTGCAGGATTTACATAGACATACACATTGACACAGGGACAACAGGGACACATGAACACATGGACATATGGACACACAGTTATCATGTGGTTATCAGAGTGTCTCGTGTCAACCTCTCCCATCCATTAGTTAGAGGTAAGTAACACAAGAAAAGAGAACAGTATAATTAGTTGGTGCCACCTGAAAAACAACTGAAATGCTGGTAAACTGCATCACATGTCAGTGCCTATATTTACACCAATCAGAAATAGAAGGTAAATATTATTGATTATAACAGAATGTATAATAGATGTATAGATCATAACAGATATGATACACGGGTAAATACAAGATGCTTTATTGCAGCATGTGACCTGTGATTCCTCAGTCTTTAGATGGATGAGTGATTGATTCGGGGCACAATACTACAGAGAAGGATCACACTGATTTATGTGAGTGGTACATAACTACAGGGGTGAGGTATGCCGCTACAGGGGTGAGGTACACTGCTACAGGGGAGGGGACATCACTACAGGGATGAGGTACACTGCTAAAGGGTAGGGTACACCGCTAAAGGGGAGGGGACATCACTACAGGGCTGAGGTACACCGCTACAAGGGAGGGGACATCACTACAGGCATGAGGTACACCGCTACAGGGGAGGGGACATCACTACAGGGGAAAGGACATCACTACAGGGAGGAGGTACACCACTACAGGGGTGGGGACATCACACCACTACAGGGGAGGGGACATCACTACAGGGATGAGGTACACCACTACAGGGGAGGGGACATCACTACAGGGATGAGGTACACTGCTACAGGGGAGGGACAACACTACAGGGGTGACAGGGGAGGGACATCACTACAGGGATGAGGTATCACTACAGGGGAGGGGACATCACCACTACAGGGGGAGGGACATCACTACAGGGGAGGGACATACACCACATGGATCACTACAGGGAGGTACACACTACAGGGGAGGGACATCACTACAGGGATGAGGGACATCACTACAGGGACTACAGGAGGGACATTAGGTACACCACTACAGGCAAGAGGGACATCACTACAGGGGAGGGACATCACTACAGGGGGGACACCACTACAGGGGAGGGACACCACTACAGGGGGCAGGTACACATCACTACAGGGGGAGGACATCACACACACTACAGGGGAGGGACACATCAGGGGGGGAGGGACATCACTACATGGATGAGGGTACATCACTACAGGAGAGGGACATCACTACAGGGATGAGGTACACCACTACAGGGGAGGGACATCACTACAGGGGAGGGGACATCACTACAGGGGTGAGGTACACAGCTACAGGGGAGGGGACATCACTACAGGGGTGAGGTACACCGCTACAGGGGAGGGGACATCACTACATTGATGAGGTACACCACTACAGGGGAGGGGCATCACTACAGGGATGAGGTACACCGCTACAGGCAAGGGGACATCACTACAGGGGAGGGACATCACTACAGGGGAGGGGACACACACACCGCTACAGGGGAGGGACATCACTACAGGGATGAGGTACACCGCTACAGGCAAGAGGGACATCACTACAGGGGTGAGGGACACACCAGCTACAGGGGAGGGACATCAGTACATCACTGGGTGAGGTATGCCGTTACAGGGGAAGGGACATCACTACAGGGGGAGGGACATCACTACAGGGATGAGGTACACCACTACAGGGATGAGGTACACACTACAGGAGGGACATCACTACAGGGGAGGGACATCACTACAGGGGAGGGATGGGATGGGGTACACAGCACTACAGGGATGAGGTACACGCTTCAGGGGAGGGACATCACTAGAGGGGTGAGGTACACTGCTACAGGGGAGGGGACATCACTACAGGGGAGGAGACATCACTACAGGGATGAGGTACACCACTACAGGGGAGGGGACATCACTACAGGGATGAGGTACACACGCTACAGGAGTGGGGAGGTACACCACTACAGGGTACATCACTACAGGGGAGGGACATTACTACAGGGATGAGGGGAGGTACACCACTACAGGGATGAGGTACACTGCTACAGGGGAGGGACATCACAACAGGGGGACTACAGGGGGGACATCACTACAGGAATGAGGTATACCAGGACATCACAACAGGGTACAGGGGAGGGACATCACTACAGGGATGAGGTATAGGGAGGGCATCACAGGGGAGGGACATCACTACAGGGATGAGGTACACCGCTACAGGGGTGAGGTACACCACTACAGGGGTGAGGTACACCACTACAGGGGTGAGGTACACACGCTACAGGGATGAGGTACACCACTACACAGGGGATGAGGTACACAGGGGAGGGACATCACAACAGGAGTGGACATCACTACAGGATGACAGGGGTGAGGTACACCACTACAGGGGTGAGGGTACACCACTACAGGGGAGAGGGACACCACTACAGGGATGAGGTACACCACTACAGGGGTGAGGTACACCACTACAGGGGAGGGGACACCACTACAGGGATGAGGTACACAGCTACAGGTGTGAGGGTACACACAGGGGAGGGCTACTGGGGGAGGGACATCACAACAGGGGAGGGACATCACTACTGGGGGAGGGACACATCACAACAGGGGAGGGACATCACTACAGGGGAGGGACATCACAACAGGGGGAGGGACATCACTGCTACAGGGGTGAGGTACACATCACAACAGGGGGGAGGGACATCACTACACAGGGGAGGGACATCACTACAGGGGAGGGACATCACAACAGGGGAGGGGACATCACTACAGGGGAGGGGACACCACTACAGGGATGAAGTACATCACTACAGGGAAGGAGCTCAATAGGGAGAGATATATCAAGGGGGACAGGGAGGAGGTCACATCACTGCAGACAGAGATTAGTTGCTTCAAGTGGTGAGACTTACAGGTGTCTGTGTGTGGCCACCAGGATCCAGTTCTGCAAAAAGATGATGCCATTTATTAAAAAAATGTAACAGCATCAGTTACAGAAAAAAAAAATAAATGAAATCTACATATCTTAAAAATGCATGGTGAAATTTACAAAAGAAATGTCCACAGTTTCTACAGATGAACATCTATGTATTGTGTCAGTGAACTACATCTAATAACCATTTGCCCTGCATTATCTCTGTGCTCAGTTGAAAGTTGATTCAGCTGAAGGAACTTTATTCTACTGGCAACAACACTGTCAGGTTTCCTAGCCTCCTTTACACAAAAGTGGGTGAGTGAGTGAGTAATAGTGACTATGATTTAACATTCCAGCAATATGATAGCAAGGGCCAGCGGATGGCTTCACACATTGTACCCATGTAGGAAATTGAACCCGGGTCCACAGCATGCTGAGTGAAGGCTTTAACCACTAGACTAAATTACCCCAATGCCCTTTCACACAAAACCTTGAAAATAACACTCAGGTTTTATGATGACATAAAGTATCCAAGTTGCAGCTACATATACAATGCTCACCCATTAGATTTCAATTTGGAGCAGAGTTAAAAATGAAAAGGACAGAGTAAATGTGATGATCATGTTCCAACAAATTGTTACGGTATGTGGATAGTTATACAAAATGAAACAGAGGGCTGAGAAAAGGGGGTTTACACAATTATACCATAAAAGACAGTAAGCAATTTCAAATTTGGTTTAGTGTTGAAATGGGATAGAATTGTGTCAACGGGATAGAGGCCAGTCAAATTTAGGGATCTGAGGCACAAATGAGCTTTGATTCTCGACATGCCAGACTGTGGCAATGAAGGGCCGTCAATGAAGTAAATGTCCAAGCAGCAACAGGCAAAACACTCATACTCTATTCAAGCATTATTTTACAACAAGAACTGGGGCCAATTAGATAATAATATACGACCAATTAAATAGCATGCGTGACGGAGAACTGGTCCTACAGTAAGCTAGGAATATGATGTCATAATTTGATAGGAAACCAGTAAAACATACTGCAGAAACCCACAGGGGGCATGTATCTGTGAATTAGGCAAAATTTTGGAACTAAAATGTTTTGAGAAAAGAAAATGGTTAAAGGTTGTTCCAAGAAAACATTCAGATTATGAAAGTTGCTGAACATTTGACAAAAACTTAAACAGAAATCATGCACAACCATGCAAAAGTTTCAAACAAATGTTTCAATAGCTAAGTTTGTTTATTAGGTTCCTGAAGTATTCACTTTCCAACAAGTAGCAGTGTTTAACCAGACAGTGTACGACTAATGATGCTGTAATATATGTCGGTTTTGAAAAGCAGTCAGGTACCACATAAAGCATAAATCAAGGTATATACTAGCTTGTGAAAGCTACCCTGGGCCCATAAGCAAGGATACATGCTGCCTGTATTTGCTAGATCGATGCTGTTGGTAAGGAGTAATAGTCAATCATATAAAACTGAACAACTGAGATATTATTTGTTGTTTTAATTCATTTGTAGTAGCCAGAACATGAGGCCTCGACCATTCATAAAATTGCCCAGAAATAACTGTCAGTTGCTCCAAAGTGATATTATTATTTTAAATATATACTGAAACTTGGAACTAAAATATCTCCATATAAAATAGAACCATGTCATCCAATCACTGCATCAAAATTCTTTGAATTTATGTATATTATTGATATTTATTCAACTGAATCATGTGGGAAAATGTGTGTAAGGCTGACTGCTATTTCAGGCTTACTTTACAAGAAAATACACAGAATAATCTTAATAATAATCAGCAAAGACAATTTTTATGGTAAATCATCTTGCCATACTGGTGATCATTTACCTCAAATTTCATCGACCATTTCACATTTTCATTTCCTTTGCTATGACATACATTCTATTATTCGTTGATCTTCTGATAGATATTGCTTTGCAAAGCACAGCCCAGTGAAAATAGCACAAAGCAAACCAGTTGTATAATAGTCCATGACAACCAAACTTTGATGCTGAGAAGAAAGACATGATCCATTTCAGTACATTCATAGTGTTGTTATAACCCCAACCACAACGATTATAAACTGTGTAACTAAATCACCCGCAAATGAATTACCTGCCCTTAGAGAGGGTGGATTAAACTTAAAGAACCCACTCCAACCATTGCCAAAGGGAGGCAACTCATAACATCATTATTTATATCTTGATAACCAATAACAATTAACTACATTCTCAAATGGAAAAAAGGAGGTGAGTCGCATTATTATGTACTTATAACCAAAGAAAAGAACCTTGGTGAAACAACTGCAGCACTGACAGGCCCAGTCGGCTATTTGTGTCCAACCATGAGAAAACCTTACAACATGAACTACCACAGCACTGACAGGCCCAGTCGGCTATTTGTGTCCAACCATGAGAAAACCTTACAACATGAACTACCACAGCACTGACAGGCCCAGTCGGCTATTTGTGTCCAACCATGAGAAAACCTTACAACATGAACTACCACAGCACTGACAGGCCCAGTTGGCTATTTGTGTCCAACCATGAGAAAACCTTACAACATGAACTACCACAGCACTGACAGGCCCAGTCGGCTATTTGTGTCCAACCATGAGAAAACCTTACAACATGAACTACCACAGCACTGACAGGCCCAGTCGGCTATTTGTGTCCAACCATGAGAAAACCTTACAACATGAACTACCACAGCACTGACAGGCCCAGTCGGCTATTTGTGTCCAACCATGAGAAAACCTTACAACATGAACTACCACAGCACTGACAGGCCCAGTCGGCTATTTGTGTCCAACCATGAGAAAACCTTACAACATGAACTACCACAGCACTGACAGGCCCAGTCGGCTATTTGTGTCCAACCATGAGAAAACCTTACAACATGAACTACCACAGCACTGACAGGCCCAGTCGGCTATTTGTGTCCAACCATGAGAAAACCTTACAACATGAACTACCACAGCACTGACAGGCCCAGTCGGCTATTTGTGTCCAACCATGAGAAAACCTTACAACATGAACTACCACAGCACTGACAGGCCCAGTCGGCTATTTGTGTCCAACCATGAGAAAACCTTACAACATGAACTACCACAGCACTGACAGGCCCAGTCGGCTATTTGTGTCCAACCATGAGAAAACCTTACAACATGAACTACACAGCACTGACAGGCCCAGTCGGCTATTTGTGTCCAACCATGAGAAAACCTTACAACATGAACTACCACAGCACTGACAGGCCCAGTCGGCTATTTGTGTCCAACCATGAGAAAACCTTACAACATGAACTACCACAGCACTGACAGACCCAGTCGGCTATTTGTGTCCAACCATGAGAAAACCTTACAACATGAACTACCACAGCACTGACAGACCCAGTCGGCTATTTGTGTCCAACCATGAGAAAACCTTACAACATGAACTACTGCAGCACTGAAAATATACGGAGTAGGTCCACAAGTCAGAGATCAGAAGCACCGGCTGACTTGTATCTCAGACAACAATCACATTTAGCCAGCTATAGTTCCTATCTTAATTCAGAAGAGTTACTTATGAACCAGAATATGAAAAAAAAAATGTTTAAAAATGTTATTAGTTTGCATGCAGAACAACATCGATATGCCATTGAGCACATCCTCCACAACTTACTCATGCAGTAAAGAAATTGTAAGTGTAACAAACTTAAACCGTGAAATGTTGACTTGTGTAAAAAGGCCATGTTCCAGAAAACTGATCTGATTTTCACATTGTTCCTCCTACATAATTCACATTGGTCATTCCTGTCTCTATACAGCTTGAAATGTGACCTCAATGTTGAATATCAGACCAGTTTTCTGGAACATGGTGAGATATGTGATAACTGGCCTGCAACAAAGTTGTTATGGTTAATGTTACAACACAACAATAACACAACACAATAACACAATAACACAACACGACACAACACACAAGCATGCCACCACACGAAGGAGGGGATCTCACCACCACTGCATTGTGATCTAAGGGTTTACTTACCATTTCCTAAACAAACAAAAACAATCAGTGAAGTCAACGGAAGCAATGGCAGTCACAACATTCAATATCAAATCACACGTCCAATAAGACCGTAAGAATGCACTTTAAAAAATACAGACTAATATGTCTTCTAATTCCTTATGCTCTGACTGACAATTCACCATCAGTGACTGGTGATAGATATTACATAATTTACTGAAATACACATACAAGGTTCTACTGAGACCAGCAGTGTAGAGGGTTTACATTCTTGGCTGAGAACTATTACTGAAAACGATATATAGCTTCATTGATTTTTAAACTAAACTTTGATCTTCCCCAAGTGTAACTCACCATGTATGGGTTTACTAAGTGACCTTAAAATATACGTTTTACATATTTAATGGAAATGAAATAAAAATCCACTGACATTGTTAAACTTTAATTCCCACTCACAGGAATAAGAATGTGATGTAACAGTCTATACCAGCTGGTGTCATTGTAGCATATTTTATGAGGATCTTTTAACTCGCAAATGATCTTGATAAATGTTAAATATTTCACTATGCACATGTCACATGACAATTTCTGTGAATGTTTTTCCAGGAAATACATATACTGAATGATAATGTTAAAGACAACACCGCAACGCTATAGCAGTACATGCCCATGTTATAGCAGTACATGCCCATGTTATAGCAGTACATGCCCATGTTATAACAGTACATGCCCATGTTATAACAGTACATGCCCATGTTATAGCAGTACATGCCCATGTTATAGCAGTACATGCCCATGTTATAGCAGTACATGCCCATGTACATGCCCATGTTATAGCAGTACATGCCCATGTTATGCAGTACATGCCCATGTTATAACAGTACATGCCCATGTTATAACAGTACATGCCATGTTATAGCAGTACAGAGTTATAGCAGTACATGCCCATGTTATAGCAGTAATGCCCATGTTATAGCAGTACATGCCCAGCAGCAGATCAAGACAAATCATCTAGCTTCCACACCTACTATGCTACCTGAGAATTTACTTTCAATGTCATACCCATTCATATTCTTCATAGATTTTCTAAATACATCAGTCACAACCACAACATATTATAGTGAGTGTATTATACAGTTTCTATGGGGTTCAGTTCCAGAGAAAGATAGGAAGAAGAGAAAGCAAGATCAAGACAAGTGCTTTCTAACAAAGAATATATACCCATTCATTTAGATTAATATAAACAACCGATATACTTTGTAGATTGAAATACTTTTAGAAATATGAGCAAAATAAGACATTTTACAAATAATATTAAATGAGGATATCTGATTTATAAATATTTATAAACATCCAACATAATATCGGTTCCAAGTGTCAGCTCTTCTGTCTGTTATGACGGAAATGAAGTACTACTGTGCCAGAGAGTGCTACAATGCCCTCCTTCCCATATACATGTACTATGCTGCCGTACAGACAGTGTTAGACAGCCCAGAGTCTACTTGTGCCATTAGTAAATCCACTAGGACAGAGACTGGCATCAGAGACATCTATATACATACTTCTGTCCTGGACAAGTAGGTTGAGGTAATAATACTGCTTCCTGTTCGGTCGGTCAGTCGAGCGGAACTGTTTGAGTGCCTCACTTGCCTGGAATTTAGATGGTTCTCGATAAGAACAGGCAGATGAACATATGCATATATGAAATATACAGCTAGTCTTGAATGTTTAGAAGGTAACATCTTCATGTTATGGTTGTAACAGATATAAAACATGCTTCATGGTTTCCTGGAAAATGACTGAGACAAATGAGGACATCTTGTTACCACCAGGTCACCAGGCCTTCATAAATATATTCAGCTGAAAAATCAAAACAAACATTTGCTCATGGTCCTTGGGTGCTGGATGATATGATAAAAGAAAATACTCACAAAAAATGCTATTCCATGTCTTGATTTTCTTTTATGAAAAACAATAATGACATGTTTTATGACATAATTATACTAGCGTACCACGGGTGCCATCTTGGTAATCATCCATGTGATGGCCTTCTGCCCTTTGTTGTCACTGACGCCGACTGGAGCATTCAGTTCCAGCAGCAGACGAGCTGACTCACTGCGATCTGACAACACAAGATATTCAATGAGCACCTGGTATACTGACTGTTCACATGATAAGTTCCAAACCAAGATATTCCATTGTTTCCAAAGCCAAACTTCCTGCTGGCTTACCTAGCTCGGCTGCGACATGTATAGGTGTTCTCCCCTTGTAGTCCTTCACCCATTTGTAAAGGCAGCCACTTTTCACAAGCGCCTTCAAGGAGTTGATAGCATCATTCTTTGCAGCATAGTGAACTGGTGTTTGTTCCTCCTTTAACGTGCGTGCCTCCTTGTCGGCTAGAACATGATTGGACAAGATAAATTAACAATGTGCAAGGAAACATTTTACTACATTTAGAGTTGTTTTGTCGAAATTACAAAATATTTGCCACCCCAACCAAGATCTGCTCCCAAGGTGGCTCCACTCAGGCTCATGCTCTCAGCTTCCACACTCACCTTGTTGATCCTCCAACTTGTTGCGACATGACTCCCATTTGTCCATTGTCTTACAAAAGTTATATATAGAGTTATTGCCCTTTGCAGACTAAGTGCTTATTCACATCTTTGGACAATTGTCAAATTTCGGGGCTGCCATATAGCTGGAATATTTCTGAGTGCAGCGTAAGACAACAACAACAAATGAAAAAAAAAAAGGAGAAGTATCAGGCCAGGTTACTGCTAATATCTATTAAGAAAGCAAACACAGTGGTGATTGTTTGGGGGTTGGTTGTTGCCCAACACTGCACTAATATTCAACATAGTTGATGGTGACCAACAGATAAGTGGGACTACACTCACCAATGATTGATATCAAGAGCTATGTCACAAGATGGTAGACAACAACGACACATGTAACTAAGTCAGTGAACTTGACTACCTGATCCACTTATTCACTGTGTACAAGCACAGGGCCCTGCGGATATATCTTAACCCATGTTTCATGCTGTGGAGTGCAAACTCTCTGCCATGTAGCTTCAACTGACAGCAGACTTACAAAGATCTGTACACTCACCTCCCCTGTCTATGAGAAGAATGACCATCATAGGGTAGTCCACTGCGGCTGCCACATGGAGGGGAGAGCGGCCATACTTGTCTTGCTGGTTGATGTTGGCGCCATGCTCCAAGAGGAACCTGGCTACATCACAGTGCCAGTGACGAGCAACCTGAAGTCAACTCCAACATATCAGAGACTGCTAGGGACAGACAGAGTGATAAACAAGGCCAATCTTCGAGAATACCGGGGTATATGACATTCTTTTGAAAATTGGTTTGGGATAGGACATTTAATATAAGGGTGTGTGTGCTGTGTGACTGGTGTCCAGACTGTATCACACTCTCCCTCTGCGTTTTTAGGGAGAAGTTTAGAATGACATGACTTTTCAGAGTTCAACACCAAAAGGAACTTGTAATATGTCCAGACATCTCTGCCACACGGACCTCATGTAAGCGCACTGACCTCATGTAAAATGGCCAGACATCTCTCCCACACTGATCTCATGTAATATGGTTTGCTACATTGACCTCATGTAATACGGTCTGTTACAATGACCTAATGTAATATGGCCTGTCCATATTTGCTACACTGACCTCATGTAATATGGTCTGTTACACTTACCTCATGTAATATGGTCTGCCCTTACTTGTTACACTGACCTCATGTAATATGGTCTGTTACACTTACCTCATGTAATATGGTCTGCCCTTACTTGTTACACTGACCTCATGTAATATGGCCTGTTACACTGACCTCATGTAATATGGCCTGTTACACTGACCTCATGTAATATGGCCTGTTACACTGACCTCATGTAATATGGCATGTAACACTGACCTCATGTAATATGGCCTGTTACACTGACCTCATGTAATATGGCCTGTTACACTGACCTCATGTAATATGGCCTGCTACACTGACCTCATGTAATATGGCCTGCTACACTGACCTCATGTAATATGGTGTTACACTGACCTCATGTAATATGGCCTGTTACACTGACCTCATGTAATATGGTCTGTTACACTGACCTCATGTAATATGGTCTGCCCATACTTGTCACAACAGTTGATGTCTGCACCACTCCTCAGGAGATGATCCACAAAGTCCAAGTTCAGCATCTCATCCTCAGCAGACTGACCCAGTTTGGCGAAATACTGAATCAAAGCTCTGTTGCTGGCTATTGACATCATCTGCTCCTTGTGACCTTTGCCCACACTGCGTATTGTCTCCGACCCAGGCGTGGCATATTCGTTGTGGATGTCATCCAGGCCGATGCCGCCAGTCTTTGGCTTTTCATTGTCATCTTCATCCCCATGTGCTTTAAACAGATCCATACAGGTAATTGAATTGAAGATTATGTACTCACCTTCAAGTACCAGCAAAGATGAAGCAATGCACTAACTTATTGGTTAACAGATATCTTTGCTCACCTAAATATGTAAATAATAAAAATCGAACTATAGAACTCAAATCGAACGGTATTTTCACATTTCTAAAGAAAATGTTCCAAGTGTTGACAATGTAAATCATACAAAACATGAAATATGTTAATGAAATTGGACACATCTGCTGGAAGTGCAGATCACAATGTTTATCATTTTTGCTTAAAACAAAGTTGATGTGTAAACACTTACTGAAATTGATCTAGTCTTCCAATGGTCAATTGTATGTAACATTTGTAAGAAAATACATTCTTACAAACAAAGTGAATGTAAAAAAAAAAGTTCACCATAACCACAGTTTTGTTACCATAACCAAATTTATCATTGGAATTAAACACAATTCTTTAAAAAAGTCCCCAGAAATAATATATTGAAATATAATAACTGTTTCCATCACCAAATTACGTACACACCATCTATGGTGTGGTGGTGTGTGGTGGTGTGGTGCATGGTGTGGTGTAGTGTATGGTGTGGTGTGGTGTGGTGTGGTGTGGTGTGGTGTGGTGTGTGTGTGGTGCATGGGTGGTGTGGTGTGGTGTGTCATGCATGGTGTGGTGTGGTGTGTCATGCATGGTGTGGTGTGGTGTGGTGTGTCATGCATGGTGTGGTGTGGTGTTGTGGTGTGTGGTGTGGTGGTGTAGGTGTGTGGTATGGTGGTGTGTGGCATGGTGTGTGGTGTGGTGTGGTGTGGCATGGTTTGCGGTGGTGTGTGGTGTAGTGTGTGGTGATGTGTGGTGCATGGTGTGGTGTGGTGTGGTTCGGTGTGGTATACAAGTGGTATGTGTATGTTCTATATACAGATATGTAGCCATGAAATGTGCTGGTTTGCCAAAGTAAACGTTGAGGCACTCCTTGACTACTCTCTCAACCCACAGCCAACACTCATGTCACTGCTTTTGTCTTGTCAAGAAAGAGGTTTTAAAATGAGCATTGAAACATTTTGTGATAAAATAATTCATGGGAGAATAGCAGGAGTCATTGTGATTAAATGAAAAAGGTTAACAAAGTGCAAATGGAACTGGACCAATGAAAGGAAAATTTCATGAGTTGATTTGAGTGTTCTGGTAGGATAGGCAAACAAACACAATGTTCAACTATGGCTACAAAGTGCAATTGTGTGATTCAAGTGACAACATGAGACGAAACTTGAAGCGTGACAGTCAAAGACAACATATGGAAATCATAGATAGAAACATGGTATGAAAGGGTACAGTTCACAAGCTACTTTTATTCACTGCCTTGATTGGCATTAATTGACAAGAAGAAGTCATGAAACAGAAACATTTTCAAATAATTTGTCCTTCTTTGCCGCTACAGATGCTTATACATACAAAACACAAAATATTTTAATATTTTAATACTGATAATTGATTTAGACAATGCTAATGTTCCCCACACATTACTGGTTACCTCAATTTCTCCCTGATATTTATATCTCTCATCACATGACTACAAACAGAAATCTATGTTAGAAACAGAGAAATATTCTACCTGTAAATATCACTGACACTCGTTTCCGTGTATACAAACAGAGAAAAATAACTGTGCTTCAAATACAGATCAATAAAAATAAAAATATTCAGAAATTTATTCATGTACCTTTCAATACGGAAAGACATCTTCGCTTGAAGGTCATGATGAAAAATTTGCAGAGCAAACAATTTGGATATTTGTGTGTTTGTTCAGAGTATGATACTCCTACATACGTACATGTACTTTTTAATGTGAACAGCACATAATGACTGTGAATATTTACTATACTTTATATGAAGCACAGTTATGTTTTTCTGTTAACATACCGTTTTGTGCATGAAGTGCTGCAGTAATTCTGCAGTTGCTAGGTAACACAAGGACATGATAAACATCTAACAGTCACTTAAAATGACCATACATTTCACCAGTGAATAATATGAATGTAGAGCTATGTGTGTGCCTGAAGAAACTTGTGATTTGCAGGATATACATACCAAGAACGACTCTCTCTAGTTTAGCATTGACGAACAGAGTGTAAATTGTAGGCTTGCTGTCATAGTTGTGATATTTCATCACAGAAACTAAGAGACACACTTTACAAGTCAGAAAAAAATAAATGGATAGTTTAACCACTTTGTCTAGAAATAAAGATAGATTTTTTTCTTTGTAATTAATATGTGTAATTGTAAACTATTATTACCATTTTCCTCTGAAACAAATGGAAAAGAATATATTTAATAAATTTGAGATACAGTATATATAATTTTGTTGGTGAAAGGTGATGCTGCAATAGCATTTCCTTGTAGTACACAACACAGGCTGACTATTTATTGACACACAGAAATAGTTCTGATTTGTTAAGAGAAATGATAATATGGACAGAAATGCCATAGCAGGTTGGTTATTTAACACCACACTCAGCAGTATTTAAACTACATGATAGTGGCCTGTAAATAATGCAGTCTGGATCAGACAATCCTGTGACTGACAAATGAGTACCCAATGGTAGATCTCTATGGATGTTCTATGTGGGGCTTACATGGCAGAATAGGTAAGATTACTGTGACCTAATCAAGCCGCACTTGATCTGCTGGCTCAGACATACACTTGGAGCATTGCTGACTGGCAGAAAACAACATCCAACCTTTTACATCCAGCAATCTATATCAAACAGTCTGAAATTAAACCTGTTATTTCAGCCTAATTTATCCTATTTAACAGAATAACATAAGAACTGACAATCAAACGTATTGCAGCAACTCAGCAATCAGTGGCCATGCATGAGTGAGGTGCCACCTTGTGACCAGTGTCCATGGGTGTTGGACACCATCCTTCAACCATCTACATCAAAGTGTCACGCCATGCTGCCCCATGCTATATCACAATACATACTTCCACTGGCATCAGAATTCATACCTGTCATAAACAGTTAACAAATGTTTCTAACCATCTGGTCAAGTAATTGCAATCAATATTTTAATAACTATTGTGTATTTAGTTTTACAAAAGTTCCATTAAAGTTTGGATTGACTGAATTTTAGCAGATGGTTATCTTTCCTTTGTAGACAGAAAAAAGAAAGCTCTTTTATGATATCTACATCACCTCCGATATCATCACTGCCACCAGTATGCAAGTAGCCATTATATACACAGTGTTTGGGCATGTCCCTAGGTATACCATTCTAGCGAGTTAGTAAAGAGTTTACTATTGGCCTACTAGTTTCAAGATAGTTCATGTTGGCAGACAAGTACCAATTTCTCCCTTGCATTTGGTCCAAATTAATTACATGATAACTGAAATGAATTAGAAATTAAACTTGACAACAAAGAAAAGAATTTAGCTGGAGGAAGAGAAGCTGGCATCATGAGAGTCATTACATGTTTGTAAATGTAACCGTTGGTTGTAGACTGCCTAGACCACACATAGGGACATGTACATTACCCACAAGAAATGAGGTGTGTGTGCAGGGTGGGGTGGATTGGCATGGGTTGGGGTGGGTCAGGAATTGCTGGAGTGTATGGACATATAGAAATAATATGAACTGGTTCCACCACTAGTTGTAGAAAGTCACTTTGAATCTTCCTTACAAGAAGTGAACTCTGTTTGATTACAGAATTCCTGAACCATACCGCCCAGCACAGGCTAAGGCCAGTTAATATGGTTCATTAAGGTCAGTGCATGTCATACATAACAGGCAAAAACAAAGACAAGAACAAGTGACAGTAATTATAATTCCTAAAACGAAACTATATATATTTTCAAAAGTTAAGGTAGGTTTGTGAAGTCTCACTGAAAGGATGTATGATAATATGTTTGACAGTTTCATAGACATGACAGAAAGGATGATGTAAACAATAGAGTCTGCCAATGTATACCAGGTATGGCTCCCTTGTTTGCAGCCCTTTGAAGTCTAGACAGTAAGTGAAGGTGAAGACATACAAAAGATTTAAGGAAGGTGGTACAAAACAAAATAACATGTCCAGTCCATGTTTGATCCCAAACCAAGCACTCGCAACGTAGGAATGTGTTTGTATATTGTATAAATATATTAGCATATGATAGCAGACAAAGCTGCTGATAAAATGTGATCAACACTTCTATATCAAAAGTTATAGGACAAATACCATAAGAATATATATACTTATTTTATTAAGACAAAAGGATGTCTGCTGGTATATGCATTTGAGTTCACCGTGCATCTTTATCTGTGTTGTACAACATATTTAATGTCACTCTATTACAAACAGGAAGCAGCGAAAGCCAAACAGTCAATCACTAAAAGCATTATAGACCGAGCAAAATGTAGATCAATTCCAATTTTACAACAGATCGCTAGAACAGTGAGTTTTGTACATCTCTGTGGTGTAATACATTGTGAATCATCATAGACCTGGATAACCTAATCAATCAAAAGTCGTTTATGTCAGAAACTGAGCAAAATACATATATGCAAACATATTCATCCATTTGTTAAAAATTCAGCACATTTAGCACTTTTACAGAAAGAGTAATAAGTATCATTAGATGAACGTTTCCTCAGTAAGTGGCTAAAATATTTTTATCAACCATAATACATTTATGCAAAACTGTTACCATGGTGAGTTATTTCCCTACAGGCCTCTGTAGTGTTATTTCTGTATGATAGTTAATAAAAATTCTCATTAACCATATTTTATCTTCAATTTGAAAATTAGATTAAAATCATCTTCATCTTGATTTTAATGTAATGCTTTTACTTTAGGAAAAGTACTCAGTATTCAATACTTGGCAGACATCCTTATGATTACATCTTTTCAGTGATGATGTTTGAACCTTACTGAACAAAACAGTTGACAGAGACATGTAGGGAGGTTTGAAATGGCAAACTGCACTAAAATCACACACTTGTGTTGTGCTAAAGCTGAGTAAAAACGCTTTTACAAAATCAGCGTTTCCAAATCAGAGACAAATGTCAAACACATCGTTTGCTGTGTTAGATTCAACATACTGCAAGTTCAGTAGATATGCGTTCAAACATCACATCACCTACTTCGTAGCCAACCATCTACCACATGTACAGCCATGTTGATGAGCACAACTTACTGAAGGATCATAGACATGTTTTATATACACGTGCTGGGATTTCTTTCTTGGTTTTCAGACTTCTCATAAACAAGGTAAGGGATCAGAAAACAGGAAATTATACTGTCAGTTGCAAATTTGATTCTTAGATATTTCTGTTTTTGTCCACATCTGATAGCTTCAGTGTGGATGTTTTTATTCCAATTTCATATATGCACCAAACTTTACAAAAATAATAAGCATTATATTTCATATATGTTCAAAATAGAAGTGCAGTTGAAGTGTGTAAGCAATACTATGTCCACTAAAACAGTCACCCCTGTTCTTTCTGTGTCTCTTGTATAGTAGCATCCATTGCATGCACTACACTAAATCTTCTGCATCAAATTTCAACAATGTGACAGGTGAATCAACAGCCTAATTAATATATTTACACAATATGACATCAATGGATCCCAAAACAATTCACCATACTACACTGAAACAACATGGAAGGTCCTGTCAAAATACTTCATCATCATTCTAATATGATGACGTCCCAGTGAATGAATGTCTGTGCCATTTGTATAACTCCAAGTCAGTAAGGCCAAGGATATAACAGTATGGAGAATTGTGGTAGATAGGCTGAATCGGTAGAAGTGTTAAATGACAAAATTACAAACACCAAAGCTCACTCCAGATTTCCAGAATTTTATCTGATTTATAATTAAATAGTTTTTCTTATAATAAAATTTGAATATTAAATGCCTGCTTTCAAAAGCGTGGTAACACTCATATGTGAGACATATTGGCAGTTGTGAGATAAAATCCTGGAAGTATCAAATCCCATGTTGTTAGTACTGAGCTACTTACAACTTCCGGATGTGACATGGGTTCTCTGAGGGAGTTGACCAAGTTCAGTCTCTACGGTATCATTTGGGTCTACACCATAAGTAGATTGTGAAAAACATGCATCCAGAAGCTTAACCACTTCAAAACAATATGCTGTATGTTAGGTTTTGTTGGTTACCAAAAACACTCCAGGAATTGTTAGGAAGGTTTGGGGGAGACTTGTTCCTTTGCTGTTTAATGCCGCACTCGGCAAGATGTGATGGCAATTTGTTTCTTATCAAGTCTGGACCAGACAACACAGTGACTGACATGAAGAGAAGTGATCCATGTTGCATTGTATAAATCCCCAAGTCTGACCACCCCATACAGAAGTCTTTTGACAAGCAATGGCTGCCAGTGACCAATTTTAACCCAGAAGCCTAGAATGGGGGTTATGGGGCACTGTCTGCTACAAAAATAAATAAACACTGTCATTCTTTGTTTCAGTTAACAATAAAGTCTACATTCCTTAATCAGACAATCCTGTATATTCAACTCTTTCTGTGATACCATCTAAAACAACGATATTTAGTCCCATTGTCAGTCTGACTTTAACACACCTGTTAACTGGTCGAACATTAAGCTAAAAAAGCAGTTAGTTGGTGTCATTCAACCTAAACCTAACAATGTTCAACTGACAAATTTGTTTCTCAAGACTTAATGTGTAACACATATGGTTGTAAACAAAAATGGATGCTCACATATGAATCATAAAGCAAACTTTTTTAACACAAACTACTTCAATCTAGTGCTGAAGTTATTGATGATAGGCAACCACATCACATGTGCTCCCAAACTTTACTCTATTTACTTGAGACTAGATGTGGAGTGACACCCTGATAATATTGATCCCCATGGACAACATGTAATGTTAAAATATTGATAAAATTTCAGGACATAACCAAATACTGATAATGACTTAATGCTAAAATTTGCTAATCTGAAACTGTTTAGCTTAGTATTTGCAGATTTACAGGGTGTGACTGTGTTACAGGTACTGGGAGATTACAGATACAGAAGATGACTAACATTTGTATATTCACATCTCATATTTCTGCAGTTAACTAACATGAAAGAGAAAGAAACCAATAACCTCAATATCTATGTAAAAGCGTATGTTATTCTGTAAACTGGGGAAGTCAGTTTGACATATCTATATGTGACATAACTTTCTACTTCCAACAAAAGTAACGGACACTTACTGTTTGGCTTCCGGATTCTCTTCCTGGCGACATAGTTGTTCCACTTTGAGGCAGCTTGCTTGACATTGCTGATCACGTGGAGGGCATTGGATTTCTCTGTCACCTCTCGAGAAAGTTCTCGGAATTTGGCTGAGGTACTACAAACAAACCACCACATTATAAGGGAGTGAGGGAGAATATTTGGATTATCACATTTGAGAAAAGCCTGAAATCATGCAAGTTTTATATGTTTGCTACTTGGGTGAAACCTACGAGGTCTGGTGCTGATAAACCTTGAAACCAGAGATTCGAACATTTGATTATTGGTTTCTGGTGTGCACAACACTGAATAATGAATTCTGGTACCTTAGTCCACTTGGCCACCTGCGCCTCCTAGCAACATTACAGTATGATGGCAGTGGTTCTATTAGCAGTGGAGTCATATAACCAAACATCAGTTAAATAATATCTACCATTCCAATTTTGTTCACATGTGCAAGTGAAAATTTTTGAAGCTATAGACACAATGGCTAAAAAACACACAAAAGACAACTGACTCATGTCACATTACATGTCACCTTGACAACATAATAGTGACAGTACAGTGAGTGAGTATGGTTTTATGCCAATTTTATTAATATTCCAGCAACATCACGGCAGGGGACACCAGACATGGGTTTCACACATTGTACATCATGGAAGGGGACACCAGAAATGGATTTCACACATTGTGGGGAATTGAACTCAGCCTTTGGCATAACAAGCAAACACTCTAACCACTAGGCTACCACACCGTCCCAGTGACAGTACAAGCCACCCGTCTGGTTGAATTCTTTTCCCACTCAGTTCAGGCTTCATAACAACAGCACAGTCCCATGCTGTACATACTGACACACAACAATGTTTAAATCATTGGTTGACTAGTTCACCTGATGTTATTGGCGCCGCCCTTGCTGGACATTTCAAACCCTGGGTTACTGACGCCTTGCAGGCTGTCAGACTCCTCCGATGGAACTATCTTAGATTTACTTTTCTTCTTACGATCCATCTTAGAAATTGTTCCTGCAAAAAGTGGAAATCACCTTTCAGATTCTGTTTAAACATCATGAGTGTTATAGATGGCCTTGGCATAATTGCAGTCTAGACCCAGGAGCATATCAGTCTTAAAGATGGTTTGACAGAAAGTCAGGTGTTACAATTTGAAACATCTGACTCCAATCATCATTAAGTATTTTCCAAATTGAAGGTAGAATCAACATTAGCACCCCAAAAGGTTTTGTTTTGGAGTAAAGAAAGGGAGACAGTGAAAGTTTGTTACTCTCTGTGTATATAGCCCAACACCTACTGACACATGACTTAATTAGAATTAGAAGTCTCACTGGATATTGCACACTAAATCATAATTCTAACAGGAATTTGGAAACTTCTTGATTCAGATAGGCCAATCAGAGGTATCAAACCACAATAACCATCTTGTATAAATATGTCTAATTTGACAGATGCATCATCACAGTTGCTAGTATTTATGAAATGGGTCTTCCTTTTCAGACATGGTCTCTAGGCATTCTTAAATAATACTATGAGTAGTCAAAAGTCTAATTCACAGAATCCAAATCTGGGAAATTATGATGACAGGTAATAATCTTTACACTTTTTTCTTCACTAAAGCCTTCCAGTGACTCTTCATTTCTCCTTGTACATAGGTTCTCAGCACCATGAGCATGCATTCGTGGGTGGACACTGGCGCTTTATAAATATCCCTATTATTATTTATTATTATTAATACACATTGGTCAGCAAACATGATCTAGATGACATGTATTATGTTCAAAGGATCACAGCAAGCTAGCAATCTGGTGATTTTCTATTGCTCTCTGTCATATTCTTTCTGCATCACAATGAGCAGTTTGATGTCATAATGTGTGGATTAAAACTAAACACTGCAAGGTTTGCTCTGCTTTATCTAGGGATTCAAACTTCATATTGGCTGACTATCGGTAACTTGCTGTGTTGCACACTTCCAATGATTGTGCTATATACAATCTTTTTACATGGCTAGTATTGGTGTTTATTTCAGTTTAGTTCTACTCCACAATATCACAGAGAGGAACACCAGAATTTGGCTTCACACACTGGACCCATGTGGGGAATCAAACCTGGGTCTTTGTCAAGACAAGCAAACACCTTACAACTAGGCTACCCAACCTACCCCATGGTAAACTTAGGCAAACCTATCTATTAATAAAGAGAGAAAGCAAACAATTAATTTGCAATCTGTTGTTTTATTTCTATTCCTGCCTCTAATGAAATATAAAAACACTGTAGTAATGCTGCAGGTATTTCTCCATTGTATCAAGAAGGGATCACTTTATGTTGCATTTGACAGCTTGTTCAAGCTGCTGATAAGGCTATTTAGCAGTAATTAACTGAAGAGCATATTTGTTATATGTTGGACAATGACTATTGTCACACGCCTCTGTTAGTTACCACTTACAATAGACGTGAAAGCGATTGATCTGAATGTAAACATTTTTTTTTCCATCCGTAACATCGTTGAATGTGAGCTAATTGTTTCTTAAGGGCACGTCTGTAATTGACATTACCCCAAAACAGCAAAATTACACAATGATTTTCTAATGATTCATAAAAACCTACCTAAAATTCATTATATCCTGTTTGTCTCAAAAGCAACTGCGTGTACACACTTGCTCTGGTAAATCACAACGCATGCCCACTGTCGGACGCCATCTTAGTTTGTCCGGTTTACCTTCGTCGCTATTGGCAACGCGCACCTGGCGGCACCGTTTGATGTGCTCCGCTGGGGACATTACCAATAAGCTGATGTGTATATGATCTATATATACAGTCATTCTAAGGGTGTCAATCAATAAAAGCGATATATCAATCACATTGTCGTTTAATTGTGGAAAGTGCCACTGAGTTTATTGATATGTATGCGTACAGACGGTTCTATAACAGTGCTTGCACAATTGCAGTTCCCGAATGCATAGTTTTATCGTTGGGTTTAGAATACGTAAATGTTGCATTAACATTATTATTATTATTATTATTATTAAGGATATTTATATAGCGCACGTATCCACGCACATAAACATCAGTTGAGTCAATGGATTTAGGAAAGAGGCTTTTGAATATGGGGCGAATTCCGCGTCTGAATTTGAAAGATCTATGGCGACATTATAGGGCCAACTGAAGTGGTGGTGTGAGTGAGTTGAACGCTGAGCAGTATTTCAGGGGTGTTAGCTTGGCGTGGGGGAGCGTCTTGAAGTCATATGTTTTATCTATTGGTGTCTCCGTATCATATCCGTGCTCTTGTCAATTTGAAAATTGTGTAAACGCGATCGACTTTTGTATCTATGAGCTTTGTTTCCAATTTATGCTGGGGCGGTGGGGTAGCCTAATGGTTAAAGCGTTGGCTCGTCACGCCGAAGACCCGGTGGGGGTGAAGCCCATTCCTGGTGTCCCCGCCGTGATGTTGCTGGAATATTGCTAAAAGCGGCGTAAAACCAAACTCAGTCAGTCAGTCAGTCAGTCAGTCCAACTTATGCGGGGCGGTGGGGTAAGTTAGAAGTTAAAGCATTCTCTCGTCACGCCGAAGACCTGGGTTCGATTCCCCACATGAGTGCAATACGTGAAGCCAATTTCTGGTGTCCCCCGTCGCCATATTGTTTGATATTGCTAAAATCGTCGCAAAAACCATACTCACTCATTTGTAGTCCAATTTATGTTGACACACTGATGTAAAACTCAACTCTCTCACAAATCCTGTTTAAATCTCGTTCCTAATCACTACAAATTAATTTGTATTAGAAGATACTTTTAGAGATTTCTTTGGATTAAATGTAATTAATTTAAAATTGTACTCGAACAATTTCCAGAGGAAACATAGATCCTGCTGGTTTTCACAAGCACCAACATATATTGACGCTATGCTATTTGTGACAAGTGATCACCACTTACCACTGTACGTAAAATGGTATGTCTGGTCAAGAATTACTTCGGGGCGTTGGTATATGAATTGACTGACTGCAGTCCGACAAAGTACTATCTCATTAAAAATGCATGGAAAATATTGTTTGCAATCACTGTCAGTGAGGCATAATAATATATATTTGAATTTAAACGTATTGTTATATATATATATTATCGAAAACAATGATAGTGAATCATAAAACGTTTCCAACAAACGCGCACCTGGACAATCAATATACATCATTGTTTTGTCTATAAAACGACACAAAAATATGCAATGAACAAGACATTTCCTTTCAATATGTGTGCATATATATTTCATAACATATATAAATCATTTTCATTAATATTATCAGTTTTACTTATAGGGTTGAATTAAATCGGGGGTTAACGCCGCACAATCCAGGGATTTTTACTCTTTTAACCATTACATATGAAAGATTTGTGGTTAGTCTTATGCGGAACACCAAATTCATTCTTAAAAAAGTTGTGGTTAGCTAATACCGAACGATTAAAAGTTGTCAAAAAGGTCGATTTAAGTTAATGTAAGATCGAAATGAGTAGTTTTAATGACGGGGTTTCATTTATAACGATGCCAATTAGTGATTTATGTATTTATGTTTAGCCATCTCTTCTCTGGTCACGGCAGCATCTTGGTTTGACGATCTCTGAACTGCAGTCATTGTGGTTGAATGTTTCTTTTATTTATCAGAAGGACTAGGATCTTTTATTTAAGTCTTGTTACATGTCTGTAATATATAACCGCCTCGTGGTGTAGTGGTTAGAGCGTCCGCCCGGAGAGCGGAAGGTCGCGGGTTCGATTCATACCAAAAGACGTTAAAATAAGAATTAATGTGTACAACAAGGACTGGTCGGCTAGTGGGGATGCTTGACTGCGGCATGGTATCCCAGTGGGCAAGCACTATAACACCAGCTTCAGTCTGGGGTAGTACAAGCATTTACACGCATGCACGTCGTCTTGAAATATTCTCAAGCACGACGATAAACCCAATTTCACCTCACCTGTAATATAGTATAATATTTAATATCCTCCGCACGATGGATGTAGACATGTTGTATGATGAACATTGTTATGATACATAAATATGAATTGTGATCAGCAACAATTCTAGAAACCGATAGAATATAATGTAATTAGTGTGTTCACCTACCATATTGTTATACAGTGCTTTCATTAGTACTTAGACCCGTGACGATCCGGGTTAGAATTGATCTTCAGTATCCCATGCTTGTCGTAAGAGGCGACTATCGGAATCGGGTGGTCCGGCTCGCTGACTTGGTTGACCCATGTCATCGTATCCCAATTTCGTAGATTGATGCTCATGCTGTTGATCATTGAATTGTCTGGTCCAGACTTGATTATTAACAGACCGCCGCCACATAGCTGGAATTTTGCTGAGTGCGACGTAAAACCTTTGCTGAGTGCGGCGTAAAACTCACTCTTTATATAATTATTTAGTTTGTAGTCTCTATCAGTAATTCATAGCTAACAGCTGTAACTGCCAGGAAATATATTTATAGCAGTATTTATAGAAGGAGTTTTATATTTATTTATATAAAGTGCATACTTCTACGAATGGTAAATGTGTACTGATGTAGTGTATGTGTCAGGTTCACATTGATGCGTTCATGCGAATGAAAAAGTATGTGTCTGCATGGATGTTGTTTTTTTAGCTGGTTAACGCCACTCAGCAAATTCCAGCTATACGACAGCGGTATGTAAATTATCGAGTCTACACCAGACAATCCAGTGATTAATATCATGAGCTCCAATCTACACAATTGTGATTCGATGATATGTGTCAACCAGGTCAGCGAGCCTGACCACCCGATGCCATTACTCGCCTCTACACGACTGCATGGGTGCATATGTGCATATAACATAGATTTCAATCAGTTGTTTCATTTCATTAGTAGGTGTAAAATCACTACATAGATTACTACAGTACTGTTGGCTTAATGGAAGAGGTTGGTAATGGAAGAGGCTGGTAATTGCGCACGTGCGTGCGTGTGCGTCTAGATTATGCGGGTTTTTTTATGACATAAATGGGATATTTGTATCTGCTTTTCTCACCTAGCAACTGAAATGTAGGACCGCCTCCGTGGTGTAGTGGTTAGAGCGTCCGCCCGGAGAGCGGAAGGTCGCGGGTTCGATCCCCGACCGCGTCATACCAAAAGACGTTAAAATATGGTACTTGTTGGTCCCTGCCTGGCGCTCGGCATTAATGGGTACAACAAGGACTGGTCGGCTCGGAGTCAGTATAATGTGTCTGAGTGGGGTATTCATGCTTCACTGCGGCATGGTATCTCAGTGGGCTAGCATTATAAAACCAGCTTAAGTCTAGGCTAGTACAAGCAGCCTCACATACACACGCATGCACGTCGTCATATGAGCGAAATATTCTCAAGCACGACGTTAAACCCAATTTCACCTCACCTCACTAAAATGTAGTGTTTAATATACGTGTTGTTCGTGGTATACATTAAATGCTAATGTAATGGTATGTATGTTTAATTGTCGATTCTTGTAACTGTATACCAGTAATTCAACCGTTCTACATTATGTTTTATGGTATATTCCTTATTTCTCCACACTTCATGGGTTTGGATCTTCATATCCCTGACTGGGAGACAGACAGAATATGCCCTATAAACACCCAAGACGTAATGCTTATTTTAACTCGATCGTTTTGAATGCACGTTTATTTGTTTTAGATAGTAGATTTGATGGGGTCTCCCAAAATAACTATGTTCATATTTAAATAAATATGGCCGTGAATGTATCGTAACGTAATAAAGAGGAATGTATATCTAATGATGACATATAAGACAAAATATACTTTGAACAAACAAACAGCATGATATCTGCTCATGTTTGATGAGTAATCTCTAAGTTCGTAACGGCTGAAATAATCTTCATGTAGGCGTCCAGGACACTAACAGCTGATGACAAGCGACATGTCAACCACGCCCACCCGTGAGTAAGTAATTGAGAGTAATCTGCCCCTGATCACATCAAGAAGCGAGGATGGCGAACTCACGGCAAAGCCGAGGCAAACTTTGTGTGCGAGTTTTCATTGACACAGTGTGCATCGCTTTAGGTAACTAGACTTATATTATTACAGCTGTATCCGCTTATATTATTACATGTTTGTGTTGCTAGGTTGCAGCCTCTGTAATGACAACGGCTTGGTAAAGAGCAGTTTCTGGTTTCATCGTCCGAGCTTCGGTTTGGTTTTGTTAAAACCCGACTGTCAATCATGTTTTTTCCTCGTACTGTTAAATACGCTTGATTATCGACGCTATTTGTCATCTCTTCAGTCCGTTCATCGGTCTGTCATTAGCCGAGATGTGACGTGATAACATCGTTTTGTGTGGAATCGGGTTAGTTTTGTCATATTTAGTGTTCAAACTGATTAACTGCTATTGGAAAAACACAAGAGATTAGGCTCTAATAGGCGGTAGCATTTGTCTGTGTTGAACTGAAGATAAATCATAAAGTATTAATTCACAGGACCACATCACCAGTATTCAGCACTCACAAATGTTGTGCTGTATACACTCCTGTTTCATGGTCCTGTGATTAAGTAACTCAAGTAGCTTGGACCATGTAACACTGTGATTGTATAGTTTATAGTTAACCTCATTTGCACATGATTGCTGCTTAAAAGGTTGGGCAAGCCCTCAATACTATCTACACATAAAGCTTTGCAACCTATCGGGCTTACACGAAAAATCTGGCTTGCTACGCGCCTGGATACATATCTTCAATACTGGGTAATGAATACAAATATCGGCTACTGAATACAATAATAAGTCTGCAGTTTATGTTATTGAGCATATTCAATGAAACAATAACAAAATACATTATTTGACTTGTTTTACCATGTTGACAGCATTGATACATGCATATCCCAACAATGAAACAATAACAAAATACATTATTTGACTTGTTTTACCATGTTGACAGCATTGATACATGTATATCCCAACAATGACCCGTGACCTCATTACTGACAAATTAAATATGCAAGAGTGTTGGCTATTATTCTGATTGGTATGGATATATTCCATTTAGCATATCTCGTTTGGATAAATAACTATCAAATTCAAGTATAAACACTGCTTTTTGAAAAATGTCATGAATATTAAATTCTTGTCATTGCGAATATAAAATTAAATTCATGAAAGGATATGTTTTGATTCACCGAATATACACGAGTGAATAATAACAGCCCTAATGACCACAGTTCTAGATTTATCAGTTGTTGTTTTGTTGAAAATACTTGTCATAATTATTGTATATCATTACATATGAAGTGATCACAAGCAATGCTTGACTCATGCTTTGAACATTGTTTATTCTGTTTAACAAGATTAATAGAATTAACAAGAGCCTTTTCCATATGCTGTTGACACATTACCATACCAGCTGTTGTCCTTACCAAGTACCTAATTAATATTAGTACAATGTACTTAATTGCTTGGAGGCAAATATAGCATCAATGGCTGCTGTTACCATACAAACAATCAGATGTACTTGATATTTTGAAGAAGGATTTCAATGGTTTGTATATATTATCATTATAATTTATTCCAAGGAGGTTAATGATTAATGAAGGTCTGCTGTTACCATGGTAGTACTCATCAGTACCAGTTCATGGGAGATTATATTTCCTTTATATCAAGTTTGTCAGCACCATTATTGATATTATTTATTACAACTGAATGTCTTCATCCTAACTGGATGTTTGCATAATTCCATCATCTCCTTCATCATTCCAGTCTTGGGAGCGAAAGTGTCTGACAGGGAGTGACAATGATTGTTCATGCAGATCCTATTTTCTACATACTAAAACCCTAAAAACCAAATGTTATGGTTCTGATAACAGCAATATCAAAATTTGGTAGTATTAAAGGATTCTATTTTCCATTTTATACAATTTATAGAATGTAAACTTTGTCATTTTGTTAATTAATGTACAGAGCAAATATTAGCTGTGACTTATATATGCACAAAATGTCCAAAATAGTACAGGTGTTCAGTCATAACTTTCAGATAGATAAATAAAAACAGAATGCCTTTTTCTATATAGTTTGTGTACATATTAACCTTAATCATAGATATTATTACAAATCTCCAACAATTGTTTTACACAATATACCGGTTATCAAGAAGAAATATTGCAAACTGTGTCGTTTGAAGAGTGTATTATGGTATATAGGTATACTGTTCAGTCCTTGTTACTGTGTCATCCCGTGAGGTGGCAGTGGCTTGTTACTGTGTCATCCGTGAGGTGGCAGTGGCTTGTTACTGTGTTGTTACTGTGTCATCATCCGGTGAGGTGGCAGTGGCTTGTTACTGTGTCATCCCGTGAGGTGGCAGTGGCTTGTTACTGTGTCATCCCGTGAGGTGGCAGTGGCTTGTTACTGTGTCATCCCGTGAGGTGGCAGTGGCTTGTTACTGTGTCATCCCGCGAGGTGGCAGTGGCTTGTTACTGTGTCATCCCGTGAGGTGGCAGTGGCTTGTTACTGTGTCATCCCGTGAGGTGGCAGTGGCTTGTTACTGTGTCATCCCATTGAGGTGGCAGTGGCTTGTTACTGTGTCATCCCGTGAGGTGGCAGTGGCTTGTTACTGTGTCATCCGTGAGGTGGCAGGTGGCAGTGGCTTGTTACTGTGTCATCCATGAGGGTGGCAGTGGCTTGTTACTGTGTCATGAGGTGGCAGTGGCTTGTTACTGTGTCATCCCGTGAGGTGGCGGTGGCTTGGTGGCAGTGGCTTGTTACTGTCATCCGTGGAGGTGGCCTTGTTACTGTGTCATGAGGTGGCAGTGGCTTGTTACTGTGTCATCCCGCGAAAGGTCAGTGGCTTGTTCATCCCGTGAGGTGGCAGTGGCTTGTTACTGCATTCTCTCCATCATTCCTTGCTGTTCAAGAGCCCGCCTCCCGTGGAGAGTGGAAGGTCTCCGTGGTGGTCGATCCCCGGAGTTGAGTGGACAGCGTCATATAAGGTCGCGGGTTGGATGTTGGACCTGCCTGGCACTCGGCATTAATGGGTACAATAAGGATAGGTCGAAACTTGCTGTCAATATGTTTTTCTTTTGGTTTATAATTTTCTACATCCGTTTTACATCCTCGGTCTGTTCACCCTGATTGGTGTCCCGTACCACCGAGGGTTCTTCTGTAACGACGAGAGTCTGAAGCATCCCTTTTGGTTTATAATTTTCTACATCCGTTTCACATCCTCCATGGTTGTAGGAAGCTGGACACAGAAGTCAGATATGTAGGTTGGAATCAGGGCCCTTGATATTAACAGAATCCAAGTTTCCCATCCCAGGGTGGTCAGACTCGATGGTTTATTACATGTGGCATCGTTGTAGAATGTCACTCACAATTAGGGCTGGGACGATTCACCGATGCATCGCGATACATTTACGTTTGATGCAGCTATCGTATCGTGGACTGATGTATCGATACAAAACGATGCACAACTTTTTTTCAAAACAGTATTATCTTAAACATGTTACAGTACTTATTTAGAGAAAAATACGCAAGTATGATGGAGTTACTTGTTTGTTTATTACAAAAGTGTTATTGTTAAACACAAATACCTTGAAATAAATCCTTTTAAATCTTGATACCGTGTCATTCTTTCAAGGTGTATGTATCATGATACGTGATGCAGGTAAAATATCGTGATATGTGTTGTATCGTGACATAGAGTACCGTCCCAGCCCTACCCACAATACCAGCAGCTGGTTTGACTGTTCCAGACTTGATTATTTACAGTCATATAACTGGATTCATGTTGAGTGGGGCAAACAAACAAAGCCTTAGAAAAGCTTTTCCTCATGAGATATTGTGTTTCTTTGTTGATGAAAGACAGGGCATCAGGAAATGTAATTTAATTAAGTTAGTTTTGGGCTATTTTAGTAAGCGATAAGGAAGTGTTCTGACATTTTTCTACTGACTGATTGGACAGATACAGAAGTCATCTGAACACACATGACTAATCCGTCACCTGAAAACAGTATTTCCTAATATAATTGTTAACCAAGTTGTCAAATTTCCCTGTGTAGTTATGCATAGTAAAATCCATCTGCTCTCATAACATGCATGAGTTGCCATGTTAGTAAATATACGTTGAATTGTGGAGGTCCAAGGCACACTAAATCTTAAATTGTTGGGTTGTTGGATTAAAAATAATGTGTCCAAAGATACAAAATGGACGCTCAAGAGCAATGTCCGAAAAATTGAAGAGAACTTGTGATCGTGAAGGTGTGCAGGCTCAGAAGAAGGTCCTGAATGGTCTGTTACAATGATGTAGTCGGTAAACTTCAGGGGATTGGGTCAGTAATCTGTATAGTTCTGGCTTAGTATAAATGTGGTGGACATGCTCTCAGTGTCATATTGAGTCAGAAAAACATAAAGTATGCAAAATATACTACGAGTACTCACATGAACTATAGTTGTTTTAATCCTCCTCATCATTAAACCAGCAAAATAACAGGAATGATCTTCAAAGGGGCATTATGATTAATCCGAAGTCACTCCCGTTGCTACCCAATCTACTCTAGTCTTATTTAATATGTGTTGTCATTAAACCATAGTGTTTGCTACTGTATGAGAATTGACATGTCACTTTGATTCAAAGGTTATGACCCTGAGCATGGATTTGTTTGATTTGATTTCTTGCTCAGTCCAATGAATAATGATTAGATTTCTTCTTTTCTTTTAAGTTCCATTGAAACCCTTGTGAACTGATGGATGTGAACACACATAACCACCAATCGAGCTTGCGACTGTGACAAGAATTATCAGTCAGATTCTCATCAGATGGAATATCTTAGGTTTTAAATACTTCTCTCAAAGTCACATTCTATCCTTAACCTCCTGTATGTTGGCAGTTGCGATCCCCATCGGTCTGTTCACCCTGATTGGTGTCCCGTACCACCGAGGGTTCTTCTGTAACGACGAGAGTCTGAAGCATCCCTTCATCGCTAGCACCATCCCAACATGGCTGCTGGGTGTGGTGGGCCTGGGACTACCCATTCTGTGTGTAAGTAGATACACATGTAGCATGATATTCATGTGATTGTTCTGAATGAAATATGACATGTATTCAAATTTCATAAAAAGAGTCTACTACTGAATGCTGGGCAGATAAGACCTCCAGTGCCCCATGATTGACATACAAGCAGAGTAGGGGCGGTAGGGTAGCCTTGTGGTTAAATCGCTCGCTTGTCACGGCGAGGACCTGGGTTTGATTCCTCACATGGGCACAATGTGTGAAGCCCATTTCTTGTGTCCCCTGCCGTGATATTGCTGGAATATTGCTAAAAGTGGCGTGAAATCATACTCACTAAAAGCAGAGCACTGAGAATTTGACGGTAACCTGTTAGACTAACATCTAGTGTCTGTGATGAACATTTATTACAGAAAAAACAGTTCCTAAATTATAATCATCAAATATAATATAAAGGAGCCCAGAGACTTTCTTCATTTTCAGAAACTGTGGAAATCTTGACTTGCCACATATTCTAGACTTGCATGGGCTTTATTGGATATATTTGTTTCAGGGTCTGTATGGCAGACTAGTCACATGTGTGACCAGGGTGATAGTGTGTTATCTTTTTGATAATGTATGGATGTGTGCTCATGATATCAACCCTTGGTCAGGCTCAAACTTGCTTATCTAAAGGGCCCATGAGTGGACTAGTATCAGTTTTATGCTTTACAAATGTATAATATGCTGTTGTTACTTCTTGAAAAATTGTTTTTATATTCTCAAATCTTTCTTATCTCTTCAAGATTTTGGTCATCGAAGCTCTTCATGAGAAGAAAACCTCTTGTTTTGGGATTGTTTCCACTGACCCAAATGAACACACAAAAAGTTACTTTGAAAAATGTTACAAAATTATCATCGTGTTCATATTTGGGACAGCTGTCACTCAGCTTCTGACAGAAATCGGCAAGTTCAGTATCGGGAGACTCCGTCCACATTTCTTCGCAGTGTGCAAACCAGACATGGCAAACATAGACTGCAACAGTGGCTATATCATTGATTTCACTTGTACAGGAACAAGTGCTCATCAACTCCGTGATATGAGGTATGTTCGTGGAATAGTCATTTAACCCTATATGAACATTTTCTGTACTTAATAAATGGTGTCATCAGTCCGTATTTAGCTATTGTATAATTGTACAATTTTTATCCAATGATTTCAATAATGTAAGGTGGATGTTTTGGCTTTTGCTTTGTTCATAGTTTTTCAAACACTCTTTAACATAATTTATTAATGGTTGACAGATGTGACTCACATAAAACATGACTGCTTGGTAGACCTAATTAGATGGTGCACTTCTTCAGTTCATATTTACATATTTCATCCTAAACATTCAAATGACATGAGAGAGTCTTTGATAGTGAGGCTGGCGGTGATTAAAGCCTGTTTATAAGCTTACATCATGTACTTGAAGCTCTACTTCTAAATCATTGTATTTTACTTCACAACCAAAAACGTGAATGAATATGCATTGTTTTTGAAGATGTAACTGTTTGTTGACATAAGGTGCTGAATCAAACAGCATTCACTCATTCATACCTGTTATATATGTGATGCTGGTTGTTACAAGACATTGATACTCAAACAGTGAGTGAGTTTAGTTTTACGCCGCACTCAGCAATGTTCAAGCTATGTGGTAGCGGTCTGTAAATAATAAAGTCTGGACCAGAAAATCCAGTGATCAACAGCATAAACACACAAAAGTTACTTTGAAAAATGTTACAAAATTATCATCGTGTTCATATTTGGGACAGCTGTCACTCAGCTTCTGACAGAAATCGGCAAGTTCAGTATCGGGAGACTCCGCCCACATTTCTTCGCAGTGTGCAAACCAGACATGGCAAACATAGACTGCAACAGTGGCTATATCATTGATTTCACTTGTACAGGAACAAATGCTCATCAACTTCGTGATATGAGGTATGTTCGTGGAATAGTCATTTAACTATATGAACATTTTCTGTACTTAATAAATGGTGTTATCAGTCCGTATTTAGCAATTGTATAATTGTACAATTATTTATCCAATGATTTAAATAATGGAAGGTGGATGTATTGGCTTTTTCTTTGTTCATAGTTTTTCAAACACTCTTTAACATAATTTATTAATGGTTGACAGATGTGACTCACATAAAACATGACTGCTTGGTAGAACTAATTAGATGGTGCCATTCTTTAGTTCATATTTACATATTTCATCCTAAACATTCAAATGACATGAGAGAGTCTTTGATAGTGAGGCTGGCAGTGATTAAAGCCTGTTTATAAGCTTACATCATGTACTTGAAGCTCTAGTTCTAAATCATTGTATTTTACTTCACAACCCAAAACGTGAATGAATATGCATTGTTTTTGAAGATGTAACTGTTTGTTGACATAAGGTGTTGAATCAAACAGCATTCTCTCATTCATACCTGTTATATATGTGATGCTGGTTTGTTACAAGACATTGATACTCAAACAGTGAGTGAGTTTGGTTTTACGCCGCACTCAGCAATGTTCAAGCTATGTGGTAGCGGTCTGTAAATAATAAAGTCTGGACCAGAAAATCCAGTGATCAACAGCATAACCATCGATCTAAATAATTGGTATACGATGACATGTGTCCACCAAGTCAGCAACTGATCTCCCGGTCCCGTTAGTTGCTGAAGATCATTTCTAACCAGACAGGTGACACTCAAACAGGTGAAGGTGAGCTTCTGTACCTAAGTTTTGACTTCACTCAAAATGTTTTGTGTTTCCAGACTGTCCTTCCCTTCTGGCCATGCTTCCATAGCAGTCTACTGCATGATCTTCCTGATGGTAAGGGTAAACGTACACACTTCTTCATGTAATCCATATGTGAGATATTGTCCGTGTCATTAATGTTATCTGTGTATGTTCATGTACATTATGGAAGCCCAGTCAGTGTACAGACAACAGGTGTCTGAACCACTGTAATTACACTTGCTCGGACTGCCCATTTTCCTGAGTCTGATTCCAATTTAACAAACATTCAGGACACAGCTAATTTACAGCTCATAATATTTAGAACTATTTTTATGCCTAACAATAATCAGCATGGCCAGGAATAGCTACCAGCAGTATTGATGGGTTGACATGATGCAGCAATTATGTGACACTCTTTACTGCTGCAGGTGTATCTCCAGGCTCGACTGACTTCAGCCAGAACTAACCTGATCCGCCCAGTTTTGCAGCTAGTGGCCTTCGGGCTTGCCTTCTTCACATGTTTGTCACGGATATCAGACTACAAGCATCACTGGAGTGATGTGCTCGGTGGAGCTATTCTTGGAACCCTCATTTGCTGCCTTGTGGTAAGATCCAAATTGGTACAAACTGCTGAACCCTTGTTGATCATTTTCAAATAAAATCTAGAGAAGGATAATCACTAAGGTTTTATTTATATCTTGTTTATGTTTGTCATGCTTATCAATTTTTGACAGTTGCCATTTTACATCATTCCATGAGTATCAAGTGCATGAGTAGGTCTCCAGGATCTTATGCTTGTCAGAGGAGCTGACTAAAATGAGGATTGGGGGAACAAAATGTGTAACTTCATTAAATGTATTTTCCCTACCTTTGTATTCTGTTGCATTTTCTAGTTTTCACATGTTACAAACATAGTTGTTCCACAGTAATAGAAGAGTAAATGACAGCTGACATATATGTTTGCAATATTTTTTGTTTGTTAAAACTTGTTTCCTGGAATGATGTCATTTTGTGTTGTTTTCTTTTTATAAATGTAACATTTTTCTGCATTAATATTATTTTTATTATGCATATAATTGTATTTGTAATTGAAGGCATGGATCACTGGTAATGGTTTCATCCACTGTTTTTCAGATAACATTTATGAGCAGTTTTCGCTTGGAGCGGAGGTCTGTGATGAGATTTTACAGAAGTCGCCATGAGAAAATACCTCTCTACCATCAAAATGGCCGCCAGGAGACTTCCTCTTCAGGCCCTAGCGATGACACAGCAGAAATGAACGAGGAGCTGACGCATGTCATTAGTCATGTGAGCCATGGCAAGTGAGGATGTCATGACTGTACATGTGTGTCATGCAACACGGTTGTGATAATCCTTGCCAGTATATGTGTCTTGTGGAGTGAAATATACGCCATCATGCAAACCTGTGAAATGTGCCTGAGCTTTTGTGTTGTGAATTAAAGTTAAAGATATCATGAAAGTAGAAATAGCAGTGTTCACTGTTAGCAGTTTATCATGCAAGGTTTGAAACTAAGTGACCGGCATTGTATATTATGTGTATTTGATATTTATTTGTCACTTAAGTTTCAAACATTTTACTGCATTCATGGAAGATCATTCTAGGCAGCATATGTGAATGTTTGTTTGAGGCTAGCCTGATAAATGTCTGCCCCACAGCTCAGTCAAATGTAGGCTGAGGATAACACGAGTAAAAGATCTGTTTCCGGTGAACACATTATATGATAACTGATTCTTCTCTGTTGCCATGGTTTCCATTGTTTTAACTGAAGCTCTATTGGCTGAAACATCTTTGCTATTCATGTACAAGTGAATTTATGTACACTTTTCATGTTGCCATTTTACAATGTGAATGATTTCTAGCATTTCCATATCAAAAATAAAATCAAAAGTCAAGAAAAGCTGGGGTATGAACTCTGAACCTTCTAACTGCCAAGCAGTCAACATTTTTAGTCTGGAGAGAGAAGGATATGGAGAGTCTTTGTGTGTAAATATTTTTCTTTGTATGTTTTGAGTAAAGTATACTAAATAAAGTATACTCGCTCGGAGTGGGGTATCAATTACTTATTCATCATATTTTCTTTAGTATATAATCTTATACAACTGTATTAACACATCTTAGGTGCAGCAATGAAACTGTAGGCAGTAGAAGATGTCATGTAGATTGATGGATTGTACAAGGGACTCCATGAGACAATGTCAACTGTATGCACGACCGCCTGTCAGTGGACCACAGATTTCTGTATCTTGCACAAAAAATATCCCTATAAGTGTTATTTATATCAAATATGATTATTGCACATAGTCATTGACAATCATATTTTACTGTAATTGGCTGGTATTGGGTTGGTGACAAGATGTGCAGTGTGTGTTGGTATGGTCATTATTACAAGTGACACTCACAGCCATTAAGTACATTCCTTATATAGATTACAGTTGTTTTGTATTCAGGTAAGCTTTCTTCTTATGTTTCCCCATTTCTGGTGTCCCCTCCCGTGATGTTGCTGGAATATTGCTAAAAGCGGCGTAAAACCAAACTCAGTCAGTCAGTCAGTCTTATGTTTCCAATTGATTAAGGATTGTGGAGCCTGACATGATTATTTACAGGGTATCATACAGTTAGATTATAGCTGGACACTCCATTAAGGGCCAGTGTAATCATTGTGAAGTTTGAAAATAAGAGAGAAGTTTCTGCTCTAGGGACCACACTGTGGATGTAGCCTTATGACATGACTGGACTTTGTTTACAAACAAACACACTTATTCTGAAATCCAAACAGATGTACCTAATGAAGCCTTTCAGTGCACTTTGCATAATTATATGGATATACTACTATACTATTATATGTATATACTACTACACTGTGAGGGGTATATCATCATGGCTTTACACATCAACTTTGATATGCTAGCTGTCTGTAGGGTTTTGATGACAGCATGTGGAGGGGAAATATGCAAATGGAAATAGTTTTTAGTTATTATTGATTCCCTATTTAAACATTACATGATGTGTGACTTCAGAAATGAAACAGATAAACATCGTGGATGTTGGAAGATGTGACAGTAAGTCTGGTGCTGAGTAGAAGAGTAATCGACTTTATAGGATATCGTCTTTTGTAAGTCAACACAAAGATGTCACAAATAAAGGTTAGGATGTGCTCATGATTGCGAAATATGCATCATGTCGGAAAGTGCATGTAAAATCTCCAAATCATCATCATCATCATCATGAGGTCATAACTGATACTGAAGTGGTTAACTGCATGGGATGCCAGTATGATGTGTGGTTTTGTCAAATATTTTCTTACTATAATCTCTACCATGTATACAATTGTTATTAAGCTTGTAGTGGTAGAAATGTGTTGCTGTTTATAGTGCCTTGCATCCATGATTGATACCGATATTGTGCTATTTATGCCATACACAACGTGTAGTCTTTCAACATTCTCCATGCTGGAACTGAAAGTACAACAGGGCCTGTAAGTCTCACGAGGCGCTACTACCAGTACTAAGCTGGTTCTTGGCTCCGTTTGAGCGCACCAACTTGTGATATTTGAGATGGGGCCCAGCTAACTTCAGGTACCAGATTTCCAGTGACAGGCATATATTCAAGAACCAGTTCAGGATCCAAATTGTGTGACCGCTAAATATGACTTCACTAGACCGGAGCAGGTGCAACCATGCTTGGCTGTCACAGCTGTTGACAGTCATCATAGCTGACTAAGTTGGGAATGGTTAGATTGGAAATTTGTTATTCCTGCAAGGATTATCGGTTCGTTACTGTCAACTGACAACCATGAGACCGTTCGAAAAGGTATAAAATGTTTGTCATTGGAAGTACTAAGGTATTGCGAAGTGCCGTGACATACTGTGACAGTATGTGATCTGGCATTTCTATGTCTAGACAGGCAGTGGGGAGCTATGTCACCCAGAAGGGTTTGATTCCTTATATGTGTACTACATGCTCAGCCCATGTTTGGTGTCTTCTGCTATTATACTGCTTATATTGCTTATATTGATTAAGTGGTATAAAACCATACTCAGTCACTCAAAATCTAGATGCTGATGTATATCTGTACTTGAAACTAGATGAGAATTGCCATTTAAATTGTGTCGCATTATATTGCATTACTCAAGGTAGATGTGCCTATTGTTTTATGGTTACATGGTTTTATTCAGCTCTGTTGGATTAGTGTCTTAGGGCTGCCGTGCTCCATTTACAGATGTGATCCGAACAAGTTTATGTGTAGAAAAGACTGATGCACCATTAAGTTTATGAAAATGAAAGAGATCTGGGTCTAGATTTTTTAAGCTCTCTTAGAGCTAAGATAGTCGTAAGTTAATGTTAATGTATGGCACTTACGACTATCTTAGAGCTAAGAGAGCTTCGAAAATCTAGGCCCTGAAGAATAACTTCCACATGTGTAACATAGTGTTTTTCAACTCATCACTTTAATCCCTTAAATCAAAAAACATATCAATTTGTTGTTGCTCAAGGTTAGACCTCACTGACAGAATCCAGGAAATACAACTATGATTCTTGAAACAACTTCTTCAATAATGTATAGAGGACTTGTAATTCACAGTGACATAACCCTTACAATAATACATGTCTTCTGTAAGCTGAGACCATGGTATCATTAGGACCATATGAGATACACGGGTTATAAATCACTGTGAGATAACCCTTACAATAATACATGTCTTCTGTAAGCTGAGACCATGGTATCATTAGGACCATATGAGATACACAGGTTATAAATCACTGTGAGATAACCCTTACAATAATACATGTCTTCTGTAAGCTGAGACCATGGTATCATTAGGACCATATGAGATACACAGGTTATAAATCACTGTGAGATAGTCAGGACACCAGAGTGGAAAGACAAGTGCGTCCTGTCCCACCGATGGCTCCTGTCACAGATACTTATGAAGGCAAGTCAATTGTTCACCTGAAAAAACAACAACAGGAGCATATGGTAAAGTCAAGATAGGGAATTGCAGATGATGATCTCTTGTATAGATTTCTAGCAGATAGTTGCTGCAACTTGATGAAAGTACAAGTGTTCCTTTATTTATTTCCTTTATTTATTTCCAGAATTTCACTCACAGTGCAATACATGCCTTGTGAAGAAACCTGGAAAAGAATAAATGAGCACTTGTATTTTCATGTGTTCCCTTATCCGTTTCTATGTGTGTATCAAGAAATATACCTGTACTTTTGTTATATAATTTGGTCATCTCTGTCTCCTTGTAGTTGGTATTAAAACTACACAGAGGTCATAAACATTTTTTCTTGCAACAGTTTTTGGCAAGTAAAATTGTGGCACTATAAACTGTAGCTGACACATGGCCTCCATATTGAAGATCTACTGTAGCTTCTCCTCTGCTTGTGTTTCAAGTAGAAGGGAAATATTTTGAATAATGGAATTTTTGAATACACAATGTAGACATTATTAATAAAATACATGAAAATAATATTGAAGGTGAGCTAGGGAGTCTACTTTTAGTAGAGCTTTCAACTTTGCACATAATGTACGCCCAATCATCAACGCAATCTATAGTTATTGCTTCATTAGTATTTATTATTGCACTTTTGTGAAATATCCTTTGTTTACTATTTTATACATCATGTTTTTTCCTTATCTCATACTGATGATAGTATGACTGATATTGTCCGAAAGCATCATTTACGATGTTTTTCTCAAACTACTGGTATTCTTAGTTTAGTTTTAGTTATCATATCAATGCAATATGTATTGTGTTTATTAACATTTTGAAGCAAAACGTGTTTTGAAATAGGAAGAAGATTCTTTTCTAGAATGATTTTCAAGAGATTCTTTTTGCTTGTAAAATATTCTACATAGCACACATATGCTTATACATAGTTACTATTTGTTACACGAGAAATATGAAATACCATCGATATCTGTTGGAAAATAAAGATGTAAAATACAAAGCATTTTGGTGTCTTGACCTCCACTTTAGTTGTGAAGAGTTACATCCCTTTGATGGGCCAGAATCCTATGATCATGGCTATGAATCCTAAATTCATCATTATGATTCTTTGAATGTCATCAACTCTCTTGTGTTTGTCGGTTTCATTAAAGAGCTGAATGAGTTCAATTTTACACCGCACTCAGCAATATTCAAGTGCTATGGTGGCGGTCTGTAAATAATCGAATCTTGACCAGACAATCCAGTGATCAACAGCATGAGCATTGATCTATGCAATTGGGATACGGTGACATGTGTCAACCAAGTCAGTGAGCCTTGCCACCCGATCCCGTTAGTTGCCTCTTACGACAAGCATGGGTTACTGAAGATCAATTGTAACCCAGATCTTCATGGGTACATTAAAGAGGTAAACTGTCTGCATTACGCCAGCCATTCTTCCCACATGCTGACACTCTTCACAGTGCCATTAAACTCAACTTGCTCCAAAAGCTGTTCATTTTTATTCTGTTAAAACTGATGCATGAGATATTTTGATACCTGGTTTCTAGTACAAGCTAGTCCTGGCAATAGGACCCTTTCTGTGGTCTTGTGGATAGAATATCTGCCAAGAGAGTGAAAATTCAGTGGTTTTATCCCCTAAATTATCAACTCGTGAAGATCCAGAGATCCAGGTTAGAATTCTTCAGTAACCCATTCTTGTTGTAAGAGGCGACTAATGGGATCTGGTGGTCAGACGCGCTGACTTGGTTGACACATGTCACCGTATCCCAGTTGCGTAGATCGATGCTCATGCTGTTGATCACTGGATTGTCTAGCCCAGACTCGATTATTTACAGACCACCGCCATATAGCTGGAATACTGCTGAGTGCGGTGTTGAACAACCAGCCAACCAACCGAACACATCATACCAAAAGACAACCAACCAACCAAACACATCATACCAAAAGACAACCAACCAACTAAACACATCATACCAAAAGACAACCCAACCAACTAAACACATCATACCAAAAGACAACCAACCAACCAACTAAACACATCATACCAAAAGACAACCAACCAACTAAACACATCATACCAAAAGACAACCAACCAACCAAACACATCATACCAAGACAACCAACCAACTAAACACATCATACCAAAAGACAACCAACCAACTAAACACATCATACCAAAAGACAACCAACCAACCAACTAAACACACCATACCAAAAGACAACCAACCAACTAAACACATCATACCAAAAGACAACCAACCAAACAAACAAATCATACCAAAAAACAACCAACCACCTGAATACACCAAAAGACAACCAACCAACTAAACACATCATACCAAAAGACAACCAACCAACCAACTAAACACATCATACCAAAAGACAACCAACTAAACACATCATACCAAAAGACAACCAACCAACCAACTAAACACATCATACCAAAAGACAACCAACCAACCAACTAAACACATCATACCAAAGACAACCAACCAACTAAACACATCATGCAAAGACAACCAACCAACTAAAACATCATGCCAAAAGACAACCAACCAACTAAACACATCATACCAAAAGACAACCAACCAACCAACTAAACACATCATACCAAAAGACAACCAACCAACTAAACACATCATACCAAAAGACAACCAACCAACTGAACACATCATACCAAAAGACAACCAACCAACCAACTAAACACATCATACCAAAAGACAACCAACCAACTAAACACATCATACCAAAAGACAACCAACCAACTAAACACATCATACCAAAAGACAACCAACCAACTAAACACATCATACCAAAAGACAACCAACCAACTAAACACATCATACCAAAGACAACTAAACACATCATACCAAAGACAACCAAGACAAACACATCATACCAAAAGACAACCAACCACCTAAACACATCATACCAAAAGACAACCAACCAACCAAACACATCATACCAAAAGACAACCAACCAACTAAACACATCATACCAAAAGACAACCAACCAACTAAACACATCATACCAAAGACAACCAACCAACTAAACACATCATACCAAAAGACAACCAACCAACCAAACATCATACCAAAAGACAACCAACCAACTAAACACATCATACCAAAAGACAACCAACCAACTGAACACATCATACCAAAAGACAACCAACCAACTAAACACATCATACCAAAAGACAACCAACCAACTAAACACATCATACCAAAAGACAACCAACCAACCAAACACATCATACCAAAGACAACAACCAACCAACTAAACACATCATACCAAAAGACAACCAACCAACTAAACACATCATACCAAAAGACAACCAACCAACTAAACACATCATACCAAAAGACAACCCTAAAACATCATACCAAAAGACAACCAACCAACCAAAACACATCATACCAAAACAACCAACCAACCAAACACATCATACCAAAAGACAACCAACCAACTAAACACATCATACCAAAAGACAACCAACCAACTAAACACATCATACCAAAAGACAACCAACCAACTAAACACATCATACCAAAAGACAACCAACCAACTAAACACATCATACCAAAAGACTTCAAAAGATCACACTTCATGTTTAAATGCTTGGCACTTTGCATTAAGGGGATAAAACCAGGATTGTTCAGATCACTGTCAAGAGTGAATGTTGTTGTATCCCATCATCTACAGTTTATCTAAGTTGTTTGTTAGCCAAAGTTTCAGTTATTAAACTGGCACTGTAGAAATAATGAGGACAAGAAGTTGAAAGCAGTAGCAATGATGAAAGCACTATCAAGGTCCTGCAAGTACTGGGATGCATTTAGTACTGGAGTCTTCACTGGGTTGGTGGGTGAGTTTGGACATATTTAACGTCATAGTGGACTGTAACTAACAGAGTCTGGGCCTACAATTGACTCAGAACATGACAGCATGAAGTTTAATCAATACGCCACACCATCAAGAAACAGTTCAAATCAGCAATGTCACAGTGTTTAACCTCCAGACCTTCAATAAAGTACAGTGTATCACCATTGTGACCTGGAATACCATCAGGATAAGACCAGTGTACCAAACAGGACTGTCTCCGGTGATTCATTGATAAAATACAGCTAGTGTCACAAGAACATGTACAGCTTCAGTAATTAGACTGTGCAGCAGTTCCGTGATGCAAGAACACAACCCACCAGAGATCTGAGTATTGATTAACACTTTACCGGCAGCTTTATGCAGCTATTGACACCAGTAATTAACAGGAAGAAAGGTAAAATAACACTTTTAGGGCCTGATAAAGTAGACTGAAAGGGTTCTGAGGGGTTCCAGTGGTTGTATTATCATCTGATTCAGCCAAACCAAAGCCATTAACATTGACTGAAAAGAACATCATTAATATCTAGGTCTGAACTGACTACCTGTGGAGATCCAGGTCAGAATTGGTCTTCAGCAACCCATGCTTGTCATAAAAGGTGACTAACGGATTAAGTGGTCAGTCTTGCTGGCTTGGTTGACTCATGTTATCGTATCCCAATTGCATAGATCCATGCTCATGCTGTCGATCACTGGATTGTCTGGTCCAGACTTGATTATTTACAGTCAGCCACAAAATAGCTGGAATATTGCTGAGTGCGACATCAAGCAACTAACTGATTATAAAATGATGATAGGATTTACAGGTTCTACAATGATCCATTGAACAAACTTTTGTGGTTTGATTCAATAACTCTTGAAAGAATGGAAACCATAGACTTATTTAATTGAAGCATGTTACATCATTGTTGATTATAATTTTTTACTTATGTATCAATTATTGCATCTTTGGAAAATTGGCATCATAAATTTGTTTGACGAAAGATAAGAAATGATTAAGCAGCCCTGAAAGACTTGTGAACAGAATATGTCAATCTGTATTACTGTACTTTCAATTTATTTTTTTTGCAGCTCCTGGCAGAGATTAAGGGTCAAAGTTTTTGTTGATTGTTTAACACTGACACAGACCAGACAATCCAGTGAATGATAAAGGTCAAGGTAATATAATCAGATGTGCATCTACATTTTTCACTTGGGTACAGGCATAGTGATTTCTTGCCCCAGTTGAACTGCCTAGTGAATGTTTCCTCCAAACAGGAAGCATTGTTATTAAACTGGAACTTCTCTCTGTTTGTGTTTAGGGTAATTTGAGACACGCCCCTGCATCAGACAAGGAATCCATACTGAATACTGATACATAGTGATGTCAGTTATCACCTGAGTGGTTCTATGTTTCTGGTGGGATGGTTTGGCTGTGTTCAGGTAAAGGTGAAAACCGGCCACTACACCCTTTCAGTTAAACCCCAAAAAGGAAAAAGACAGCAAAGCATCAATACCGAGTCCAAAAGCACTTTATTATTACAATAATTAGAGGTGAAAAATAAACCTTGTAATTATCACATTTTTCATTAAATCAAATTACATAATTAACAAAAATAATTTTAATATTTATGTAGGCTGTACATTTTTCATTCTTCTTTAAACATATCTGAGATTATTGATTAAGAAACTAATCTAATGGATGATATAAAGATACCACATATCCTCTGCAGCAACCTCTCCATGTAAGGCTGATGTCAACTTACCTAACACAGGTCCAGTGCTGGGTGTAATGATGTGTACTTACAGCAGTTCTTACTTCTTCACCTATCAAGTAATACCATTGCTAAACGTGTAACAAAACTAATGACCTTACATTTAAATCCTTGATATTGCATCTGTGATAACAGTGAGTGAGTATGATTTTATGCCATTTTTAGCAATATTCCAACAATATTATGGCGGGGGACACCAGAAATGGGCTTCACACATTTTACCCATGTAGGGAATCGAACCTGGGTCTTCAGCGTGATGAGCAGATGCTTTAACCATCAGGCTACCCCAATACTCCTATCTCTGATAATAAGTGACATTTAGAGAATTGACAATGGGGCATTTCAAACCATAAACAGTGAGTTAAATTTGTTGCCATAGATTGAGCTCTTTTAAACAAACTAAGTTCAAATGTCAATAAAACAAAAACTGATTGAAGAAGAGCCGTAAGGCAGTTGTTTGCTCTTCTAAGCTGTCTTACTTTCTACTCAGCTGTAATTTACATGAAAATAGAGACTTATATGATATGTAAATTTTTAGTCTTACTGGATGGTCAATTATTAGGGTTACTTACAGATTGGTTTTGAGGTTGGACAGGGGTGGTTATTGTGGCAAATACTGTAATCTGTGAAGCTGGAAACAACATGGGCGGGAAGTATTCCTAGTTAACTGTTCGACAATTCTTTCACAAGTTCTAAGGACAGAAGCATCTGTGATTAATACCTCAGCAGTTGAGGACAGCTACTCCTTCACAACAAACAACAACAATGTATGTGTCAAGGTGACACATTGAGGTATGTACACAGAGCATCTACTACAAGTATACTGCAGCACATTCTGTCATCCTGTTGTATTTAGGATGCCTACTGTTCTAAACGCTGAAGTCCTTGCATGTTTATTCAGCAGTATACAAGGTTGAGGAACAAGGTCCAGGGTAGAATGCCACGTTCAGATTGGTCTATTGACTACATTGAAAGTATATGAGAAATACAATCATTAGACAAAAGGAATGCGTCCTTGTGATTTTGAGAATAAAACTTTCTTCTATGACATAAAAAAAAATGTTGAATCATTGGTAAAATTTTCATAACATATAATATATAATACATAACCATAAAATATTTAGCTGATAAAACAACATTTGTGATGAATAACAAGATTGCATTTGGATATCTTATCAAATGACAATAAAATTGGTTACATATACAATAGAAATAATTGTTGAATTGATTAAGATTGGTTTGGAAAGGTTGTACATCGCAGATTACTCATTTCTATTCTTCATAGAAAAAACTGACAGAGATTAGATTGTAAATGTCCTACATATGACATACCATATTCAATGTAATAATCTCCCTGTGCTTTAATAACACTGACAAGTGAGCGCAAGTTACAAACATACACAAGTTGAATGTGTTTCGGTGAACAAACCTAGTCAAAATATTAATGAAAACAACAATGTTTGGTTAATAGTTACAAGTTAATTATATACCCCTGCACTGCTGCTACTCAGTAACTTATATTAACATGCTGACCTGTATAGTCTTTATACGGGGAGATTATGTCTACAGATTTGTGCGTATTGGGGCAGGGCACTTAATGCAGTGAATATGGAAAACCTTGAAGTTATGCACAGTCCTTTGAATGAAAATATATTACATATTAGCACTGAATAACATATTTTGTATCGATGCAAAGTTACATGTGTGCAGAAAAGAATCTATTTACCTTCACCATAACATGAAGCATGGATTGCTCTGCTCTACACATTAGCAATGATTCCCCAGTTATCAAAGTGTTGCTAACTAACAAAGTATTATACAAACTCCTTCCGGAATCCACAATAGTAGGCCAAACAACTGAAAGTTTCATTTCAAAGCCAACTACCTTTGTGTTGGACTGGGAAACAAAGCAACTAACTAAATCTAAAGTTTTCCTCAAGATCCCTACCGGTTGTATTTGGTCAGGAAGAAGAACAAACATTAGAAAAATGAGTAAGATACATATGTACCTATATGTAAGACACAGATCTATGATAGGACATGGTAGGTAGAGAGATTTCCAGGAAGAAGCAGCATCTTCCTAAGGGGAACATGATTCTAACTCCTTTGGTTATATACTTGGCTCAAATCGAAAGTTCTTTTTTGCAAATATTTTCATATTTTTGTTGATATCCTAATAATTGTTCCTTTACACCTTGTGCAGGTATTATATTTGGCATAACATCCTAGTAGCATGTTACCAGGATATCCCAAGTATGTCTTACACACCAAACATATCCAGTAATTATAAACAATTGTCTTCACCAGTTAGTGGCTGGTAAAATATAAATGTCATAATGACACGATAACTCCTGCAGTTATATATACAGCTGTTTCAGGATATAGGCAGTTATTCAAAAATAAATATTAATAAATATTTAACAAACCAAAAGAAAATGATATATGGGTTTAACTTTAACCCTATGTCAATATAGACGACCATTTAGCTCCCTGCTCCTCATCTTATAATTTAGGTCATCTCATGTACAGACTCAAGTCGATGTTGCTGACGGTCTTCATGTGTAACAATAGTTACAGTTGTTCATGTAACAACATCTGTCTTATAAAGGAGTTGTCACACTTTTCACATCTTCTGTAGATAGAATCTCTTGTCATCAGTTAACATTACAATGCCACTGGTCCCACATAAACAAAAACACACACACAGGTAAATGTTTGTCATATAAGGTTCAGAATCAACAAAACAACAAAATCTGTTTAAAATTGTCTTGAATTCTAATGCTGTGAGAGGTTTTAAATTTGGCAGCATCAACCCCTCAGAGCACTAAATTCTGCAAAAAACACAGTTGACTGGAAGACTTCATAATACTGTCAGTTCAAAGTGGAGATTTCAAATCTTGTACGGCAGCTTCAGATCATGAGAGACTCCAACTTTTTCCCATTGCACAGTCATGTATAAATCACTTTGATTTGTCCTTCCCACTAAAGTCTGTGGTGGCAAGACTTGAACCTGAGAACACCTGGATGGAATACAATAATCACCTTACCTACAACCAGTAGGTGTGTCACAGTCCATATTCCTTCTATAGCATGCACCATCTTTATCAAGGAACTCCTGTTTCCATAGAAACATGTGCCATCTGTCCAAGAACCATCTTCTTTCAGCATCCATATTGTTGAACACCATCATGATGTATCATGAACTTTAACATTCCCCACACACATTGGCATTTTAAGACCTTTTCTGATCAGCAGATTTTGAGAGTGATCTTTCTGGATTTTAATAACCATCACTTTACTTCCATACTGTTATGGCGAGACCATAAGAGGACAACAGAGGCTTCACAAACTGTTCCTTGGAGCAGAGCCAAGTTGCATGACAAACAAAAGCTGACCTTTGTAGTACGCCATGGTTCAAGTATAACCAGGTAGTGATGACAACTTGTCGAGCTTTGTCAAGCCTTTATTCTGATCTGTCAATCCTTTGTCCCACCTCTGTCCTGTCTGTGGAAGTAATCATGCCAATATTTATCCCTCTGCACATTGGATGTCTGGCCACTCGGACTTCGGAGTCAGTTTTCATTGAGCATCTTGGTTACATCTGTACTACTGGTCTAACTGTGGAAGCAGCTACATCTAGTCTTCTAGTCTACACCATCCTCAGACGTCTAGTTCTTGGAGATGTTTCCTTCTTCATACAGTTTGTACACCAACTGTAACAAAAATATTTATCATGTTTTCTGGGTAATAATGACTTTTGCAAAAAGATATTGGTTTGAGAAACTGAATGTTGATTTCCATGGGCTAGCACTACAAAATGTTTTTTGTCTGGACTGGTAAAAGCAGCCATGCAAACACACACCTGCATGTGATGTTAACCTCCATTTCACCTCATCTTTTATGGTTCAGAGAAAATGTCATGAAAAGCTATCAATTTTGAAATCTCACATAGAGTGCAAGAGTTAAAAGTTTGTCTTTGCTTCTAAATGATAATTTGTCTGATCATGACAAGGTTTATTTTCATCAGACATTCAAGATATCTTTTTCTGCAAGTTAACATGTGGAACCCATTCTTACACTCTTGAACTTGGTGCTGAGGCCTTCTATAAACTGCTCCCGGGCTTTTGCCAGTGGGTACGAGAGTGGCCATCGGTCGGCCAGGCCTCTCCCTGGAGTATTGCTCCTTCAGTCCGTTAGGGATGTAGTCCATGTTGATCTCAACCTGTAGTGTACAGTTCAACTGTAGCAAATTTCTACTTATTTCCATGTTAGCTTTAATTAACTTTACCAACCTAACAAGGTAGTACCACTTCTGATATACACAATATGACCTTTGGCCAAGCTGATTTCTTATATAAATATGAATATATGGAACGAATAACTTATTATCCCTATTGAAATGTGAGTAGTATATATAATATATCAAAATAATCACAAAAGCAAACAATTTACACAAAAACATGAACATAATATGCAAAATACTTTAAAAGTAAGAGGGTTCAAAGGGATTTTGATTTAACCACATTTCAAGATTCAACTTGGGAAAGATTCCTTAGACATGATTTGTGTTCAAGAAAAGTGCAATGTTTGGATGTCAGTGAAGATGGAACCATACAGCAATCTAGATATTACAGGCTTGGCATTAAATCATTGCAGGACTGTATGATATTCTACCAACAACTGACCAGTTTGTTAGTGGGGATGTCAGTGATCAGCTCATCTTCTCTTCTTCCGTCACTGACTCGCACAAATACGGATGCTCCTTCTATCAACTTGATCTGAAATTAAGATAGGCTACTGCATTTCCAATAGACATCTTGTGGCTAGTCAAAATCTGTTTCTAGTTGTATGGTGCAATTGTAAACATTGTGCATGATCTAGTCCTGTTCTCTGTAGTTATCAATTTATTCCATCATTTACATAGAACTTCTAATTGGTAATATTTCATCACTGACCATATTGGCCTGTACTTACAGATCTGTTTATTAAAACCTTCCCTTCCCATGCCTGTATTGTTCCTGGTACTAGAACCTTCCCTTCCCATGCCTGTATTGTTCCTGGTACTAGAACCTTCCCTTCCCATGCCTGTATTGTTCCTGGTACTAGAACCTTTCCTTCCCATGCCTGTATTGTTCCTGGTACTAGAACCTTCCCTTCCCATGCCTGTATTGTTCCTGGTACTAGAACCTTCCCTTCCCATGCCTGTATTGTTCCTGGTACTCACAGTATTGTTCCTGATGTTCCTCTCAAGCCACTCCCGACACGGCTCTCGAGCCATCTGTTTGAGCATCTGTGGTGAGGGTGAGCCAGCAAACAGCGGCAGCTGGAATGTCGTGGTGTAGGCGTACTTGTCCTTGAACATTTGTACTGCTGTCCATGCCTACAACACAGGATAAAAGTTGCAATAAACAGTTATCAGAGAATAAGTTTTGCTGAAGATTGTAAAGACTTACTGGAGGGGAATGTCTGTATTAACAATGGTTGCAAAGAGTCGAAGACATACATGAGGATAATGTTTGTAAAAACCTACTTCGGCGGATTCAAGTCATATACAAGTGTTTGCCACTGATATGGCAATGTCCCCCAGAATGGAATATCTATATTTACTACCGGTACTTTAAATTTTTTGGTCACATACAAGATGCCTGAAAAGACTTGTATCTGCATAATCACCCAATGTAGGCTGTCAACATAATTGAAAACATTGGGTGCAATGTTTTATGAGATATCGCGTTAAAATAAGTTTGAAAAGTGGTCAAAGTGTCGTGGTGACCTTGAAGATAAGGTCAAGGTCACCCAAATAAACTGGTGTCTGGGTAATCCCCTAGTGTAGGCTGTCACCAAATTTGAAGACATTGGGTACAACAGTTCATGAGATATCTCGTTAACAAAAGAGTTTAAAAGTGGTCTAAGTGTCGTGGTGACCTTGAAAATAAGGTCAAGGTCACCCAAACCGACTGGTGTCTGCGTAATCTCCAAATGTACACTGTAACCAAATTTGAAGACATTGTGTACAACAGTTCATGGGATATCGCGTTAACAAGAATCGGGACGTACAGACGCCACTGAATACATACCGGTAGTCACCCGTTCCAGAGGGGCACAATAAAGACCCTCTACAGTGGAGGAACAGGTTGAATATAAATATAGATATAGATATAAATATAAATATAAGAGGTGACTTAGACTGGACCTCTGGAACCAACAGGAGGTTACCACCTTGACTTGGCCTGTACTGACCTGTTCTAGTAGGCCATACTTGTAGTTTTCCCGGGAGACGGTGACAAACACCTCCTGCAGGTGGATCACGGCAGTCAGGAACCGATGGTACGAGCGCCGTGGGAAGTGCTGAATACAGAATAAGCCTTAATACAGTGCATCTAGTATTACTGTAAACAGGGTCTTATATATTGTTTTCAATAGACCTAAGTATCGTCACTGAATTTGTATTATAACTGTGACCACAATCACAATTATAATAACCTGGTACAGAGAACAGGAACTTCATAATAATAATAAGAAGAACAATTCCACTCTTAATGCAGTATATCCCAACCACTAAATGAATGCTCATGGTGCTCGAAATCATATTTCCCCTGTCAGTGGAATCATCTGTACTAAATCTTCATTCACATTGGGGAATATACAACACAAGCTGCCTGTGAATCGCTAGAAGGGTAACAGTCACACAACCATTTCATTTCCAGGGCAAATATACAGTTGGGTGATGAGAGTCATGTTTGAACACAGTCATTTGGCTGAAGAGACACCACATATAGAGTTTCAGTGTGAGACAGGACTAAAGTGCTGGAAACTCACAGGACTCAAGCTGTCAAATACAGTCACCCATCCATCTGCTCTCTGCAACTAATGTTGCTGAACATTTGGCTCATATTGTGACCTCTGCCCTGAAGACATCATCACATGCATCATACCATAATGAATACTGATTGAACAGAGTGAGATGATGGTTTATACTGACCTTGAACCCATCTCTCCAGGCAGGTGATGTGTTGGTGCTACGAAGGTCAAGGTTTTCTGTGAATGTCAACTTGTCATAGGTGGCATGTGGTGTTCCCTGGAACATTGAATGTAGGAAATGGGGTTAGACGAGAAAAAATACAGGTGCTGGCTTGGAATTTTATATATTTTCTTTATCCACAGCAATGGAAATCAGCCTGATTGAAATATGCCAATATATTAGAAACACACTTTGGATAACCCTACATTTAATGTATTCTGACACAGGTTATCCTCTATGCCAACATTTATTATTGTCAGTGGAGTTTTGCAATAAAATTATACTTTACATACTCAGAACTTTCATAATAATTAATAATGATTTCCAATTTTTTTTTTTTCATATTTCTATATTTGTGCTGATCCTGTCAATGAAAACAAGAAAAAAAACCTTTCCTTATCATTGCCAGTCCTATGAAGAAGTCAATTACAATGTCTGACACAGTTGGACTACAAAGGGCGCCAGGTCGGGGACTGTCATCCTACTCACCAAATAGAAGGCTCCCGGTGGGTTGAGACACATGTGACAGTGGGTAAAGTTGGACCATGGCAGATTGACGGCACTGTCTAAAGACACCTGTACAACACACAATGATGGCTATCTTACTGATGTATCAAATTTGGAGGTAAGTCAAATGGTTCCGACTGTTTTGAAACATTTCCAGAAGCAAGATTTCCAATGGTATCTGCAAGGTATTTAATTTTGTAGTTCTTGATAAATGTATAGATCCTACTATTTCACAATCCATATCTGCTTATGAAGCATAAATAACTCATAATATAACTCAACAGTAATATCATACTGTACAGATAATCTATAGGCCCAAATGAGATGTGTTAATGTAAGGCATTAATTTGATAACACAAATCTGTAGCAAGAGTCTTAGACAAAGAAAAGTAGACAAGAGCCTTACCTTGACACCATGCTTGGGGCTGTACTCAGCGATGAAGTTGAGGTCCTGCTCTAGGGGCTTGGTGTCCATGGACTTGGTCAGCTGATTCTGTAACACACAACACACAGGTGAACATATTGAGGGCTGAACAAACATCAGTCAGTGAGGCACCATATTCCCTGTTTGGACATCTTCCTTAGATGTGGCACAATTTATCAGAACTTGGTCGCCTTATTTTATGAATACTAGGCTCCTAATCTCAACAATGAATTCTTCGAATAGTTACTTTTGATTTTTCCTTATGATCTTTGAAAAGTGAATTGCCAACCACAACAAATTCCAGTGATATCCATTACAGGTCACTCTGGGCTAGTTTAATGCTGCCCTCAGCAATATTCCAGCGGCGGCGGCGGTCTGTAACTAATCGAGTCTGGACCAGACAATCCAGTGATCAACAGCATGAGTATCAGTATCAACCTACGCAATTGGGATACAATGACATGTGTCACCCATGTCAGCAAGCCTGACCATGATCCCGTTAGTCGCCTCTTACAACAAGCATGGGTTGCTGAAGACCAATTTTAACCCGGATCTTCACGGCCACTCTGGGCTAGTGGTTGACACCCTGATGGTGACTGGTCAGCTGACCGAGTGTATCCTCACCCTGATGTACTGCTCCATGTTCTTGTCGCTGCGGAGGAAGCTGTCCTTGGCCTGGGTGTTCCTGGCCACAGCCTGCCTCACAGGGATGGGTGTCCTCTTCATCAACCCATGGAACAGTTTGCTCTCGCCCTTTGTGGGCAGACACTTCATGGAATAGTAGATGCGGTCGGAGTACTTCGGCCGTGGTTGCCACAGGCCCAACCTCAGCCAGTCTGCTTGAGGCACTTTGCTGCACTGCAAAAAGTGTGTTGTAAAGAATGGATTACTGTAGTGTATACCATGCCCGACTGTGTTATTTTTATTCCTTTTCCTTTGAATGAAATATTATTTCATCAGTTTAAATGTTTGATTTACTCCATGTTGAAAGTACAAGCAGGATCATTGGTATCACTACAAAATCTAAATGGGCAATAGTTTTCACAGTAATTTTCATCATATTGTCCATCCAGAGCAAGAACTCTATTTCAGAAACATACTATTCAATATTCTGTTGTCACTGCATGAAACCAATAAGAGACAGCAAAACAATTTAATCATTTAGGAACTTGTATTCAGCATGTTGAAATAACAATCATATTTCTATTAAAGCCTAAGGCAACATTATTTTTTTGCAAGAATTTTCTTGGACAAATTATTCAAAAATGTAATCTAGTGCCTCCTGCCAGAATATCAACAGGTCAATGAAATATTCTGTGGTAAGTCCTTTACCTCTAGTGGTTTTCCCTGAGGGCCTTTGGGTACCTTGGTGATGCGGATCAGCATGGAGGCACAAGGCACAAACCTGGTGTTGTTGGTCCTCATTGAGGCGTCAGAGAACGGGTCCACACCGTTAGGTCCCTGGTTGTAGATCCTCAGCTGATGGGCGCCTGTGTTGAGGGACACCTGCAGCCACAGACGTATGTTAAGCTACAACACTGATTCTAAAACCAATGAATGAATGGGTGAGTTTATGTCATTTGTTGTAGTCAGCTATATCTAAGTCACTGGACAAACAAAACTGAAAAACATGTCCACAACTGGTAAACCACTGGCAAAAGGTTTGACATGATTCTCTCTATCTATATCTTGATATTCATGTTTTGGTTACAACATCATTCCACTACGTTCCCCTTTCCAATACGCTGTACAACACTCAAGACAATATATATCAATGGAAAGAGTGATGGATCATCAGTCTTCATTTTGCAAATTCATTTCCATTCAGAGGCTTACACATTGCTCCCTAAATAAAAAATGACTCCTTGTAAAAACAAACAGAACTTCGTCATTCTTGAATCCTGTAAGGCCCAATAGATCCAGAGCCTGCCTGTAAGCCAATACAGTTAGGTTGGCCTGGGTGCCGAAGTGTAAATCCTGAAAGCCTGTACAATAAGATATATCAGGTGAAAGTCGTACCTGTAAGCCTTGTCTGTCTATAGCTGGTTGTCTCTCTGACCCAGACTCCACAAACAGGTTGAGTGTAGCATACCCGACCACAGTCAGCTTCTTGTAGAACTTGTCCATGGTGTATACCTGGAACAAGACATTCAAGTTATAAAGTTGTATAAACTACAAGCGGTCCGTTTGAGTTCGTTATAATGCCACAGTTTAACGTGGAGACTCAACTAAAGCGAGTGAGTGAGTTAAGTTTTACGCTGCTTTTAGCAATATTCCAGCAATACCACAGCGGGGGGACACCAGAAATGGGCTTCACACTTTGTACCCATGTGATGAATCAAGCCCGGGTCTTCGGTGTGATGAGTGAACGCTTTAACCACTAGGCTACCCCACTGACCCACTCAAACACATCATGCTCTGACCAGGCCTTGTTTTAGGTAAGTACCAGGTAAGGTAACAGTGACAGCCATCTATTAACATCTTTAGTTATGATCTGACCAGAGAATCTGAGGCAAACCTCTGTTCTCTAAGCAGACACTCTATTCACAGAGGTGATCTACATAGTGATGAAAACCCATTATTCAACATTAAGGGAGGTCTTCTGTTATAGTATTTGAAATGTAGGACCCTCGAAAATCTTTATAGTTTTAACATAAGCCTTACTGTTCATGTTCTAACAAATTTATGTGACATTCATGGATATCCTGGGATCAAACAAAATGAATAGAAAACCAATCTCCCCACCAAAATGACATTCTATTATTTCATATAGCTTTTTAGGGAGTAAACCTTCTGTGTTTGAAAATTAGAATAATGCTAACCTGAAGTGATAGTATCTAATTTTATTTGAAACCAAACGTATGTGATCCATGTTTGTCATCAAATGGAAGTAGAGCAACAATGTTGTCATAAGTATAAAAGTGCAGAGAAGCAGTCATAAAATCAGACATATTGTTTGTTTATGCCTAACTTACTGTGATTTTACTGACTGTCCAATCAAATCTGTGCATTTCATGAAGTCATGGAGTATAACAAATTATATATAACAAATGGACAAATAAATCTGCTTAACTCATGAATCTTAGTGATTGTTGAAAGTGGCTCCACTGTGAGACCTCATCTCTGTGTATATTATTTAAGAAATACAGTTCGCTCTACCACCATGTAAAGTGTAATAAACCACACTTTCGCCCTGAACTATTATAGTTAAAGCACGAGGACGTAAACCATATGGGGCAATATGAACGTCCCATTTCTACTAGCAAAGTAAGTTTAGATCAGTACATTCAAATGAAGCTGAGTAGTCAAGCGACATTCCATGATTGCATTGTGGGAATGTAAACATTGCGTAACGTTACCGTGTCACTGAGAACTTGTGAGTCGAATTGAGACATTTAAAACGTCGGAAAACATAAACGAATGTTTCCACCAGTGACGCGTTAGCTGCGTGAAGCAACTGCAAACCAAGAAACGGGATGCAACGGAGTCGTTTACTGTAGGAGGCTGTACGAGGTGATGGCAACAGACATGCATCGTGACGTCGCGTTACATTGTGACGTAATGCAAAATTGTTCGATTACGAGGGGCGGACTAGTTCTACGTGTGACTGTAAGCTCCATGTAGTGTTACCTTGAGCAGCAGTGTTGAGGATGGTGCGACAGTAGGCAGCCTGTACTCCTCCTTGTGTTCATACACTGGGTTGTAGCTGTCGCTGTCCAGCTTGACCCCTGTCGAGATGTCCTTGCCGTGTACGTCGTAGCGGCGGTCCAGAATACGCCCGGCAACCTGGCAACATACATGCATCTTGTAGGGTACATCACACTTCATCAGCTAGTCAGAACCAAAGGGGTCATTCAAAATTTTAGTCACAAAATTCAAGAGCTTTTTTTTACTCCCCAAAATTCAAGACCCAGCAAATAACTTGGCTAAAATCTCATCCATCTTGACATAACAAACACAATCCTGTTATTTGCAAATCAAAATATGGCGTGCTTCTGATTTGTATTCCTTTTGCTATGGATTAATTACTGACTCCTTAAAGCATGTAGCAGATATCAAACAGTGACACAAATTTAAGTTATTTCAAATTTTAGTTTAGTATAATTTTTGTTGAAACAGATTATACTTGATTAATTTCTCATTTTGAGTGGTTTAATTTCTGACCTTAGAAAATGTGACAGAGTCTGGCAGGTAGCGACAGCCATCAATGTAGATATCGAAGCCATCTCCAGCCAAGAAGGGTTCCGGTGAGTGGGTTCTTCCTCTCATAGGGCAGCCAGGCATACTGAGGACACATAACAACATACACTGAATGCTGTTTTATGTTACGAGTCACGAGAAATTCTTAGTAATGTCTGGGTCAGATGAACGAGAGCCTGCACAAAATCAATGTTTTGTACAATTACACACAATCAGTCTGGTCACCAAGACCAGTCAAAGAAAAAACATAATGTTACTCCACACTTCTGTTTTCATTAAGAAGAAAAAAAAGTTCAACCTCCATCCTCAGTTCGCCACCATGGGCACAGCGCCTAGACACCTAGTGAGGAAAACAAACTCATCTCTGGTGGTCATTAGCTAATCTGAAATGCAAAATCCTACCTCTGGCAAATTGTCCTCTTGATCATCAGAAACGTCGCTAGGTGTCAGTGAGCCTGGTCGTGGGTTGCCATGGAAAATATGCAGTCGCAAAGATCCTCGGCCATACCTTTTATATTCATGTAAACTGAAGTCTTCCAGAGGAAGGCGAGTTGCCTCTGGTACTGGCGGGGTGAAGAGTTTGAGTGTGTGTGTGCCGTTGTTTATCCTCATGATAGCAGGATTAAACTCTCGGCGTTCTCGAGACGAGAGATCTGGAATTGCAGGAAAGAGTGGGACACATTATTAGTATCTCAAAAAGAAGCAAGATCTAAGGGAGATAACTTGAATGAGTACTATAGTTATTTCCCTTGTGTAAAAGAAATGGGAATGTGTTTTGAGCCACTCTTAACAATATAACTGCATGACTAAGGCAGCATACACACAAGAGGGAACTGAACCCAGTCTTGTGGTGTGATGAGCAAGATCTTTACCCACTACGCTATCTCCCCCTCAGTGAAAAACAAATGTCAGATGCAGTCTATAACATACAGAAAAGGGTCCATATTAATGTACACAGGTATAGATTTTTACAAAAGCAGTAAAATTCACAACCTCGGTTCAATTAGTTTTGCCTTTTGAGAATGTCAGCCCTACACATCAATGCCTCAAGTGTCTCCCTTAAAGATTTCATACACCTTAAGCCTAAACCATGTGACCAGACTGGTGACTTATCATTCTCTCCATTTTTGTAATGTCCAAAAGAAATGTAGTGGAGATCAGGGATGGCTGGCAGGGTTTTTAGCACATGAGTCAGGATAAGTATAAAATAATATTTTTACTCTAAAAAATGCCCATTTCCCTGACCTTTACAACAGGGATAACCCACAAACTAAAACTCTACAATTGTTTCAGGATTTATGACCCGTATGAACCCTGTGCTCACCTCTGATGTGGGAGATGACCAATGGGATCGCAGTCCATGCAATAAGAGCTTCCTCGTCATACAGAGATGCCTCCTGGGAGTGAGGCTCAAGGTAAAGGTCATCCACATGACCTCCAAGTTTCTTGCGTAGATAAAATCGAACGATAAGAATCATGTCCCCCTGGAATGCTACATCGTTGAATGTTGCTTCCTGCTGACCAAACACGTGGTAGCCGTACTTGAAGTTAGAGCGTACAGCTGTCGTACTACAGGTCACAGGACTAGTGCTGGATTGTACAACCTGGAGGAAAAGTAGCGCAGTGACTGAGTGAGTTCTAAAAACTAGACACAAATTAGGGCTTAAAACTGCAATCGATTGAGTTATACAGTCAATATTGTTTAACACCAAAGTGTGTCACTGCAGCTGATCGACATGGGTTTATGATAATGTAGTAATGCTGAAATCAGTGACTGAGTGAGTTGGGTCCATTTAAGCAAAATCTTAGCCTAACCATCAATTTATTGCAGGTAGAAGGCCTCTGTGTATACCATGATGTGTGGGTGAGGAGTTGACTATATATAGATCATGTCCATGAAGGCAACACGTTGATCTGAGTTTGGGTAAGATGACATACCAATACAGCCTGATCTGTGCTATCTTTTCTCACCGAATACCCATTATAATTACCAACAAGCAATAATCAGGTACTTTTAAATTCTACTCAGATATCAATTACAGCAAGTGAATGAGATCTGACAATACTATTTCAAATACTGTTTCTCTAAAGTGATGAGCAAACACTTTAACCAGAAGGCTACACACTCAGTCACAGACTAAGTAAAACATTCAATGCCACATAAGGAAGTTAAAGAGGTATATGTTCTTTCAACCTTATACAATTTCTTTCTTTTGACATTGCTTGATGTTTAAATCACTTATTCAGTTTAATCAAGTTATGTCATATTCATGTTGAGTGAGTGAGTGAGTTTAGTTTTACGCCGCTTTTAGCAATATTCCAGCTATATGACGGCGGGTATTCATGTTGAGGAAAAGCCCAAGGTAACACAGATCACAGACACACATGTACTGCCAACAGAGACACAAATCAGCAGATTCTGGCACTGTCAAGAGAGACAACTCTTGATGGAGGTTGAGCCAACTGACATCCTGTTTTCTCTTAGTGACACTGTGAAATGTCAGTGACAGAAGAACATAATTTGTATATATTGGACATGACCTTGACTTACCTTCCCAGTACCCTTGTAGTAGGCGGTCAGTCTGACCTTGCCCTCCCCGGAGTCCGCATGCTTGATACGGTCCACCTGGAACCCGAGGGTGGGCTCCAGGGGCGTGCCCCCTGATCTAATAGGCGGAAAGATCTCCTGCTGTCGGCTGCTGCAACACACACACATGTACTGATAGAGAGACAACTATGGGAAGTAACATATGTTATATTTGGGATTACACTTTCTTAGTAAAGTACAGATTCTAGTACTTTTTGGGTGAGTCCCATCCGGCCGTGGGAGCTGTGCCAATTAACATTTGTCAGAGGGGTACACAAAGTCCGCAGTCTAGGCTACCAGTTGTCCAACTTCCATCTTGTGGAAGCCGCGGTGGCTGAGCGATCTAGGCATCTGACTTTGTGTGCTGGCGATTAGGTGCCTGACTCTGAGAGTGTGGGTTCGAATCCCGGATGGGACTCAACCCAAAAAGTACTAGAATCTGTACTTTACTAAGAAAGTGTAATCCCAAATATAACATATGTTACATTTGACCACTTTCTAAAATTGCATTGTGTATTTCATAACTATGGGAAGCTTGTGATAGCTAATAGACCAGTGAAGACATGCTGAAACCTGACCTAAACCATTCACACTTCAGGAACATTCTTTGGTACATACCATCTGGATTTACTGTGGTTATGTTCATACTAAATAAACTGAATAAAGGCACTTAATACTGTGTCCTATCTAATAAATAATGATTTGAGAAAAGAGACAAACAGTGCTGTACATATATAATGATAATAACAACAACAATGATAATAATAAATACAATGTTACATCATGCTGTATCTATGCCCAAAAGCGCAATATTTATTATCATCATCCATAATTAGAATATGACATGTATGCATCATTAAACTCTTACAAAAAGTACCTCTAATCCAAAATACATTTCATGGAAACATCATGAACATGTGATATATATTTATGCAACAATCTTTTCTACAAAGACGTGAAACTAAAACTACATATCTACAAGCTGAGGGTGATTTGCCTGGTCGCCATTGTATCTCCCCAAAATATCCAAAATACATTTTTATAATCTGGTGAAAACCTTCTATAATAACTTTTTTCTATATTACATTAAATAATTAAGTTTAGTTTTAGACAAGTTCCTGATATTCAGAATGTCTTTGAGAGTCTGCCAACTACGGTTTGAGAAAAGTGAATGTCCCTACCTTCTTCTTGGTGAGTGGTAGTGAGGGCTTAGAGGGGGAGAGGCTGAGGGGGGAGGGGGGATTTGGTGGGGAGATACAGGGAGCTGATGCAGGATCATCCCTCCCTGCAAAGATACAAAGTACAGATCCTCAAGCTGGTTAACGAATGCTATTATTACTTCTGAACATGTAAACACTGATAATTCATATCAATTACTTTTTTAAAATAATAATATAACCATGAACACAAATTTCTTAAGTAACAGAAAAATCTTGACATTCCTAAAGATACTCACTGTTTACAGTTATAATGCAGTTATATATCATTCCTTTGATATACTACTAGTGTGAAGAGTAATGTTAATATCACATGGTTAATTCAGTTATTAAATATATTCAGTTACATAATACTCTAGTTATACTTCTAGCATGGATATCATCATAGGGTGAACTCGGTTAATGTGATTAGGTATTAAATGCAGCATTAACTATCCCAACTTGACATCAGTTAATTGTTGGAACATGTCTACTGTTGTTGGACTCAGGTTCCTTGAGTTACAAATGTTACAGAGTGTCAGTTCTATTGTGAGTGCCAGAGTGCCTTTTCTACATTATCTAAGTGTGGTTACTGTGTGACAGAGCGGTTTCTTAATCTGAATAACTGCAGTGAGAAGATATGAATGTTTCAATCTAACAAAAAAATTACAAATCAAAAGTAATTGGCTCAAAGGTCAAATGAATATTTTCAAATTTACACATTAAAACCAAGAACAACTGTCAACAGAAATATAAAGTTTGCTGACAGACCATTTATTGTTTTCAGTGTAAATGCAAGCTTCAATCCAAAATGAGCAGATCCTGACATGCTCTAAGGGAAGCAGCTGACAGTTTTGATTTCAAGAGTAAAATGAAATTTTATCTTATTCACATAATCTCACTCTAAGTGACACTACCATTGCTGTGTACTGCTACTGTTGCTGGACAACGGTCACTACAAAGCTACAGTCATAATGTCTACCTGGGGAGCCAGGCTGTAGAGATCTCGGTTGTTGGCGGCAATGGTCGACTGTGACTGAGACGGCACATCACGCATATTGACAATGCGATAGAAGAGTTCTGCTTCGGCATACTGGAAACAAGGGACAGATACAATATAAGTTGTATGCTTCGCCTGCGAGGGTAATACGGTCTGATGTATGCCTCTTTGTAGCAGTGTCACCCGAGCCAGTAGGCGGTCTGATGTACGCCTCTTTGTAGCAGTGTCACCCGAGCCAGTAGGCATTTTACTCCTGGGAGGGTGACACGGATACATGTTAAACCGTCTTTGACCAATGAAATTAAAGTATTTTACATGAAGGTAAGATGAGGGTCAGTGTCGAGATGAAGAATTTTCTATTTGCAACTCATCTTTGTTGGGAATGCTAAATGTGGTTGTATGACCCCTTTGTTCCAAAATATTTCAATCTTTGGTTCATATTTGTTATATTTGCTGCTATAATTTTTCCACATTTGAATAGGTTTAAATGCTGTCATTTATACTTTTTCATTCATATCACAAAAAGTGACAAAAATAACTATACATTAATGATTTTACCTTTTGAAACTGAAAACAAGTCAACAGAATTTATAGCACTTATATAGACATGGAGGAAATAGTGACAATAAGTGATGAAAGTTTAAACTTTCCCTGAGGTCCCTTGAAGCATGTACAATGTCAGTATTTATGCTGAAGTGCTGGAATAACATAGCAGTCTAACTTACTGGAGGTACAGTGTTGAGCTCGGTGAAGGTCATGAAAGGTTTGATTGGGACATTCCTAAATGGAATCTTGAATCTGCCAGCTTGCAGCTTGCCATTAGAGTCAAACAATGGAATCTTGGTCCATGCCCGTGTAATAAGTCGCTGTGTCGTGGTCTGATGCTGGGCCCCCTTGGCACTGGAGCTCCACCACAATACCCAGGTCTTGTTGGGGAGGACATCTGCAGACACAGTCGGGGCAAAACATCATACACAGGGAAAAGTAAGGCAACAATAAAATATGATGAAGAAGTAGAATGAGTGACAGATAGAGTCCAATCAGAAAACTGTTCGTTCCATGACCGACATGAATCAACAAGAACAGGATTACTCGGAAGAACGAGCAAAGCCTCAAGCCAAATCAAGAGCTGAGTCTTGAGCATCTTGGGCTGCCTTTTATGAATCAAATCCAACATACCATAGAGACAGCTACCATCCTCCTTTCAAATCCTACTAGCCAAGGTGGATTAAAAACTAACAAACAACACAAGGCCTCAGTGACATATTCATCTATCTTAGAAACATATATTACTCAGAATTTTTCAATGTTTAATAAAATACATTGCTGACATTGACATACTGGTTCTGTCAGGTGGCAGGTTCTAGTAATATGTACCTCTGTGTGTAGAAACTCACCTAGGAACAGGCTGTCTGGCACCAATGACAGCATTGCTGACATCCGTATACTGGTTCTGTCTGGTGGCAGGTTCTGTGTACACCATGGGGAGGTATGTTGGTTCTCCCATCTTGGCTGTGGTGCTGTGTATTCCCACAATGAGTCTGGCTGCTGTTATCTTGGTGTCCAGGTTCAGCAGGAAGTCATAGAAGATGACAAAGCCAGCACTGGGGAGACAAGGCAGGTGTTCACAACTACAGGTGATAGTAGGCAGGTATTATTTTTGTAAGGATGTGAATGACCCACATTGATATGTTCTTGATACTAATGCTCATCATAAATGTACAGATTAGAAATGTGCTATATCTCAAACTGAATGTGATGATATGAATGTTTCTGTTTTTTTTTATGTCCATGTTTAAATGAGTGCCTAAATATGCTTCATAAAAGCTGTAATGTATAATGACGTCACAATTTGCCTATCATGGCTAGCTTTTGGTTGATGCTATATCTCATACTACAGATTTGAAATGCAAGAATTCTTGCAGTATGACACAAATGACTCATTCATGTAGCAATATGTGTGCATGAACAGATGCACTGACACAAATACAAGTTAAAAAACACGCATGGACAAATGAATGCTGCATCACAGCTCCGAGATGTGTATTCTTTTAAATCATACAATAATATGCAGTGTTTGAAAATGTGGGTTTATCTGTTCGGTGTATGAGAAACACTTTTTATTATATTTGCTGTGACTTGTGACATATTGTATAAGACACTCCTTACTCATGTTGATTATCTCCATTCAATATGCAGAGTTGCCTCCCGTAGCTGTATAAAGAATGCCACTGAATGTGGGTTTGAATCCCAGGTTTATCCTGCTTATTAGGCATGTCATCAACAAATCAGCTTCATTGTTGTAAGCAATCAGATACATCAACAACCCACCCCTCCATATGAAGCTGACATGGTATGAAGTAAGCGATATATGGTTTGTTTGTTTGTTGTTTAAAGCTGTAGTCTGTAACATTACAACATTGATTAAAGCATGTAAATCAGATGCACCGGTGAATGATGTTACACCATCGTTGTACACAGACACAAGCATAGGCTGCTAGATGGGTTGTTATGATTCACATGTGGATTTGGTGAATAGAACTGTATTTCCCCATGAATTCAATTTGTTATTTGCAATCACTAAAATACAATATTCATGCTTTATTTTGGTATTTATCAAACTTAGATATGCAAAATGGAATATAACCAGATCAGGCAGGACAATAGTCAAAACTCTTATATATTTCAACTGACAGTAATGAGGTCACTGGTCATTGTGGTGACAAATTAACACTGTCAACATAGAAAAAACATGTCAAATAAAGTATTCTATCATCTGATTGAATAGAAAGAATAAAACATCAACTGGTGACCTCATTCAGGAAAATATTTGTATTCATGACCCTGTATTGCATTCACCTCTTAGTGGATTCAATGGAGACATAGTCACTGATAGCCTTTTATAAATCATCAGTTGCAACTGTTGCATAAGCAATTTATAACTTTCATTATTTCTGGAAAATCAAACAATAAATCACACTAATATGATGTATTTATCATCTATGATATCTACTATGTAGGACACACGTAGGACACACATAGGAAGAGTACATGTCATAATCAAGATACAATTATGCAATTACAAGCAGACAATTGTACCCATGTTGCCATAGACTGCACTGGGAGAAATGGTTGATTTGTATGTAAGATCAGAATCTGATATGACTTCTCAACAATGAACAATAAAGTCTGTGTCTTAATACACTACAAAACAAACCCTCAAAGCTTCTTTTAGTTTAATACTCCTACCACCTCATCTAACCAGCTCCAGACAAGTAGTTCCCTGTTTAGTTGGATAATTTTGATGGCTGCAGATCACTTCTCTTTTTATGGGAAATAGTTGGCCATTCATGTTATTCATTAGCAGAATGACATCTCCACCAAACCATTGTTTGCAATTGAGAGGGAATCCAGTATGTGATTGATTAAAGTGAAACCGTCTTCACTGCATGCTGACACTGTGACCTCTGCACAGGAGAATGTGCAATAAGTGCAAGGTATTCAGTTACACTGGACAAATACTGAAGAATAATCTTTCATAAAACATGGATGTTGTAACAAAAGAATTATCTGGAAATGTGGAAATAAAGGATAAGGAATTGTTATAAATGATCTAGAAAAGTTGAAGTAGGGGATGAGAGACTCTTCTTTCAAAGAGCATGCCAAGAATGGAATGAGGACACGACCTTTCATGAATACTGGATGTACTAACAGTATGCAATTAGGGTACACATTTCATTCAGTGAAGAATGATTGAATAAGGGTATAATCTTTCAATGAAAGAAAGAGTATGAACTGTCATTAACTGAAAAAAGATGGGACATAGGGGCATGGCCTTCCATTAGGTAAAAAACTGGAATAAGGGCATGACCTTCCATTAGGTAAAGGATAGAATACGGGCATGACCTTTCATTAGGTGAAGTATGGAATACAGGCATAACATTTCATTAACTAAAGGATGAAATATGGGCATAACCTTTCATTAGTTGAAGTATGGAATTTGGGTATAACATTTCATTATCCAAAGGATCGAATAAGGACATGATCTATCATTAACTGAAGAAAGACAGAAAAAGGGCATGACCTTTCATAAGTTGAAGTATGGGATACAGGCATGACCTTACATTAGGTGAAGTATGGAATATGGGCATAACCTTTCATTAACTGAAGGATGGAACAAGGACATGATCTTTCATTAACTGAATTATTTCATCAGCTTTCATTAAGCAAAAGGATGGAATAAGGGTATGATATTTCATTAACTGAAGGATGGAATAAGGGCATCAGCTTTCATAAAGCAAAGGATGGAATAAGGGTATCATATTTCATTAACTGAAGGATGTAATAAAGGCATGACCTTTCATGAACTGAAGGATGGAATAAGGTCACGACCTTTCATTAACTGAAGAAAGGACTGACTGACTGAGTTTGGTTTTACGCCGCTTTTAGCAATATTCGAGCAACATCACGGCGGGGAACACCAGAAATGGGCTTCACACATTGTACCCTTGTGGGGATTCGAACCCGGGTCTTCAGCGTGGCGAGCCAACCCTTTAACCACTAGGCTACCCCACCGCCCCCTGAAGAAAGGAACAAGACTGTTGTAGAAAGTGTATCAAAATGGTTCCACTCCTGGGGGTATTCTCTCACATAGTGTAACATCATGATGTTAGATTCACAATGCTTAGATTTCCTTTTGAACTTTATGATGCCATCACAGTGGTGTGTACTGGGAATGAAAACACCAAATAGGTTGCGTAATAAAGACATTAGGCTCAACTGATATCCCACCCCAAATTATTTCCGCTTACAAAAGTATTTGCATCCTTGATTTGATTAAACATATTTTATTCACAAATGTGAAAGGGATTGGGGACAAGTTATCCAACTTAAAATACCCGCTCCCTAATATTTACATACATACAATTTCAATTATATACATCTTAGGAAAGAATACAGAGAAGAGATAGGAAGTAAAAGAGAGAAGAGAGGAAGGGACACGACTTATGTGATCACTCAAAACGTTTTGATTGATGAATAAAAGTTTGCACACATTTGAAAATACATTCATTCTGTTGAATAGTCAGGTCAGGACGTCCAAGTGACATCAGTGACAATGTGATTGGAGAATCACGTTTTACAATATTTTTTTCATATTTAACATTAATATCTCCCTTTGAATGTTGTACAGTTTACATTCTAATAGGAAGTGATGTACATTTTCACAAGCATTGTCACAGTAACAAGAAGCAGAATCTTTCATGTCGAAACGATACAGATCATAATTTAACTGACTAGTCACATATCTCAACTTTGTGTGAATGATATTAAATTTTCTAATACCAAACGAGTAATATGGTGGAGCTACAGGTTGCTCACCCTTTAAATATGACTTGAAACTTTGTAATGAAGGTCGATTTCTTTCAGTTTCAGAACTGTTATTCCATATTCTTAGTTGATGGAAAAAAGGAATCATACGAAAGTCTTAACCTTGCACAAGGAAAGATAATATTGTTAGCATTCCTAAGGTTATAGTTAGATCTGGATCCCACACTATCTGGAGTAATATCTTTTAAGTATACAGGAGCTAAATTATTTTGAATTTTATAAAATAGACAAAGTTTTCTTCTTTTCCTTCGTTCATCCAGTCTTTCCCACCCTGTCTCATAATATAGAATTTCCTGTGAGGTATATCTAGGAAGACCCGTAACTATCCTGGCAGCTTCTAACTGAAGTTTCTCTGTTTTCCTTCTGTTGTACGGTACAACCATCCTATAATTCACAAGCATATTCAAAGTGTGGTCTGATAAATATCTTATAAATATTGTTGATTGTATTTCTGTTTAGTAAATATTTCAATTTTCACATTGATGATATCATTTTGGAGCACGACTTGATAATTTGATTAGTGTGACAAGACCATTTGCCGTTTGCTTCTAATGTTATTCCGAGATGTTTATGATTGTTTACCAAATTAATTTGCTTTCCGTCAAAAAATAATTTCAATTCTTCAGTTTCATCAATCATGGAAAACAACACTGCTTCTGGTTTTGCAGGATTAAATGAGACCAATCAGTTTTTGCTCCAGCTATGTAATATGTCTAAATTGGCATTAAGAGAAGTTTCGATTTCTTTAGTACTTTTCGATGATTTTCCAAGCAAAGTAAATTCAGCAAAAAGTCTTGTTACACAATCTAATTTATCAGCAATATCGTTAACATAGACCACAAATAAAAAGGGTCCCAATACTGATCCCTGGGGGACGCCAGCTGTTAAAGGTCACATAAACCCTAGGGGGTACAAATACATAAATCACTAACTGGCATCGTTATAAATGAAACCCCGTCATTAAAACTACTCATTTCGACCTTTAATTGACTTAAATCGACCTTTTTGACAACAGTGCACAGTTCTCACCCGTGAACGAAATTTCAACCAATCAGAGCGGCGCGCCTCTGTGACGTCATATGAAGAATAGCTTTGAGGGCCGATGCAGAATTCATCTACATTTTAGGGGTTAAATAATCTTGTTTACAGGCTTGTATAAACCTGAAATCGTGACAATTGTTGTGGAAAATGAAAGCTATATGTTCTCACAATCTAC